ACTTATTAAATATATAGATATCCTAGTGGTGTGGCTAGAATACTAGAAAAATAGGGGGTAATCTGAATACTAAGGTCACCTGACTAGATAGTATAGTTATCTGGTGAGATACCTAATGGTTTACCCATAATCCACATGGGTCGGATCAGACACGCTGTGGATCAACCCATATCCACCCCAAAGCCAATCTAGTTCCACCTCTCATGCAAACCTTACCCGATTCATTGCGTGACAGAATGTCGAATCATGAGACATCTGTACAAGTACCAGGGAACCAATCAGGCAAATGGATCAAGAGCTAAAATCTGACTGCTTACTGGCTAGCTCTTTACTATTCTTTGCCTAGGCTAGCTCAACTTGCAAGAACATGGTTCAGCTTATTCTTAAAACAGCAGCTGGATAGGAATAATTATTTGTATTACGGGTTAGTATAAAAGTGTGGTGCTTTGTATATATACACACATGTATACTCCGGAGTATGTGTATATTAACCTTGAATATTTATTTTCCCTCGAGAATAGTTTTGAGTTTTTGCAGTAAAACCTACACCAAACCAGACTGGATCTGATTTGGATCTGATTTCTAAATTTCAATTTAAATCGCAATGGTTTGGTGCCAACTGGTTTTAAGCTCGCCTGAACTCAGACTGAACGCAACTCTAGCTTGAACAATAGCGGCGAACTCTTCTTGAACCTGTCTGGCCACTTCATCAAACGCAAGAGGAGCAATGCTGGCCGTGAGCTTAAGCCTGATCCAGGCTACAGCACTCCCGCAGCGCGGCTCAGCATAATCAAGATGGAGGATGGCAGCAAGCACCTGCTATTGCAGAGGATGGTGCGAACCCACTAAAAGCTAGTGATGAGATTTGGAGGTCGTTTAGTGCTAACTAGTTTTAAATACCTGGACTTAGACTAAATGCAGCTCTATTAGTGAGTACTTCATCAAAACAGTTTCTAGTGGTTTATCTACTAACTCTCTGGATCTACCCCTGACCTGCCCAGTACAGGTTCAAAATCCAGAAACTAAACCTCACCACTATGAGTTCAGCGAAGGTTGGATTCGACATTGGTGGTTCGGTTATGCGACTCTACCAAAAGGTAAGAAATCAGTAGGAATTCAGAGAACTATAATCCCTAGAGAGTGAGAAACCAACAGGATCTAAACCACTAGTTTTTCCCGTCAGCATAAATGATTGGTAGGAGCTTACTTTTTATTCCTAGGGGACAAGCTAGCCCATTAAAATCCAGGCCTAATCCAGTTCCCAGCTCCCTCCAGCCCTGTTTGGATCTTCGGGTCAATTGCAATCAATTCGCCCGGCATGATCGCTCCTTTCGCCCGCCACCCGCCGCCAACAGACACTACTTCTGAGTATGCTCCCCTCAATATCCCGAGCAGCGTAAATACTCCCTGGAAGAGAAGCGCAAAGCACAGTAATTCTCTAGGCCTTGAAGCTTAATATAAAAAACATAATCATCCTGTGATCCTCCCACCCAGTATCAAGCCGCCAAAATGCCCGCCTCAGCCGACATCCAGGCCGCCACACTGAACAAGTTCCTGGCATCATGGCGGGAGGGTAGTGCGCCGGATACAATGGCTCTTTGGTCCGATGACTTCAAGCAACGATTACTCCCCCTGTCGCTGGGAGAAAGCTCATTCCGGTCGCGCGATCAGGCCGCTTTCTTTTACCCCGTGCTCGTGGAGAATTTGAGGAATTGGGAGGTAAGATTCTGTTTTTTTCCACAGATTGGCGTATCTTACTCGTTGCTTGTATCGGAAGATTCCATCCCCCTCCTTTCTTGCACCCGAACACTGGCAAGGGAAAGGAAAAGCTTACGACCCAGTAGCTGCATATCAAGGAAATTGTGCACGACTCTGCTAGGGGCACAGCGGCGGTTTATGCGACTTCGCAAGCTGATACGCCCTTTCCGGGCGAGAAGTGGACCAACGAATACGCACTCTTTCTGTCTTTCTCTGAAGATGGGACCAAGGTCTGTAGACTGGAGGAAATGATGGATTCAGCCTTCTATCAAAGTTTTGTCCCTAAGTTCCAGAGGTACTTGATGGGGCTTGGCGATGTGAAGAAGTAGATTCATCAGTTTTGTTTGCCGTGAGATGCCTGCTGTCTGAGGAGTCATGAAGAAAGGATGCTAGGGGAATCTGTCCAATAAGTTTAGTCCATGCATGTATATCGGCATATAGGGAAATGGTCCCGCCAGAGCAATGGTCTCCCAATTGATCACTGTAAACAAATATTCCATACTAAGAGGCGTATATAGATACCCATTCACACCCCATGCGCGACATAACCCACTAGGCCATCTTGTCTCATCTTCCAGCGGCCAGAAGGATGTTCCCCAGAACCTACGCCGTCCTTGGCTCAACAGGCAACTGCGGCACAGCGCTCATTGAGAATTTGCTCAAGACGCCTGATGCTCGGATTCACGCCTACTGTCGCAACCGACCAAAACTCCTGCAGATACTCCCTGACATTAAAGAATCAGACAGGGTTAGCATCTTCGAAGGCAACATCCAGGATGGCGAACTTCTACAGTCATGCCTGCGCAACTGCCATGCCATCTTCCTTGTTGTCTCGACAAACGATAACATCCCCGGTTGCCATCTTGCACAGGACACCGCCACCGCCGTAATCCAAGCGCTTCAGGATCTCAAACGCAACAACCCCACGTCCACTGTCATGCCTAAACTGGTGCTTCTTTCGTCCGCTACGACCGACAGTCATCTCTCTCGTGACGTCCCATCCCTCCTACGGTTCATCCTCCACCGGTCTGCATCCTACGTCTACGAAGACTTAGTGGTCGCGGAGAAGCTTCTCCATGCGCAGAAAGATTGGCTGACCAGTATATTCATTAAACCGGGTGCCTTGTCGGTCGATATTCAGCGGGGTCACGCGCTGAGCCGGACGGACCAAGATGGCCCTCTGTCATATCTCGACCTAGCGGCCGCCATGATTGAGGCGGCCGACGAGGAAACGGGCTGTTACGACATGCAGAGTCTGGGCGTCGTCAATACAAATGGTAGGGCGAAGTTCCCTGCGGGTACCCCGTTGTGCATCCTGGTTGGTCTGCTGAGGCATTATTTTCCTTTTCTGCACCCGTACCTGCCGATGAACACGGGGCCGCGGTGAGATTACTATCCAATCGGATAATTCAGGAAGAATGGAAAGCCGCGACGACAGAGGGCACGGTCTGTTTCGCCCGAGCCTTGTGAGTGAAAACTTTATTGCAAGTATATAAAACAATAAAAACATACTTTCTATTCATGATGATCCATCTGCCGGACTTCGTATCTAATCTCTTTGATCGTCCATATCCCGTATAGCCATGCCTGCACCAGCTGAAGTCCAAGCGGCAACCCTGGAGAGATTTATCCAAGGATGGGCCGGATGGACCCCAGACGGTTTTCTCGCCAACTGGTCCGAAGATTGCACGCAGAAAACACTGCCTTTCAACTCACAGGTGCCAGTCCGCACCCGCTCAGACACTGAGCAGCTTTTTCCGGTTCTCATGTCCCTAATGACCAATTTCACCGTGAGGAATGAAGCCTCTGTTGTCCGAAACCAGCAGCTAATGCCAGATGACCCAGCTGGATATCCATAACGTTGTCCATGACGCACCGCAGGGCAAGGCCGTCATTTACGCCCTCACCAAGGCGGACACACCATTTGGGCCGTATAGGAATGAGCATGCGCTCTTTTTATGGTTCAATGAAATCGGCGACCGGGTGCAGAAGATTGAAGAGATGTTCGATGCGGTTGTAATGAAGGAGTTTCTACCAAAACTGGACAAGTATGTGGCTGAGAACAAAATGCAGCTGGGAGCGAAGTTTAGTTAGAATAATGTGTGCATTGATTACAACAGAGTGAGGAATAACAGCTGAGGTTTTGGATTTTGAATATGATTCTACGCTTTGTATAACCAATCTGGACGTGATTAGTGTAATTCTAAGAGTAGTTTGATACACAGTATCCCGGATAATACCTCAGTGACCTTTGTTACTGTGTGGGAATCTGTTGTAAGATCGGGCCTAGCCTATCCGATTAACGCGAATCCACCGAGACGCCGATTGTACCTCCCTGTTCGCGCTGACCAAGACTTGCTTACGTTCAGTAAATCAATTCCCCGAGTGCCGCTTACTTACTAGACTCAAGTCTACAAGGAGTGAACGGCTTTTTGAATTATATAAAGCCAGTCTTGCCAATCCTCTGTCCTCTACTTGCCACACTGCACTTACCTGCCGCGATGGACTTCCAGATCATTTCCAGGTTTACAGACGGAGGAGACTTCCAGTGGGCGAAGTTTGGAACCGCTGCCTTTCTAGCTGTCCTCCTCAGTGCCCTGGCTTTCCTTTCCTATACCCCGCGAGTTCACCAAAAGTCTCCTGCATTTACTTCTCACAAGTTACCGTTCATCGGCTCGTTGGGATTTACTACCGAGCAATGGTGAGTAGAAGTCCTTTACCTCGACTGGCCGGCACTAACAGGAAGGCCAGGAATTGGTGGAAAAGTGCCACAGCCGAGTCGAAAACCGGCAATTTTAGCTTCTGGCTGGGGCAACGCCATGTGGTTGGAGTGACTGGCGAGGCTGCCCGCAAGATGTTCTTCACCCACGAGGCGTTGGACTTCGTCAGCGGGGCGCTGATCAGACCGATCAACATTCATTTTTGGCCTCCGATCCACGACATCTTCAAGCCTGACGTCAAAAGCAGAAGTAAAAATACTTACTTTCTCCGGCGCCTGTATGAGTTGCAGAGCACCGAGCAGCTCAATCACTACCTACCCCAGTTACTGAAGGATGCGCGTGTAGGGATGGCGGGCCTCTCCCGCGTGACGAAGCCATCCGTGTCTTGCTGGGAGACTGTCTTCGCGCAGGACGTTCGCCTGCTATGCACCGATGAGATCATCGATGATCCCAAGCTGCTCGCAACATTTGGACGCCACGTGGAGACTCTTCTCTTTACGTTCAGCCATTACAATGTCTGCTTCCCCTGGCTGCCCTCGCCTTCGTACTACAAGCGCCGCCAGGCGCGGTACGCCCTTTACGACCTCATGAAGGACATTGTAAATAAGCGACTGAAGAACGGTCCCCGGCGGCCGAACGACCCCGTCCAAATCCTGCTCGACTACAACGACAACGTGGACCACATCATTGAGTTCTTCATCAGCCTGCTCTTCATCGCTCCGGCGAATTCCCGCATCATCGGCGGCCAGATGCTCAACATCATGTCCATTTACCGGGACTGGCAGGAGAAGGTCTATGCGGACATCAAGGCCGCGGCAGCGGCGCATTCACCGGACAAGAACGCGCCGCTGGTGGACCAGCTCGCCTTTATCCCCCTGCATGCCTGGGAAAACTCTTTCCCGTCGATCGACCTCTGCCTCCAGGAAACGATCCGCATGTGGACATCCTTCTCTATGGCCCGGTTGAATGTCTCACCTAACCCCATCCCAATCCCGGGAAGCGATGAGGTCATCCCGGGTAACACATTTGTCTGCTATAACTCGACCGAAGTCAATTTCAGCGACACGCTGTATCCCGACCCCAAGAAATTCGACCCGTCACGGTTTTTGGACGGGCGAGAAGAGTTCCGGAATGAGGCCTATGGATGTGAGTGACTGTCCCGCTTTTGGTCTTTGGAATAACCCCGGTCTGTAAGGCGATGCTGACAGATCGAATTGTAGTCCTCGGTTGGGGCCGAGGGCGTCACCCTTGCCCAGGGATGCGCTGGGCGAAGCTGCAGCAAAACATCATTATTGCCTATGCCGTCGCCATGTACGATTGGAGCAGTTGCGATGAGACCGGGAAGCCTACTCCCCAAGCTGTGCATGTCAAGGAGTTAAATGCCACGCGTGGGACTGTCTTACCCACTGCTTACTGCAAATTGGTTCCAAGGGAAAAGGTGTAGTCTCCATGCCCTAGAGGAAGATTTGGGTATTATTGGGTGAATTGTTGGGGGGGCGGGCTGGGGTGAGAGGATAGTGGGTGGACTACTTGTTGATGGCTCTCAGTATGTTTAGATTGAATCATACATTCCTGCATATTTTTTGTCCTTTTTCTGTATGAACGAGTATACTCCTTCGAACACGGAATAGTGAGAGAAGAGACTGTGCATTATCATCCATACCGACAAACATCCTACGAATATTCTAACTAAAGAACCAGCCCAATTGTGAGGAACCTCCTATCTTGCAGAATTCTCTCCTTTAATCCAATAAGTTCGTCAACATCCCAGTTTGCCCAGAGATGCCGTCCATGCAAAAAGGAGCTCTGCGGCCCGGCCAGCCAAACCGCGAAATCCCCCGGCAGCGCCAGATCGTCCCATTTGTGCTCATCCTTCGTAAAGTGTTGCGCCACGGCAGGCGTGTAGAATGCCCCCGGGTGAAACGAGAAAATACGCACAGGATTGCCGTTCGGCTCCTGCTCCTGCTCCACGGCGAAATGCTGCAAAACCTGTGCGACAGCCGCCTTACTGGATCCATATCCCACCCGGCGCGTGGTGTGCACCTGCGCCGCGGCGGAGGAGATGTTGATGATCGTCTTTTGACCCGAGGCTGGAAGGGGCGTCTCGAGGTAAGCCTTAGTGAGGTTGAAGGCAGCGATGACATTGGTGTCGAATGCGTCTCGGAGCTCTTGTTCGGTGATGGCCGTTGCCTTCTCGCGTCGGTGGACGACCGCGACGCCGAGAACCAAGATGTCGACGGGGCCTAGCTCTTGCAGGATTTCGGTCATGCGGATGCTGTCTGTGACAGAGGCCTGGAAGAGTAGGACCCGGACGGACGGATAGGCAGCTTCGAGGGCGGCTTTGGCTTGTTCCTGTGGACTGGCAGACCGCGAGACGATGGCGATGCAGGCAACGCCTGCTGCAGCGAAGGCCTTGGCGATGCTAAAGCCGACACCGCTTGCGCCGCCTGTTATGAGTACTACCTTGCCTTGACCATCGAAGCCGTGGTACTTGGCAATACGTTCGTAGGTTTCGGAGTGGTATATTTTGGTTGGGCGGGGCTGGGCTTCGAATAGAGACATCTTGTCGTGTATGGTTGTCCTTGTTGATGCGAAGCAGGTGAGAATGCCAAACCTGGATTCAGGTGTCAGTATAGTTCCTTCTTCAGAGACATGCTCTCAGTCTGCTGGGTTTCGGGGGGTTGCGGGACATTCGGGTGGTTTCTCAAATATGCCCCGCTGTTTTACACGCGATGATTCAGTCACCATTATTAATTGAACTAGAAGCAAGGGAATCCGATGGAGAAGCAAAATCAGATTGACTGACTTGCAGCAACTATGGCGAAGGAAAGGGAAGAACAGTCTACGGTGTGGATGTGCCGACAGCATGAAGAAACATCAGGCATCGAAGTGAAGACGGAAGATTTCGACAGTAGGCTTGGTTGACCCAGTATAGACGCTTTTCGCGGCACAATACAGGTGTAGGATTAAAAGATAGAGGAAACAGTAGTTGGAATTATACAGACAGTCTATTCTTCCATAGTACAATAAGTCAAATACCATATCAAACCGAAGAGGAAGTGTCTATATTGGCCACAAGTTTACAACACGCTCATTAATCGCTGGATGTGTTCCAAATCACGCTTTCTCCGTAGTCTCCTTCTCGACGGTCTTTGTCTCCTTCTCTCCGTTCTCTGGAGAGATCTTTCCTGCCGGCTTCTTCACGCTCCTCCACTCGAGGGCCGCAGCGCCGAGGACGCTCAGACATGTCGGGATTAACCCGACACGGAACACCTCTCTCAGCGCCTCATTATAAGCAACAAGGGCGGTATTACGCACACCGTCCGGGAGCGATTGGAGCAAAGAAGTGGCGCCCCCGGAGGTGATCAAACTGGTATCAACACCTTCGACCCCAGCCAACCTCTTCACCAGTTGATTGGCGAGAACATTCTCTCCAGCCGATACGAACACCGACGCCCCCAGCAGAGTGGCGAACAGCATCAGCGCTAAGCCGGTAGGCACGTCCTTCTTCGGCAGACTGGCCTGTGTTGCTAGGTTGGGTACCTGGAACGCCAAACCCAGGCCGAGACCGTATAGGATCTGGTAACCGATCCATTTCCCGGCGCCGGTATCCACCTCGAACGTGGTGAGCAATCCGTTTCCCACGCACATGAGGCATGTCCCAACGATGGCGAGCGGTGTATAGTAGCCGATTTTGGTGTTTAGAGTGCCACCGCTGATGGACCCGACTACCATGGAGATCATCAGGGGGAGCGTGCGAATGCCGGACTCGGAAGCCGACGCTCCTTTGATCGACTGGAACCAGATCGGGAGGAAGTAGACTATCTGTTGATTAGTTCCTGCGTTTGGAAGAGGTGCATCGCAGGACTCTTACTGATGATATAGTTGCCACAGTTGATGGTCAGGGTCGCCCAGCACGCCGCAGCGACACTACGCTGCTTCATGATCCGTGGAGGCAGAGTGGCGGTTCTCGGGAGAAGGACTTGGACGGCAGAAAAGCCGACCAAGAGGACGCCGGCGAGAGTTAACAAGGCGATCACCCGTCCGTTATTCCACTAGAGATGGTTAGGTACGAATCAAGCACGTCTAGGGTGTGCCCACTCACTGCGTAGGTCTGTCCCCCCCATTGCAATGCCAGGAGAAGGCAGACAGTTCCCGGGACCAGGAGGATGGTCCCGGGAAAATCCAGTTGCTTGATCTTTTCGGACAAAGGGGCCTGGGCGGTAGGCTGGTCGGGGATCTTCAAAAAGACCAGGATAACGAGCATGGCCACGCCCCCGACGGGCAAATTGATGTAGAAACACCATCTCCAGGTGACGTTCGAAGTAAAACCACCGCCGATCAACGGACCCACGATCGAAGAAACCCCCATCAGGGCACCGAACATGCCTTGGATCTGGGGACGCTTATGGAGAGGGACGACATGAACGATGCAGACCACCTGGAGAAACCATGATTAGCCCATGACTAGTGAAGACGGTGGCAAGGGGGTATCCGCCTACCACACCGGCAAAGATTCCAGCCGCACCCACACCGCAGATGGCTCGTCCCACGATCAGAGCAGTCGAGTTGGGAGCGGCTCCACTCAGGGCGGAAGACGCTTCGAAGACCAGGATACTCAATAGGAGAGTCCATTTAACCGAGAAGAGTGTATAGATCTTTCCAAAGATCAACTGCAACGCGCAGCACGTCAACAGATATGCGCTCCCGTACCAGCCCACGCTTGTGAGAGAATGGAATTCGTCTGTGATTCGGGGGATGGCCTCAAAAATAGTTAGTAGACGGGCGTAAAGATGGTCCTTGTGCAAATTCATACCGTGGCGAGGATGGTTCTGTCTAGCGCGACGAGAAACATGCTCAGAAGCACCGAGATGATCACAATGACCGTCGTCGTAGTGGTTGGCGGTGTCGTCGTCGTCGTCGTCGTTGTTGTTGTTTTCTCGGGTTCGAGACTTTTAGGCTGGGCCGCTGCATCTGGCGAGGTTTCGGCGACTTGAGCCGTGCCTTGAGTTTCAGAAGCCATGGTGATGGACTTTCTTGGACAAACCCTCAGGTACAGTGCATGAGATGCAGTTGGAGACTCAAGGCAATATAAATATGTATCATCGGACGTAGACCAACAAGTGCGGCAAGTGGCAAGGGGACCCCCTTTCCGGGCATTAGTTGGACCCGGGGAGCCACAGAATAGTCAGGCATGTCCATTCTGCATAGTAACCTATGATCCTAACCAGTGTGTGGTTCAATATTCACAGTCGCCGTCATGCGAGATGCCACGGAGGATAGTTCGGGAGATAGAATACTCCGAATACTTAGCCGCGGTTCATTCAAAAGGCCGAAGTAACCTCCGGCCGCCCCATGTTTCTTCTGCATTTCCCATCTCCCCTCATCATCCTCGTCCCATCGCATCGCATCGCTCTGCATTTACCATGTCGACAGATCATTCGGCAAGGTCGCCCCGCCTCCGGGCTTGTGTGAGATGTCAACAGCGGAAAGTCAGGTGCGACCACAAATCTCCCTGTGGGAATTGTGTCGCAGCTGATACGCAGTGTCTCCCTGCAACGCTTACTCCGCGCCGTCGTCGATTTCAAGAGCGAGTGCTATTAGACCGTTTGCGCCACTACGAGGGCCTACTTCGTCTGCATAACATCAATTTCGAACCCCTGCATCCGCAAGCCAAGCAGGAGTCTCTCGTCACTGATGTCTCTCGGGGCCGCGAACGGTCAGAAACGGCGAGGGCACAGACCCCTGTCCAGTCGCAGGCAGTGTTTGACACCTGAGCAGCCCAACTTTACTATAGGAAGCAGCTAATTATATTATAGTGACCTCTGGCAGGCTATTAGCCGAGTGGTACGTTTGATTCCTAGTTGTTGTCCTTACGACAGCCGTTAACCCTAGGGAAGACGCTTGAACCTGAAGAAGACGACGGCGACAGTCCAGAGGTGCAGGCCGACGGGGTAGAAAACGCCTGGGATCACCACGTCGACCAGCCGGAAGCGAACGACCAGATTGGCGATGATCTTCTGTTTGGTCAACCACAGGCTAATGTGAATGTCCTCGCCTTGCATCCCGAACAAGCCCAGATCTTCAGACTCTGGCAGACGTATCTGGAAAACGTCAATCCCCTGCTGAAAGTGACCCATACGCCGACGCTGCAACCACGGATTGTCGATGCGGTCAGCGATCTTGAGAGTATTCATCCTACCTTGGAGGCACTCATGTTTAGCATCTACTGCATCGCGGTCATGAGTCTGACCGATAACGAATGTCATCGGCTGCTCAGATCGTCCAAGGAAGACCTGCTGGCGCGCTACCGGTTGGGGTGTCGGCAATTGCTGATCAAGTGTCGGCCCTGGCAGTTTACCAATGTCGACGGCTTGACCGCAGTGTACCTCTACTTGGTATGCAGTCCGTCCGTGTTCAGATGAGACAAAAAATACCACATATACTAACGATTTTAGGTGTCCGTTTCGCCGCAATCAGACCCGCGCTCGCTCTCCTCTATGCTGGCGGCCGCCCTCCGGATTGCACAGCGGATGGGACTCCACAATGAGTCGACATACGCTCGATATACTGCCGTGGAGGCCGAGATGCGCCGAAGACTCTGGTGGTCATTGGTGATTTTCGATCATCGCATGTGCGAGATGTCCGACTACAAGGTCACCACCTTGACACCCACTTGGGACTGCCGGATTCCATTAAACGTCAACGACTTTGAGATTCGACCCGACACCAATTCCTGCCCCCCAAACAGCGAGAAGCCGACCGAGGCGCTGTTCGCGGTCGTTCGTAGCGAGCTCGCCGATCTGATCCGCCATACCACCTTTCACATCAACTTTGTCAACCCGGTACTGGCAGCGGTAGCTAAGCCAAAGGATCCTGGCCTCATGTCCGTTTCTGCAGATGGTGAGATGTTGACTATACAGAAGGCAATCGAGGAAAAATACCTCGCTTTTTGCGACCCCGCTGACCCGCTCCACTATATGACAATCTGGACGACGCGCGGCTACCTGGCCAGAAACCGCCTGCTGGAGCACTACGCGCGACACTTGTCGTCGCCAGCGATGCAGCAGACAGACGCGCAGCGCAATGCTGCCCTGTTCTACGCTCTAGAGATGCTGGAGTGCGATACGAGACTGCGAGTCTCCCCTTTGACCAGCCGGTACCGGTGGCTCGTAGATTTCCATGTCCCCGCCCTGGCATACATCCACGTTCTGAACGACCTAAGGAAGCGACCCACAGAAAGCCACGCGGGCAAGGCCTGGCAGGCCATGAGCGAGAATTACGAAGCGCGAGCCAGGCACCCCAAGCCCAGCGGGCAGGGTGTCTTCACCGTCTTTGCAAGGGTGGTTCTTCAGGCTTGGGGAGCGCGGGAGATATTCCTCCGGCAACGGGGCATGCCTGTGCAGACACCCCAGATAGTGTTGGATATTCGCAACAAAGTAGGGCAGACGAGCTCGGGTTCCTCCATGGTACCGAGCTGCAGCACCGGAGAACCGCCTCACAGCAGCATCGCGATCAGCACCAATTCAGAGACAATACCCACGGAGATGAATTTCGCCGGTCACAGTGCCGACGGACAAGCCTTCCCAGGTCCGGATCTAGGACCCAGCAGCTTCCCCGACGTCGGTGGACCGCCTGGCATGGACATTGATATAGATCAATTCTGGACTGCAATGGATTGGAGGTTGATGCATACACAGGCCTGGTGAGATATGCATTTCTAGGGTGGATGCTAGGTACTCCCAGTCATAGGACTCTCCTCTCTCAGCGCTTGCTCAATGATATCCCAATTCTGCGTTGTCCTTGTTCCACTAAGCCAGTAATTGCCCTGCTCATCTTTCCCGACAATAGGGAACATCTCGGTGAACTTGTAAGGTGTCTGGACATTCTGGATATACTTCGGCCTCACCGGACCAGCACCGTTTAAGGCGACCGCCGAAAAGTCCAACCCAAAGAAGTCAATCTTGGTCCAGTTTGAGAAGCTCAGCATGTGCACTGTCACGCATTAGCACATCCCATCCTTGAGTCACAACAAAACGATTGCATACTGGAACTATCACCAAAGAACGGGGGGAGCTTGTTTTGACCTGACGAACGTAGCAGCGCGCAGTATGCTTCCGTCTGCTCGGTAGTCGTTTGCTGCTTAATGGCGCGTCGGATTTGCCATGCCGTATAACTCAGCGGTCGCCCAAGGACGTCTTTGATCGGGAGAAGGACGTTGAAGAAGAAGGCGCAGTTGGCGATGTACGGCTGGTCAGCGGGAAGATACTGTCGCAGGACCTTTCTGGCGGAGAAGGCGTTTTGAACGGCAACCTAGATCCGTCAATACCGCTAAGAAATAGACGCATATCAGTTCGGCACCTTACTGTTCGGTCTGGATAGCGGGATAAATGCGACACTGCCAAACGTGCCACCCACGCCGTCAAAATGTCCCCTTCGGACACGAATGGCCTTTCCTCACCAGGTCCGGGCGGAGAAGCAACCAGTTCTTTCATTGCTACCGCGTGCAGGTTCTCGACGAATCCAGCAGGCAAACAAATAATGCGTGTCTCCTGGCTGCGAAAGAACAAGTCCGTGACATTGCTTAGCGCCCAGCGGATCATCCCCAACGTGGAAGTCTTTCGGTCCGCCAGCGCATGTGGAGATTGGGGGTTCGTTCCAAGGTCCTTGAGCGCGTCCGCCCTGTAACTTACCGGGGTAGGAATCTGATCTTCTCTTCCCAGCATAGCTAGAATCCACGCATCGAGGATGGCTTTCTTGGCTGTGGCGTCGAAGGCAGCATGTATCCAGTTCAGAGTGAGAACTGTCGCGTCCTGGAAGGAGACGACGTGTAGGCCGACAACTGACCGGTCTTCGTACAAGTAGTCGTCCAGCTTGCTTGGACAGTTGGGCCCCTCGTAAAGGGGCCGTAGGTCCTCAGCATTGCCGACAATGGCGGGCTGCGCAGATGATTTTGGGAGAAAAGACGAAACTGGGTGCTTTGACAGGGGCGTTTCATGATGAATATGGGTTTGCGTGATAGCTGGTCGTTGGCTTGAGAATTCGGTCGGGATGTGGAATTCGAGCTGACCAGCGGTCTGCTCCATGCCAATGCATATCAGAATCAGGACGTATTAAATCAAATGACTATTGAACATCACATACGTTCCTCCGGAGCCGAGCCGCTAGCTTGCGCCAACCTGCTCGCTGTCCCAGGCGCTCGAGTCCATCCTGCAGCTTCAAGACGTCAAGCGCTTCGTCGAACACGAACATTGAGTGCAGCACAAACGTCTGCAGGAGCAGGGTATCGTCGAAGAAGGGCAATTCGACCACCTCATCTCCGGCCACCACGCGTGGTGCGACTTTCGTTTGCTTGAAGAGGTTGAACATAGCGAGCATAATACGACGGTCAAATCCAGCATGGACTTACAGCATCTCGCGCAGGACGCAATGTAATAACCATTTTCAACAATATGGTGACACCTGGGGATCATCTGATTAGGTATCTGGTCCATTTGGGCCGATGTCAGATCCCCCTGGTAGTTAATGTGCCGAACTCGGGCAAATGACTGGGGAGCACATCGAATTCACCCGGCTGACCGATGGACCAAACCACTGAACCCCAAATCATTTATGATGTAGATGCGAGGATATAACGCTGAGCCTCGGAGCTATACAGAAAACTTCCATATCGAACACTCATATCGAACACTCACCCACAGACACACTACCATGGGCAGTATCACTGAGTCCCAGGAACCCCTGCGGTTTTTTGCAACCGGCGACAAACATGAGTTCGATCCAGAGAACTGGACATCTCAGGATCCGCTTCCTCCGCGTGGGCCCCTGACATACGTGCAGGTGCTCATTGTAGGTGCTGGCTTCGCCGGGCTAATGGCAGCGCTCGAATGCTGGAGGAAAGGCCATGATGTGGTCGGTATTGTCGATCGCAACCAAGGCCCCAACTACAGTGGCGATCTCATCATCATCCAGCCGTCCGCGCTGGAGATCATGAAGCATTGGCCGCAGATGCGCCGCGAACTGGAGGAAGACAAGGTCACCGTGGGCACATACTACTACCGCCATAATGGGGAGCTCGTCGATGGGCCCGCCCACCCAAACTACAATGCGCCCGAATATGTCGCCGAGCGTGAGGCGCGGCCGGGGGGTTTTCCCTACGTTGGTGCCGTGCAGATCCGGAAGAAGTTCTATCGCATGCTCCTGCGCCAGGTTGCGAGGCTCGGCTTCCGGGTGGATTATGGCCAGCGCGTCGAGAGCTACTTTGAGGATGAGAGTGCTGGAATTGCCGGTGTTCGGATGACGGACGGATCCATTCGAAAGGCGCATGTGGGTAAGTGCCCCTAAGTGGCCCCCCTTTATACCCATCCTACGGTCCATGATACTTATTCTGTGCAGTCGTTGCTGCCGACGGCTTCCGCTCTCGCTCCGAGCTGCTGATTGCCGACGAGTATCTGCCCACCCAATCCAGCGGCATGTCCGTGTACCGCACAGCCTTCCCAGCCAAGCTGGCGTTCGCGGACGAGGCGGTCCGGCAGCGGTGGGGAGGCAAGCACACCTATGAGTTCTGGATGGGATCCGGCATGCACATCGGGCTATACCTGTCGCCCGAACTGGCTGCGTTTGGCATCACGCCGCGCGACCATCTCCTAGCCAAGGACAAGGTTGCGCGTGAGTCATGGGACCCCGACGTGAGCCCGGACGAGGTGATCGACGTGCTGCGCCGGGCCAAAGTGCCAGGGGAGTCAGACTCGGACTGGCACCCGGTCCTCGAGGCCCTCGTCCGCACCGCCCCCCGGAGCAGCATCATCCACTGGCCGCTGCGCTGGCGCAACCTGCGTCGCGAATGGGTCTCGCCCGGTGGTCGTGTCGTACAGATCGGGGACTCGGCACACTCCACGGTACCATCCTCGGCCGCGGGGGGTACCCTTGCCCTCGAAGATGCGATTACGTTGGCTACAAGCCTGCAGATTGCCTCGAGCCCGGCCGCCGCCTCTGCGCCGGGCGCAGGTGTCCCACTCGGCACTCGAGTCTACAACCTGCTACGGTACGAGCGCGCGAGCTGCACTCAGAAAATGGCCTTTGTGAACGCACAGGTTCTTGGCGACACCACTGACTGGGATGCTGTGAAAGCCGACCCAAGCAAGGTCCGCGTGCGCTATCCCAAGTGGCTCTTCCGCCATGACCCTGAAGGCTACGTGTATGAAAAGTACGGCCAGGCATTTGCCCATTTGGTCAGCGGAGCCGAATTTCGGAACACCAATATTCCACCTGGCCATCAATTTGTGCACTGGACACTGGAGGGAATTCACCGGGAAATGGCGGCCGGAAAGAAGGTGGAGGACCTACTGGACGGAGATTGGACGTAGATGCTGATTCACTATTGGATTATGACATGTTAGAGTTGTAACTAGAATCGCAGTAAACGCCTGAGCACCCAATATCAAATGGCAGATCTCATACTCTTATTGTCCATTGCTTAAATAAGACCAGGCCAAAGACTTGGACCAGAAGCAAAGGCGGATTTCATCAGCATTCTAGTCATTAGCTTTATTTGAAAGCACCGGTTTGGTATTAAGTTAATTACGAGATTCATAGTAGCAAAAGAGGAATATAGATTGATTTGCGATGATTCTTCTTTCAATAATGTGAAAACAATTCCGCTTCACTCTTCACGCTGCGCCTCCGTCTAGAGTGATGACCTTTCCATTAACCCACTCACCCTCCTTGCTAACAAGAAAACCAACGACATTAGCAATATCCTCAGGGAACCCATTGCGATGCAGGGGCGATGCATGTGCGGCCATCTGCTGCCTCTCCTCCGCCGTGAACTTCTCCCCATTCGGGATATAATGATGCGAGACTGCATGGAACATGTCTGTTACAGTGCCGCCAGGCGCGACTCCATTGACCGTAATCTTCTTGTCACCGCAGTCCTTGGACAGGATGCGCACAAACGAGTCGATGGCACCTTTAGAGCCCGAGTAGACCGAGTGGCGAGGCACGCTGAAGTCCTTGGACGTATTGGACGAGGTGAGGATAATCCGGCCTCCCTCGCTCAGCACGCGGTACGCCTCTCGCGCGACGAAGAACTGGCCCCGCGTGTTGAGGCTGAACACCCGGTCGAACTCCTCTTCGGTCACATCCTTAAGGTGCCCGAAGCTGACGACCCCGGAGTTGCTGACGGCGATATCCAGGTGCCCGAAGTGGGCGACGGCATCGTCAAAGAGCTTGGCGGTCTCCGCGACGCGGCGCATGTCGGCCTTGAAAGCGACGGCGTCGGAGCCAAGAGCCTTGATCTCAGAGACGACCTTCTCCGCATGCTCGGCAGAGTTGGCGTAGTTGACAACGACTTTGGCGCCCAGTCGACCTAATTGTATGGCGATGGCTGCGCCGATTCCGCGTCCGGAGCCAGTCACCAGGGCTACTTTGCCGTCCAGACGGCCGGGAGCGTAGGGGATCGTCATGATAAAGTAATGGACGTTTTCGCAGGACAGAATTCACAATCTATGGATTATTTGACTTGAGGACAAATACTATGTCACCCAGGAACCCTTTAAGGCACTTTATCTATCCACAAAATCCCGTCACTATTGTCACTATTGTCCCGAACTCGGCTCCGCGACAATGCAAGATGGATATCGGACCATTTACTAGTCTCGCGCGTGGTCGGGAGAAATGGTTATTTATAGCGAGAATAAACTCCCCCTCAGAAATTGAAGGCCAATTCGACTCACCCATCAGACAGTGATCAACATGACCAAAACTGTTCCCCCGAAGACGCCGGCCTACGAAGGTGCGTCCAACTTGACCCCCTCATCCGAGACAGGAAATTGGAGGGAAGCTGACATACCTCAGACGCCGTAGGATGCCAGATCGCATTGTTCGAATGGGCCGAGAGCTACGACACCAAAGACTGGAGCCGTCTGGCAAAATGCATCGCGCCAACCCTCCGCGTGCGCCATCCCTGTCCGGATGCATTGTAGCGTCCATCTTCTAACTGCTGCAGATTGACTACCGGAACGTAATCGGCAAGCTGTGGGAGGCCATGCCCGCCGACGAGTTCCTGGCGATGGCATCTAGCGAGAAATTCCTGGGCAACGCGCGCATCAAAACGCAGCATTTTGTCGGCGCTGGGAAGTTGGTGCAGACCCATGAGGACCGAATCACCGGCCACCATCAGATGCGGGTTGCGCATCAGAAGTACAATGATGATGCGTTGACGGAGGTCTTGTATACGGGCCATGGCCATGGAAAGGCTACTGTGCAGTTTTGCTTGGTTGATGGGGTGTGGAAGTTTGCCGGCCTGGAGCCGGACATTCGCTGGGCTGAGCATGATCTGGAGAAGATTTTTGAATAGGTCTAGTTGCCGTACACTAGTATTCGAGATAGCATATTCATAGCGCTCGATCGGAAGATCGTAGGGCTGATGGATTATGAGTAGCATTCCTGGTGTATGGACTCGCGCCCTTCCAGTCTTCTTCTTTTTCTTCGTCGTCTTCTTGTCATTCCATAGCTATAACTAGTGTCTAACAAGCCAATTAACTCGCTATCAGCCCCGTATTAGCTAGCTAGGTAAATCCCTCTGGTACTCGACTGTTACAGCAACAACCAAATTGTTCCTCGAGCGTAGTTTAGAGGTCACGACTAATTTTCCAAGGCTGTCCCGAACCGTGTCAATCGTCTCTAGCAGCTCAAGCATCTCCATCTCCCCCTCGTCCGCCATCTGCCAGAGCGCCAGATCTCGAGAACGGGCCGTCGCCTCCACTTCAGCGTCAGGGAGGCTCCCAGGCTGGGGCAGAAGACGAGGCGTTAGGATCAGCAGGATGCCGCTACGCGACCGCAAAACGTCGAGGTGCACGGCAAGCTCCGTCATCACCGCACTGGGGGAAGACGACGCGAACGGGAGATGCAGGATGTAGACCGCCGCCCCCGCCGCCGTCTGTCGTGTCCCAAGGATCCGACTCGTCGCAGTAATCCGGGGATGGAACTCCTCTTGGGTGATGGCAGCGGCTGGGTCGCTGATCTGGACGGTGAAATGGAGCGCCGGGTAAAAGTGCGCCAGGCGTCGAGCTATCGACGTGGACCACGAAGAGACGCCGACCTGCGCGTGACAGTGGTCAACCCGGGGTATGGCATACTTACACCCGTGGTACGTCCGGGCAAAGGAACACATGGAAATACCTCTATTATACTTCCGTCGCGCCCGTTGGTCAGTTTGGGCCAGTCCAGCTGCGTGAGAACGGCGGCTATATCGTCGGCCGTATGTAACCCCGCCGCGTGGTGAAGATATGCCAACCATTGACGATTCAGCTTTGGGCGCCGTTTGCGGGCGGTGTGGAATTCCGTGCCCCTGGGCAAGGCCAGGTCGCATGGGGTACCATTGGATGGAGGCGAGCTCGATTTCTCTTTCACTTGGGCGGTTTGGGGCATCTGCAATGCGGTTGGAGCAGCGGATTCAGACAGAAACATGGCTGCATCCAGGAGAGAGGGGTTCGAGAAGAAGGATGCTGATAAGGGGGTGTGTGCCACATGGTCACGCTCTGGCTCGCGAAGAAAGCCAGCCGTCGCAGTCAACCGGATGATGCGGCGCAGGCGAGACTCGGGAACGTTGGTCAAGTCGGCGATATCCTTGATCGGCGCGCTACCCACCAACGGGATACAGGCCAGAATCTGGAACTCACCAAGCCACCGCAGACACGCGAGGATTTCGCTCTGGAGTTCGCGTTAGCTGAGACCTTTCAACGGCTTAGGCGTGATGGATGGAAAACCTGGCTCGCGAGATGCTGCAAAAAGTCTGTCGGCCCGCATATCAACGCCCTAAGCTTGGTGGCAACCGCTAAGATGTTTCCCTTTGCTCTCTGGACCTCCTCTGGCTCAAAAGGTGACTGATTATTGATTGCTTGCTGGGTATTTCCACCTCCAGCGTAGCTCGCCAGGCTCGTAATGGCAGTGGCGAGCTCGTTGCTGCAGCTTTGGAGCTGGGCTAGATCGTCCATCCTGTGATGAGATGACGGCCGTGGAGGGACAGGCCAAGGAGACGTGACGTCCAATACACGAACAGTGGCCAGTCCTTTCGGCTGAGACTGTTGGAGCAATTATTTCGATCAACAGGCCTCTCTCTAGCATGTTACTTGTCGCCTATTCTGCGCGTGCCTCCATCTCCGTCTCTTATACGTGTCCTCGTACATGCACCCTTGACCATGTTCGGGAATTTCTAAGATGCGAATTAAGCGTGTTTCCAGTGGCCGAGGGCGATCATGCGGATCATTCTAGCCCCCGAATAGATTACCATTCCACGATGTAACCATTATTAGTCATGTTTGTCCGTGCGTCCTAGCGAGCTGTTTCTTATTATATCACTGGCTACCTAACATCCCAGCAGATATGACCCTGGCCCCCCCTGTGGCTGACGTGTTCTTCTGCAGAATCCTTGCAGCGGACAGGCACCGAGCTGGCCGAAGTTGATTTTTTCATGGATGGGGCAGTTCTGAGGCCTACTACTATCCAAGTATGGCATGTGACATTTCTCGACCTTAGGCGAGCGGTTTATATTAATGTTCATGTAAGTAACGTTGGCCTAGTAATGTGTAACTATGGATGAGAGCTATGGTATACAGTATTATAACTCAGCGCTCACTTCAACTAAATATGTACCCTAGAATGAGGCCATTTACCGTGGATTTCAAGGATTTTCTTTAATTTCGAGACTGGGGCTTGAGAGGCCAGACATATGCCGCACGATATATATATATATAGATAGATAGATATAACCTCATCGCAGCCTAGCTAAGACCGCGTCGCTAAGATGACCTTGACCGGGAAATAGCCCCGTACAGGTTTCCCATCCGCGAGAAGATCGTCTAATTCTCGGTACATGTCCGTGAAGGCACCGGGAAATTGCGACACAAATGGGAAAGACTCAAAATGCTCCTTCACCCCCGCCAGGTCCGTCTCAAAGCTCCAGCCCTCGTCGTCCTCGTAGATCTTGACATCGTCCGGCCCCGTGTAATTCGGTTCAGATGTGTTTTGATAGACATCATCTAGAGGCAGCATGCTCTGAATGCCCGCGTTTGTCATATTGAGATGGATTCGCAGCGCGCCCGGGGCGAAAGTCCCTCGCGGCAGAGGGGCAACGTTATACGTTCCCTGCGTTCGTAGCATAACCCGCGCAGTCTCCATAGGATCATTGGCCTTTTTAAGGAGCTGTCGTCCACCCTCGCGGCTAATGCGATCCCACAAGCTCTGCAGGCGGACATCGTGAAACCGCGCAGGACCAAAGCCGGCCGTGGCAAAAGTGCCGCCCGGTCGCAACTGATGCGCGATAGCGGCCATGGCGATGTCCTGGGGGTCAGCGAAATGCATCACGTTGGTTGCGAAGACCATGTCGACGCTGCCGGCCGCGATATCGTCGGCGTCTTGCAGCCGGGCCGTGCGGAAGCTGAAGCCCTCCTCCCCTTGTAGGCGACGGCGGGCTAATTCAATATTGTTCGCCACGATATCGGAGACGATAACATGATCGAAACGGGAGCGCAGTCGCAGGGCATAGGGACCGTTGCCTGCGCCAACATCGTGGACGGTCCCAAAATGTCCGCCCTTGGCCTTGTGGTAGTCGAAAATGCGGTCGAAAAAGGAGTCGGGCACTCGGGGTCGGCCCTTCAGGTAGTTTTCCCAGAAGACATCGTCCCGGGCAAAGAACTTGTCGTTGACTTCCATCTTGTGGTTTGGAGTAAGATGATGAACCTGCCAGTCTGCACACACAGCTGTATCTGCTGAATCGTTTCCACTACGCTTCGGTCAACGCCGTGACTACCTATGTATGTATGTATGAGGAATGTCAGCCGGCGTAATAACTGCGCGGGCAAAGAACGCCCGACGGTATTTACCCTTCGGACGGTTCGCGCATGGCCTGACTGCGGCCCTTGTCATGTCGGGGTATTTCTCAAGGGTTATCGCGCGGGAGGGATGGAAGTTAACCAGTAGTATGACATTCTAAATATCGTGGTGGGCGCACTTAAGATTCACCATATTGGTTTCCACAGTACTATAGGGATTAACCGTCAACAATGACTACTACAACAATTGAAGCCCCTGCCATAGCAGGCTTTCATCTCTCCCCCGAAAAAGTCCTCGGGCAGATCGAACCCTACTCCCCTGGCGCGACCGATGCAGCGAGCACTCTGCTGCAACAGAACCACGAAAAGTGGCACATGTACTTTCGCGATGTTGCTGGTCACAACCACATCCCGCACGCCATCCTGAGCACTCTGGCAATGGGCGGCACCCCAGCCGACTTACAGAGGGCGTATGATGATGGGGAACCCATCCAGCGACCACTCCCTCCCATGGAGGCCCCAGCCGTCGAAAAGATGCGCGACCCAGCCGTATTCCGACAACACATGCAGCGGCTGGATCAGTACTCGAATTTCCTGGCGTTCTTCGAGCAGGAACTGGAGCAGCCGGGGAGCTCGAAGGAGGCCGTCGTAAGCAGATACTGCTTTAGTCGCACGCCCCTCGCCGACTTCATGCTAGCTCAGTTATTCGAGGGCCTGTACCACCCGATCATCCATCTTGGCTTCGGGATTGAGTTCAATCTGCCTGGACTCGTGGCCGAGGGTCTCGCCCAGGCTGCCAGCCACGACCCCATGAAAATTGACGTCTTTTTCCAGGCAGCAGAGGCCCTAGCTGGGACGAGGTCGGTGGCCTCCAAGCCTCTGGTCGAGCTCTATCGTCAGGTGCGTGCTAGTGACACCATCCGCACGGCAGCCCGACTGTCCGACGGACCCTGGAAGGTTCGTGACGGCGTTCTCGGCCGGGCCTTTGACGAGATTGTCCATGTGGCTGCCCAGTTCCAAGTGAGCCCCAACGAACACGATGTTCAGCGTGCCACGGTGGAGATGATGAGCTGCGCGGCCTGGGCGTGTGGTGGGCCGCATAAGCCGGGCAAGGAGCGCAAGATCGACTTCTTCTTGATGCACTGCGTGACCAGCTCCATTTTCTTCACGGTGCTTGGCCGCGCGGACTGGATTTCGATCGCGGACAAGGCGCGCCTGGTGGAATGGAAGGCACGGCTGGACCTGGTGTGGTACGCAGCTTGTGCAGCTCCGGAGCTGCGCGATGACAACTTTCTCAACTACGAACCGACGCTGAGCCGGGGAATGGATTGGCAGCAACTGTATCACGCCTTGAACCGGTACCATGATGACGGACATGTTGCCAAGTTTGTGCGCGCCCTCAAGAATGCCGAAGAGGTCGCCTTACCGTTCGAGCAGGAGCACGCCGACATCTTGCCTGTCAAGGGAGATGCCTGGTTGCGAATTGCCCAGATCTGTTATGATTCCACCGCTTCGCATACTGAGCCTCAGAAGAAGTGGGTTTGGGGCGTCGGCTTCGATGCCATGTGGGAGGCGGTTCCCGACTTTGTAACAGCTTCGTAGATAGGCTGGACAGTGCTATTTCCTTTAATTTATATGAAGCCAATGGGACATCTTTTATGCATTCCAGGTTACTTCAGTTGACACTCTACACCTGAGTCGAGATAGTGAAGAGTAACCCTACTCCTGGTTATTTGCATACATTTAGTCTTCAGTCCCGATGAACATAACACTTGCATCTAAAACTAGGTATCTAGGACTTGAATCCATCAACAGCTTCACCGTCTCGCACAAACTCCTCAATCCACCCGATAGTCACCCTATTGCGATCAGTAAACAAGGCCACTCCCCGAGAGGCTCAAACTTACAGCGTCCGCTTCGTATCCGCGAAGTTCTCATGGTCACCAACCAAATGCTCCTTATACCAGGAATCCTGTTTCATCCGTTTATAGTCCTCTACATCCTGAAACACGACCTGACTGAAGCAGTCGAAGTCGGCGACATTCGCCATCTGCGGATCGAAAAGCTCTGCCATCAATGCGCGCGTAGCGGCTTGGTTGTGGATCTACGGGTCGGGGTCAGCCTGAAGAGTGCATGACTGGGATATGGGAATATCCCACCTGTGTCCATCGCCTGATGCCATACTTGACCATGAGATGCTTTGTCATCGGCGCAGAGACGTGGACCATATGGTTTCGGTAGTCTTCCTCGCTCATGCCTGCTTTGCGGTAGCCACAGATAGTGAGGCAAAGGTACTTGTTCTCATCAGAACCAGTGAGCTCGGGCACTTCCGGGTGCGTGGAAGAAGCCATGTTGGGGTAGACGATTACTCGAAGTTCACTTGGGCAGGGGGTGGATATGAGACAAGAGGAAAATGAGGCATTTTCTTTTCACCCGACTGCAAGAATGGAGTGATGGCTTTATCTAGACTGCGAGAAGAATTATGCCGAGAGGATCTATACTATATACCCCATCGAATAACTCAATCCGGCGGAATCCTGCTACACACACCGACCGCCATGACGAAAGAAACGTACGTCTCAGCCACGGCCGTGGTCTCTGGATCGTTCCTATCAGGTTAGTACAGCGGACACGCCCTCAAGCCGAATCGGTTCGGGCTAATGCTAGACATCCATGCAGGATCGATGATGGGTCTCTCAGCCTTGGTGATCCCCGTTTTCCTCGACACGATCGACGATGGACCTCAACTGCTACGGCAGTGGGCGCGACTCTACCATTACGGGAGCATCGCCATGCCCTCGCTGTGTGTCGCCACATGCGGCATATACGGGTACGTGGCGTTGAGCAAGAGGGCCGCGATTTCTCCTCTATGGTCCCCATATGCACTGGCGGCTGTGTCGACATTAGCCATGATACCTTTCACCCTGTGGGTCATGGTACCGACGAACAATACCTTGTTCGAATTGCATAGGTCGGAGGAAAGCACAGAATTAGGTATGGTCCGGGTTCTTGTGGTGAAATGGGCCTGGTTGCACGTTATGCGGTCGCTGTATCCGCTGTTCGGGGCATTTCTGGGGTTCAGGGCCTTGATTCGCGAGCTCCGGACTTGATGGCGCAATTTAGGCGCAGACCTTTATTGCACTCGGCATAAAGGCTGAACGGCAGAAAGCGAGAATTGCACCGATGTTGGCTAAGCCTTGAAAAGTAACAATGTGCGATGCTTACCCAAGCCTCGCGAGGAGCGCTGGATCAACCGTGTCCTATCAAATTCAGCTATCATTCTAGTGATTTTATTGTGCGCTTTGTATGAATATGAATTGACGTACACTAAACTATGTACGTTTGTAGAACGGTTAAGGCCACCTGAATCGCCTGCGAGCATGAATGGCAGGTAGTAGTAGTAGTAGTAGTAGTAGTAGTAGTAGTAGTAGTAGTAGTATTCATTCCTATACAGCTGCCCTCTCTAGGGGCTGCTATGTCGGGGGAGCCATCTCCAGCAGCTGACGTCTTACTCAACCTATATACACGAAACCTCTTGTAAAAGCAACCAGAACGGTAAATAAAACAGACCGTGCGAACAAAGGGGCGGATCCCCAATATCCAAAAGCGCTGAAAGTCAGGTATGGCTGTGTGATGCGTTATCGAATGGTCATTGCGGGAAAAGAAATGGCATAGAATTCCTAGTATGAAAAGACAGATCTAAACAGAACATAGCAACTTGGACAAGCATGTATCACACAGCAAACCATTTTTTCACGCCTCCTCGCATATCGAATCCCACCGCACCATCCTCTGCCAGCTTGCGGAGCACCTCATCCATGAATGGCTCCAGAGCCAGCACCCTGATACCGTCATCAATTCGGTCCCCATGCACAGCTGCCACAAGCTCTTTGACTGTAAGCCTGCCTTTACCGGGTGCACCGCTTATATTCCGACTTGCTTGTCGGAGCGCCTGCAGCGCCTGGCGCTCCCGTCGTAGCTTGCCGGCCAGTTCATTGCCAATTTTGGACTGAAGGTCGGTGATTACCGCTCCGTGGGCTGGATAGCCCAGCTTGCAGCCATGGCTCTGCATTTGCTTCAGTGTCACCATCCAGGTGCTGAGATGTTCGATAGCTGCTGTTCCCGAGCCCAGCACATTGTCACCCGTAAACATGGCCTCCTCTTCTTCCAAAATAAAGCACATGTGGTCATGCGAATGGCCCGGGGAGTGGACTGCTCGCACAGTGGCACCTTCTACCTTGAAGATCTGGCCATCGACGATAGGTTGCTGAGTCCTGTCTGGCGTGTGCTTGAAAATGCGTGGCGTAAGATCGGGGTACATGCGAAGGAGATCAGGAACTCCACCAGTGTGGTCCCCGTGCCAGTGGGTGAGGAGCACGTCAGACAACGAGAAGTCATCGCGGGACAGAGTCTCCTTGATCAGGTCCGCCCATTCGGGAATTCCCTGGCCAGTGTCGATGATCAGGCGCTCCGTCCCCGTGCCGACGATATACGTATTCGTTCCTTGGAGGGTAAACTGAGGGATGTAGGGCTGGTCAGCGTATGGCAGATTTTCCAAATACATGGAATAAAATAACCTTTCCTGGATTCTGTCCGAGCACTCGAATTACACGGGGGCTGATTTGCTCCACGTCTGGAAGATAGCTCAAATGTGTCTGCTGGCTTTCGAGATACTCCTCGAAGGCACAAATATTCAAGGCTTTGTTGATTTGACGGTAGCCTCCTACACCGGGGGCCATGTTGAATTGACACTAGTGTAACGATGGACAGTCACTGCTTGGATGAAGGGTGTGTCGTTCGACATGCGAAAAGGGGGTGTCCAGCGCATCTAAACCACCGGCGAAGAGATATAAACCGAGAGATAGCGGGCTAATTATGAAAAGCTGCTCTCGCCCCGATCCGGCATCGGGGTAAAGGTTGGGCCTAGCGCATCGGGTAAGCCTGCTTGCTTGCATCGATCCGATGCTCAAGTGTATACAAATGCTGGTGGATCTGGTTCACTTGCCACCGTCAATTTATACATCCTTTGTCGACCCCCCATTCCCCGACTTAAGACCACAGCAACTCATGACTATCGATATGGATTGGACGACGGAAACCCCCAACACAGAACCGTCCTTGGTCACGGCAACACCATCGACCACCGAGTCCTTGGTGGATCCTGCCAAGATGAAGGTTGGATATTTTGGCAACGAATTCCCCCACGATGATCTGCATGATCTGTCTCGTCGGCTGTACAATTGGAGCAAGGACAGACAACATACCTTGCTGGCGACATTCATCCATGAGGCCACTTCAGCCGTGCGGGAGGAAGTCCGCTTATTGCCTGCTACGCTGCGAGCTCTCATCCCACCTTTCGAGACCATCTTCAGTCTCGTCAGTCATGCGGATCTCCGTCATGGTCCTCTGGGTGGATGCATCGACGGCATGCTACTATGTGCGGTTCAACTGGCCACATTCATTGGGTGAGTGGACTGGATGGCCATGTCTTCAAAGGGTATGTGGGTCAAACTAACTGGTCGTTTAGATACTATGAAGATAGCACCGAAGACACGTTTCAATGGCACAATGCCGATGCCTGCCTCGCCGGCTTGGGCACTGGTCTTCTGTCCACCGTTGCCGTCTCTGTCTCCCCCACATTGGCCGACATGCCAGTCACTGGAGCGGAGGTTGTACGGATCGCCTTCAGACTAGGCATCTTGGTCCATGAGGTTTCGCGAAACCTGCAAGCTCCGGCCTCTGACGGCGGCCCTGGAGATAGTTGGGCCTATGTTGTTCCCGATGCTGTTGCGGACGATGTTCAGTCCGAGCTTGATGCTTTCCACAATGCCAAGGTGCGTAATTCGGACCTCTTTCGCGGACCACTCGATGTTGCCAGATAAATGACTTTATACTACAGAAAACTCCTGAATCGAGCAAGGTGTTCATCAGCGCCCTGAGTCGAACGTCCGTAACTATCAGCGGCCCACCTACTCGGCTCAAAGATCTCTTCCTCGTTTCGGATTACTTCCGCGACCGCCGATTTGTTCCTCTACCGGTCTACGGGGGGCTATGCCATGCCAGCCACGTATACAGCAAGAAGCATGTTGACAGCATCGTAAATACCGAATCCAGCAGTCTTGTCTCACTAGATTCCCGGCTTGCACCGCGTGTGCCCATATTCGCCACCAGCAATGGAAAGCCCTTTCCCGCGAAGACCGTGAGCGGCCTATTCCGCGATATCGTCGAAGAGCTTCTCACTCAGCGCATCGAGTGGGACAATGTCATCGAAGGGGTCATCCAACATGCAAAATGCACGGCAGTTTCCGAGACCTTGGTGCTTATGTTTCGAACATCTTTGCCGGCCCGCGACTTGGTGGAAGCCCTGAACTCGGAGTCTCTTCCCTTCAAAGGACGGACGCAAGATCTCGTGCCATGGGTCACCAAGCCTCAGGCAGAGCAGCGAGGGCCGAGGGGCCCCCAGCAGGCAAAGATCGCCATTGTAGGAATGTCTTGTCGGTTGCCTGGAGGGGCCGATGATACTGAGAAGTTTTGGGAAATCCTAAACCAAGGCCTTGATGTGCATAAGAAAATCCCCGCTGACCGGTTCGATGTCGAAACCCACTGTGATCCTTCTGGAGAACGCCTGAATACAAGCCTGACACCATATGGCTGCTTCATTGATGAACCAGGGCTATTCGATGCACCATTCTTCAATATGTCTCCGAGGGAGGCAGTGCAAACCGACCCCATGCAGCGACTAGCAATTGTCACTGCATATGAAGCCCTGGAGCGCGCTGGTTATGTAGCTAACCGGACGGCCTCTACTAACTTGCATCGAATCGGGACCTTCTATGGACAGGCTAGTGATGACTACCGCGAAGTCAATACTGCTCAGGAAATCGGGACTTATTTCATTACTGGGGGCTGCCGCGCGTTTGGCCCTGGTCGAATCAACTACTTCTTCAAGTTTTCCGGACCAAGCTACAGCATTGATACGGCTTGTTCTTCTGGCTTGGCCACCATTCATGTAAGTCCCACATGCCCCAAGATTACGCAGGCAAGCGGACACTAATAGTGGATTATATAGGTTGCGTGCAATTCTCTCTGGAACGGTGATACCGACATGGCCGTGGCAGGTGGAATGAATGTGCTCACCAATTCTGATGCATTTGCTGGGTTAAGCAAAGGCCACTTCCTTTCTAAAACGCCAAATGCATGCAAGACGTGGGACTGCGAAGCCGATGGATACTGTCGAGCAGATGGTGTTGCCACTGTTATTATGAAACGCCTGGAAGACGCCGAGGCCGATAATGATAATATCCTGGGTGTCATCGTCGCTGCTGGAACGAACCACTCCGCCAACGCTGTTTCTATTACGCACCCCCACGCTGGACATCAGGCAGACTTGACCAGAGAGATTCTATCCAAAGCGGCTATCGATCCGCTTGATGTCTCCTATGTAGAAATGCATGGGACGGGCACGCAGGCAGGTGATGCACAGGAGATCCAGTCAGTTGTTGACGTGTTTGCTCCCTTATCAAGCACAAAACGTCGAGCCACAAAGCAGCCACTATACATTGGGGCTGTCAAGGCAAATGTTGGTCACGGTGAGGCCGTGGCTGGCACAACAGCGTTACTCAAGGTGCTGCTGATGCTGGAAAAGAAGACAATCCCACCGCACGTGGGCATCAAGAACTCCATCAACCCGGGGTTTCCCAAGGACCTTGATAAAAGAAATCTCCATATCGCTTACCAGTCAACCCCTTGGGTCCAGAGCTCGAGCGACAAAAGACGCGTGGCTGTTGTGAATAACTTCAGTGCAGCGGGGGGGAACACAAGTATTGTTCTTGAAGAAGGACCAGTGCGGTCAATTCAGGATAGCGACAAAGACACTCGTCCAATGCATGTTGTTGCCGTGTCAGCCAAGAGCAAGGTTTCATTGAAGGGCAATTTGCAGCGTCTGATACATTACCTCGAGTCGAACCCAGATGTCTCACTTTCCCATCTGGGATACACAACAACCGCTCGGCGCAATCACCACAACCACAGAGTAGCAGTGTCCACATCGGCTGTTCCTCAATTGGTACGCCAGTTGAACTCGCTTCTCCAGTCAGCCGACACTCACAAACCTATTCCCTCAACTGGGGCCCCGCCTGTTGTTTTTGTTTTCACTGGCCAAGGGGCCGCCCATCGGTCTATGAACCTGGAGCTCTTCCGTGATTCGCCTTGTTTCCGATCCCAAATGTTGTATCTCGACTCTCTTTGCCAGTCCCAGGGATTTCCTTCTATCATCCCTGCGGTTGATGGGAGCCATCCGCAGGATTACACTCACCCGCCTACTGTCACTCAACTGGCACTTGTTTGCATCGAGCTGGCGCTGGTAGCATACTGGGAGTCTCTTGGAGTGCGACCTGAGGTTGTTGTCGGACATAGCCTAGGCGAATATGCGGCCCTGCATGTTGCAGGCGTGCTCTCTGCAGCGGACACGATCTACCTCGTCGGCCAGCGGGCCCGGATGCTCGAGAAGAAATGTCAGATAGGGAGCCACAAAATGTTGGCCGTCCGTGCCGCGCTCGACGAGGTGCAATCAAAAGCGAATGGAAAGCCATTCGAGGTCGCCTGCCTGAATGGACCGAAGGACACCGTGCTGAGTGGGACGGTGGGTGAAATGGAAGCTTTGGCTGAGGAGCTAGAACAGTCGGGCATCAAATGTTACCATTTAGATGTGGCATTTGCATTCCATTCTGCGCAGACAGATCCCATTCTGCACGAATTGGAGGAAACCGCACAAACCGGAGTCTTGTTCCAACCTCCAAGGCTACCAATCATTTCACCCCTACTTGGTAAGGTCATATTCGATGAGAAGACAGTGAATGCCAAGTATATTTGCCGCGCAACACGGGAGACGGTCAATTTTGTGGCTGCTGTGGAGAAAGCACTTGCTATGTCCACGGTGGATGAGACCATGGTCTGGATTGAGATCGGCCCGCACCCTGTATGCGTAGGGTTTGTACGGTCAATCATGTCTACTATGAATATGGCAGTCCCGTCGTTCCGCCGCGGAGAGAATAACTGGCAGACACTATCACAGAGCCTGGCTGCGGTGCACGCTGCAGGGGTAGAAGTGGACTGGAATGAATTCCACCGTCCCTTCGAGCATGGCCTGCGGCTCTTGGACATACCAACATATGCGTGGAACAACAAGACACACTGGCATCAGTACAACGGTGACTGGGCGCTCACGAAAGGTAATAATTACTATGACTCCAAGAAAAAGTCGGCTGCGGTTGGGAGTCCTTTGGCTGCGGCGCCTGTTTCCAGCTTACGGACATCATTGGTTCATCGGGTTATTGAAGAGTCATTTTCAGGCACAGCTGGAAAGGTCATCGTGCAGTCGGATATGATGCAGGCGGATTTCCTGGCCGCTGCTTGGGGACATCAGATGAATGGAGCTGGTGTGGTGACTTCGGTGAGTAAAACACTTCCCAGGAAGCAAGGCACAGATATTGATCTGGTTTTTAGTCCATCCACGCCGACATCGCATGGACCCTGGGAAAGTACCTTTTGGATTCCCTGAAACCCAATAGCAAGAAGAGTGTTGTTGATATGGAAATCTCCAACCTGGTTGTGCGCGAGGGTCTGGTGGCTCAAAAGAACCGCAGCGTCCCTCAGCTCATCCAGGTCTCCATCTCGACGGCCGACATCGACTCGGGCGTGGCCTATCTGGAGTGGCATAATGTCACCAATGACGGCGCTTCACTCGCCGATGAGGAGCCCATTGTGACCGCCCAGATACGGTACGGCACGGCGGGCGACTACCTTTCTTCTTGGGTTCCAGCCCTCCACCTCGTCCAAGGTCGCATCGAGGCGCTCTCCCGACTTGCGGACGATGGCATTGCCAACCGTCTATCCAACAGCATGGCTTACCTGCTCTTCGCTGACCGGTTGGTTGACTACGCTGACCGGTATCGTGGCATGCAGTCGGTGGTCCTGCACGGGCTGGAGGCCTTCGCCGACGTCAGAACCAAGCCAGACGATGAAGGCGGCGTCTGGACAGTGCCTCCATTCTTCATCGATTCCGTCTGCCACCTTGCTGGCTTCGTCATGAACGTGTCAGACGCCATCGACACGAAGAACAATTTCTGTGTCACCCCTGGGTGGGGATCGCTGCGCATGGCGCGTCCGCTTGTCGCCGGTGGGAGATACCGCTCCTATGTCAAGATGATCCCTACTGCCGAGGATCCGACGGTTTACCTTGGGGATGTCTATGTGCTGGAGGGCGACGAGATCATAGGGGTCATGCAAGCGATGAAGTTCCGTCGCTATCCTCGAGTATTGCTCAACCGATTTTTCACCCCGGCAGATATCAAGAACCCTACATCTGGATCCACGTCTGCTGCAAATGGTGCCAGGAGCAACGCCCAGAGCACAAAGTTGGTGTCTGCCCCGGCGCCGCTGCCAAAGCCAGCGAATGTGGCAGAGCCGGTACCGACACCAGCTCCAGCTCCAGCACCAGCTCCGGAGCCAGTCCCTGTGCAGGGAAAGAAGCAAGACACGGCTGCACCCCCCGTCGTCGCCTCGGACAGCACTGCATCAAAGGCATTGGAGCTTGTGGCAGCCGAGGCTGCCATTGAGCTCTCTGAATTGCAGGATGATGTCAGCTTTGCGAGTCTCGGGGTTGATAGTCTGATGAGTTTGGTTATTGCGGAGAAGCTGCGTCAGCAGTTGGGGATTACCGTGAGTGGGAGTCTGTTTTTGGAGTACCCGACTGTTCGTGACTTGCGTGTGTGGTTGGATGAGTACTATAGCTAGATTGAGTCGCACTATGATAGATTATGTTATTTGCGTGATATTTGTAAACAACTTGCTCCAAATGATTCATGAGTATGTGCTTTCTAGAAACGAAGTTGGTAGTTGTCAGGAGGCGACAGGCATTCATCCAGGAAATCAAAGCGGCAGAAGGATCAATCCCAAACGACGAGAAGGGTCTAAAAAGGGAAAAGGAACTTGATGATTCTATGAACACTATGGAGAGGACAAAGACGCTCTTCGTAGCCAAGATAAGGAGCCGGGGCACGAGGTCCGTGAAATATAGGGGGACCAAATCATCCAGATATATATGCATAACAGAAACATAGGGCCGTCGATTGGAAAGGTCTGAGTCACTAAGGGTTTGAGCAAAGTCCATTGTATCAGTTTTGAATATGGGGATTCTGCAACTTGGCATGGAAAAGTTCTGTGACTTCGACACCATCGGGTTTGCATCACTCAGATCGATGAGTGTATAGCGACAAGAGAGTACTGCTCTATTCGTTGACACCAAGTCTTGCTCAAACATTTAGAATCGTGTCATCTCTTCACCTAGTGAAATATTTCAATACCACGTGGTCTATACGCCGCACCCTTAACTCTGTCGCAGGATATTGATAATCTCGGAAGACAGGCTAGTCAAGCGGCTGCGCAAATCCGTGTTCATCTGGTGGACGGTGGTGGGCGAGAAAGCGACAGGCGATGATGAAACCGGGCACTGTTGGCCGCGTCTCACACAATCTTCCGGCGAGTCCTCCTTGAGTAGGCGCTCGACCAGGTTAACGGCCCCCTGCACACGATGCAGCTCGTTGAGGATCAGCTGCGCGGTCGTCCGGCCCGTGCTGTGGTCGTCATCGACCGAGCTGCTGAATGGTCGATCGGGGTCTTTGTATTTGCCCTCCAATCCTAGGTCTCCGGCGAGCTCGCGCGCGGTGAGGGCGTATCGCTCGAGGACCTTCACCACAGCGATCGACAGCATAGGTATTAGATAGGTCATCTCACCACATTCACATTTCAGGATGTTGTGGACTATCTCCATGGACTCTCTATTCTCTGCCAATAGTGCTTCGAGCAAGGGATCGGGGCGGGTGGGTGGAGAGCCTGGAGCGCTGTCGCGTGGAACGGCTGGTGAGGAGGACGACGTGGATGAGGACACTCGGGAGGAAAAGAGGGTGTTTATGAGGTTTAGTGCTCGCACCATGCAGCCGCAGATAGAATGGCACTTTGATTTGTCGCTGCACTTCGGTCCACCCTCCGAGAAAGACTGATCCCCCGACGATGAGGGTCTAGGTGAGAGATTGAATTCGAGCTGCGACTGCCCTGACAGCAAGTCGGGATCTGTACTGACACCATCGGACCCAAACAGGCACGCAATTTCATGTTGCTCTTGAGTAAAACCTGATAAGCTAGGGTCTATTAACCCTAGTTCTGAGAAGTTGATGGGCGTTGCCAGAAGCTCCGTGAGACAGTCCCTCATCCCGGATATACCGGGAGACAGAAATGAGTCAAGCGGAGTCAGAGGGCCCGCAAACATATCCATATGGAAAGACTCGGCAGTTTCTGATAGTCTGGGGGACGGTGTCTGATCCTGAGGGAGCAACGATACATCTGCATGTTGTACATCGCCGGGAAGACCTGTACTTTCGACGTTGCTGGAACTGGACAGTCCGCTGCTGCTGCTCCTGCCCTCGTGGCCGTTGTCTTTCTCTCTCTTGCGTCCAGGGCGCTTCATAATAAAATACTCACACGTAATTCCCCGTTTGTCGCACCGGGAGCAGGTTGGCTTCTCTTTGGGACATCGGACTTTTGCCAAGGCGCATGCTTGGCAGCTGCCACGAATTTTCGATGTTGAAGAACTCATATCTCAGCGCGTTGATGTTGTCAAGCTGCAGGTCTTCAGAAGTGGGCATTCAGCAGTCCCGCATAATTCTAAGTTGTTACCCAATGCATGCAGTTGGCCAGCAGGAGCGTGTACAGAGAATCTCCAATCCCAAGACTCATCAATCCCAAGACTCGCTACGTCAAGTTGAAATGACCGAAATCTTGTCTTGGACAAGACTCTGACCGTGGCGGGCGAATCTCTGGGCGTTCTTGTCGTGAGGATTATGGCGATGGAGTCATGCCAATCAGCGAGAATTGATGCACATAAGAAGAGGACAACCGCAGTGGGGGCCGCTCAGCCTTCCCCTCTCTATTTATCCAAGGTTGGCAGTCCAGGCATTATTAAGAACTATAACTCTCCTCGTATTTAGTTGGGAGGTTATATCTATAAATTACGGCTTACCCGTTTGGGAAGATTCAGCATGGCCCTCCTCCTCTTCCCTATATGACAAATCGATCAACCAGTGATCTACTCTCGGTGATATCAACACGCTTACTGATCTACTATATGACGTTTCAGATCACGAATACCAAGGGGTGAAAAACATCATACACGCCACAGCCTAGGGTATATAGACTGCCGAGATAGTCACTCATTGGAAGAATTAGACCTTCGTTGAGTTTTGTTGATATACTTTACTGCTTACCCACCTTATTTGGAATTTACCTTTCCTGCCTATTAGTTATATCTTTTCTCACGACCGCGATATCTGGAGGTCCAAGTTTGATACCCTAATCTAGCCCCTGGGATACGATTCTGGTAGTATGAACATACGTCCATCAGATACTGATTAGAAAAGAATCAAATCTTCGTTGATTTATCACTTGTGCGCGGATACTAGTGATTTCGGAGCTGAGATCCGTACAAAACGTTTCAACAAGGCCTTATCTAGTTAGCCAGAGGTGTGACAAATAGCAGAGGTGGGCGCCGGGGCTGGATTACCCAGGTAGATTGTGGGAAAGGTGGGTAGGAGAATTGCCCTTCTGAAGCGCCCTCCCGAGGCCCAGGCATGGACGTCAGCCACCTAGGGGGCGACAAATATATTACTATCAAAGTACGGCAGGGTACTGATTGAAGAAATGATTCATTTCCCGTATTCAGAATGGTGGCAAGAGAAACAACCCATTCGTGTCATTGAACTGTGGCCAGTTTGGCCCATTTTGAAGCACTATGTCTCAGGGCGTGTCCCCTCACCTCGTATCAGATTGCAGGTCAGCTAATCCCCAAGGTTGATTGGTCACCATAATAATAGTGGCTGATTTAGTAGCCTCTGTATTTCTGTTCTGTCCAATCGGCTTAAAGGATCGACGGGCCCGCAATCTGATACGCATTGACACCACCGTAGAGTCTGCAGGCGTGAGGATAGGCCTGTCCCAGAGCACGACGGTTGTTGGTGGGACCGATACGGGTTTCCCCGTAAGGGCCTTAAATGTTAGGGTGACGGCGCTAATCTTGAGTTGACTTTTTGACACGGGTGGACGATCATCCAGCTAGTTGCCTAGGTGGACGTCTAACCACGGAGTAATACCTACCAAAACTAAGATATATAATAACCAGATAGAGCACATTTAAACCTTGGGACTCTGATCCTCTAACTAGTGGTGTAACCAAACAGATTTAGCTGGAGAATAATTGACTAGATTTAATTATTCAGCAGGCGGGTGGGACACTAAAATCTGACGACATTTAGGCATCAGCGAGGGGGTTGATCCTGTCACATACGAGCCTTCCAAGAGCCTGCCAGCCGTCAGTTGGAAGCTCAGATCTTATAGGGTCAGTGGGAGGTACAAATCACTCAACTCGTGTAATCCTAGACACATAAGGACACCCATGCAATCTCCTACCGCAATGTAAAAGCATTGGTCAGCCAAGCCCTGTTCGTTTTGGGGGCCCAACGTCCCTGGGCTGATTGATATCCACACAAACACAGCAGCTACGTAACAGACAGGGATCTGGCCAATCAACCTGGGGCAAATGACGCCCCATAAATGAAAGCTCTAAGCGATATCGCTGATACTGAAGAGTTTACCAGGAAACTTCGTGTTATGACCCCGCATCGTCATCAACATCTCCAACGCTTAATTATGTCTAGGTTACATCTTGCTTGGGAAAGCCAAGGCGCTAGCTCTATGCTAGACCTGCCCATACACTTCCACCTCGTGGTCACCATGAACTGCGCGGCCTCGATAGCATCGTGTGCGGCAGCCGGGTAGGGTGTTCCTGGACCAGCACTTGATTGCGTATTCCCCGGGGTGCTATCAGAGGTGTCGTAAGACATTAATATCTACACGAGCTGACATGCAGGAGCTAGTGATGGGGTGAGTCTCACTGTCTACGCGTTGCTAACATATACTTCCCATGGGAGTGCAGGAAGATGCCTTTGCTAGGCTGGCCATTATCAGGCTGGTGGATGTGGATGTAGATCTCACGGCCAGCATCGCACGAATGAATGGTGCCATCAAGAGCTTCTGGGAGATAGATAGGCTTGGACAGTGGCGTCCTACCAAGCTCCCGCATCTCACAGTATTTTTCGCTGCTTACCTTCCCTTATCGGGGCTTTGGCAGTGATGTTTTCCATCAGAGCTGTGGCTCTCTGAGTTGGTTCCGCTATATTCTCTGGGCTGAACTTGGAGATGTCAAGGACATCGCGAAGGAAGATGGTATATCAATGATGACTTTTCTAGCCGAATAGTATGAATACAACCAGTCCGAACCTCTCCTTGTGAATGTTTCTGTTTTAAAATTCTCCGTCAGCCCCCTGTCAGGGCTAGCGTTCACTGGATGCTACATAGCTATGCAGGTCTTAGTGTCGGGGGGGCTTCCCCGAGCGGCCGCAGCAGTGCCTCAATGTGGTTAGCAATGTTCAGGAGGGCTATGTCTAGACTGTACTTTGTGAGGTACAACCGCAGCACTAAGGTAACTCGTGTCTCTCCATGCTGACTTGGTCCGCCGCTGACCCGATAGCTGTTCTCCAACTGCTTGAAGTTTATGAAACGAGTATCCAATGGCGGCCTCCCGGGGTAATAGAATGTTTCGGGATGGCCACATTGTCAAGTTTTATCTCTGGACCGTGTCGGTTATCTAGCCCGAAAGTGGCGCCTTCTGAGTTCGAATTGGCTTTGGATCTTATGCGTTGCCCTACTGAGGGGTGGTAATTACCTAAGATCATCCTTGTCTTCACACCGAGTTGTACCGAACACTGATTGATTCGATAGCAGGGTAGGACGGCGAGGTAGGCTGATTTGGTCAAGACCTTCTAGCGCTTACGACAGAATATCTGCAAATCAAGCTCCGATACATGGAAGCATGGAGATGGGCATGCTTGGTGGGAATAAGCACTATACACGTCGAGCGCCCGAAACCCGGGTGGAGAGAATTCTCAGCATCTTGCCCTCAACCCCTCTTAAATTGCTTTTCCGACCAACAAATTAGCCTATCGAACGCTTCATGCAAGGTAGAGTGGTTGTTGGTTGGATAGGGATTGATCTGTATGGTGTTTGATCCAACCCATGCAGATTATGGGTTGATCCTCTAGCTGGCCCACCCTTACTTTCACGCGGTTGGATTGCGGATAAATAGACATATCTACGCTAACTAGGGACATGTTACGTGAGCTCTAGTATCATAACCACACCCCTAGGATCTCTATATATTTTATATGATTATATGATAATATGATAATATGATAACTAATTATATAAGCTAAAATAGCCTTAATCCATAATGGTAGGGTACGTCCTAAAGTTAGGATGTAAAGTAGTGCAAGGCTATATATGTCTCACCACTTCATTAATTACCCGTATCTAAAATCCAAAGTCAACCATGACTCTAGTTTTCCTTAAGAACTATAATATTTATTTTTATAGGTAGATATAGTTATTCTCTACATAATATATAGAAATATATACTGTCTAGCCCTCGATATGGATTTGCGGATTAGGTTGGGTAATTGTGTCTACAACTCTACCAGTCTAATGCAAGGACAAAGGTGCAGACCCTAGGTAACTTCTTCTTTCTATCGTATTATCAAACGGGCAAGCCCTTAAGGTTCAATGGAGTACTCATAGAGCACTCAATAGATCATCACAATGCTGTAAGGGTTTATGCTAGTGGGTCGTACGAGATCCGAATAGCCACTTCCAGTACAGACACGAAACATGGACTGCCTAGATGATCTTTAAGATAATTCTTGTATGGACCTGTGGAATCCCATCGAACACTAGTGGTTTACTTGTCTGTATAATGATGTTTGTCTCTTTCGCGTGCATTGTACGCGACCGTCCATTCCAAATGCCAGATTGGTCCACTGCGGAATGTGACTTCACTATTGACATTTGACAGTGACTGCCTGCCCCCGACAGGTACGAACAAAACAGAGCGTCGAGAGCCCCATTTCTAATTGACCTGCATAAAATCAGCATGTGTCGATGATGCTGATCATTCAGTTGTGTTGCCAACGTATGACTTCATAGCAGCGCTCCGGTCGATAATGACAATTCAAACACAATATCTGCCGCGCCTATTCACTGTTCTCCCACTTCAGATTGGCAAAAGGAAAGAATGACGGACCCCATGGATCGTCTGATTGATCTGACCATCCAGACTCGTCTATCAAGTATGGGCAATTACGAATTTGGCATCACAGACGAACCCTTCTTTGTCGCAGATCTAGGGCAGGTCCTACGTCAACACCGCCGCTGGCAAACGAATTTCCCGAATGTTCATCCGTTCTACGGTATGTATGGTACATCAAGCATCGAATCCATTAGGAGTTGTGGTACTAGACCCAAACTGACGATTGATGCCCCAGCGGTGAAATGCAACCCGGACCCTACGCTGCTCCGACTGCTCGCTGAAATCGGCACTGGTTTTGACTGCGCGTCGACCGAGGAACTCAGGGTCGTCGTCAATCTCGGAGTCGATCCATCACGCATAATATTCGCCAACCCGTGCAAATCGGCCTCCTCGCTCCTATTTGCTGCCAGGATGGGGGTTACTCTGACTACCTTTGATAATCTGGACGAATTGGAGACCATTCACACATTTCTTCCCACGGCACGGCTCGTGCTGCGGATCTATGCCTGCGATAACGATGCTATCATCATGCTGGGCGAGAAATTCGGCGCTCCCGTTGAGTGTTCATTCTTTCTGTTGCAACGTGCGCAAGAGCTGGGCTTGGAAGTGTGCGGGGTGAGCTTTCACGTCGGTAAGATCTCCAGTGGGGGCTTCCTCTCTTCATAGTATTGATATAGAGCAAAGGTACGGGGGCTGCGAACGCTTCAGCATATGTAAACGCCATTCGACATGCCCGCATGGTATTTGAGCTGGGCCAAAGCCTGGGATATGACATGAACCTCTTAGATATTGGTGGTGGCTACCAGGATAGCAACTTTGAGAAGATTGCACAATCAGTACGAGTGGCCCTAATGGAAGACTTTCCGTCCCAGATACGGATCATCGCAGAGCCAGGGCGCTACTTTGCCAGGAGTGCCTATACACTCGCTTGCAAGGTTCTGTCCCGCCGGTGCCACATCGCCGGGGCGGCTCAGGAACGCCCAGATATGCTTTACCAGAACGACGGCGTGTACGGGAGCTTTATGAATGTTCTTCTTGAGAAAGAAGTGGTGCATCCGTCGTTGATCCCCTGCAGCTCACCATACCATCTCGGGAACACAAAGCGAGCGCATGAACCGCATCGTTACTCGATCTGGGGTCCTACCTGTGACAGTGTCGACTGTGTTGCACGAGAATCTACATTGGAGGCGGAAGTTCGCGTGGGAGACTGGCTGAAGTACAGTAATATGGGTGGTGAGCCTCCCTCTTGATATTGTGGGCAGAAGGAATACTGACGAACAGCAGCATATACCACGGCGACATCGACGCAGTTTAATGGCTTTTCCAACAAACATGACATAATATATATTAATACAGAGGCAAGGAATAATGATAAGATGCATTCAAGCCGTCGTGGGACGTGCATCATAAGTACATCATCCATACACGATCTCGGTCTGGTCCATGCCAACATGATCTCAAGGCTTCAGTCTATTGATGCTGCAGTTTACACCGATCTAATGCCGGTTAAACTTGCATTCCATGGTTGAACGGTAGCTTGCATGCAACCCGATCGCAGGATTCCTCTTCAAGTCACTAGCCACTCGTGAGGACAATAGCCGCGTTCGAAGCTGATGATGACAACCGCATTCGATCCGCTCATGGATGCATTACCATGCTCACACCAATATCTTGTTCTGCTCCTCTAATGTCCTCAGGTTATGGCACTGATAATAGGTAGATATGCGACCTTGGTAAAGGCTGAGCGACAATCTGCTAAGAGCTCTAGAACTTCCCGTCATTGAGTATAGGTTGAACCTGGATTTCGTTCTAGGGATACACATCGCATATCTCGGTCGTTGAAACGAGGCAGCTCCAACTAAAAGAATACAAGGAAATCCACCATGGTATGCTCATCTGCGCGTTAGTATGTATACTCAAATATAAACAAGGCTATATGGTGTCCAGCACACTGGCTATAACTTATGATAAGCAGAACCTGTTTCTCTTATATCATGAAATCCTGAGAATAAGGCCAACTCTTAAGATTAATCTCCTCTTAATATACTCAAATAATCACTTTTAACCATGTAAACTGCTAACAAATCGTCTTCAGAATGTCCTCCACCAGGTAGATTGGTGTTTTCTACTCCGCCTAATGTAGGGGAAAAGGACATGCCAATATTATAGTCGGCAGAATCCGGAGAGTTGTCCTGACAAGGTAGGTTATTCTGCGATTCCAACCCATACAAGACTCCTTTTAAGTTGGGGTTGCATTGTCTGCAAAAATGGCGAAAGTTGGAGTCTGATGGCTTCCAATTGCAAAATAACAACCCTTTTATTTATCTCTTTATATGACTCCATGCCAGCATCTTGTCGGTTAGTGGTAAGATAGTCTATATTGTCATTGAAGTGATCATGAGCCAGAAATTCACATAATTGATTGACTCGCGGCAGAGCGTCCTTCATTTCCTTACGTAGTTGCTTCCAGTCAACTTTGTAGCGCTGTAGATATATCGAGTCTGGCGAAATGCATCTATTTAGAGCTTTAAAAATAGGCGCAAGTACTGCTGTTATCCGATTTTGGCGACAGTTGTTAGGGCCACCCACTTTTCTCCGATGAGATGCGAAGTACTGGATATGCCAGCCTTCTAGTCGATAGAAGCCCTCCGACCCAAGATTCAGTTGTGGAAGGCGAAAACGAGGTCCGAGGCACAGTTCAATCAGGAGGCGGAGTAGATTTATTACACATTCAGCCTCTTCAGCACAAGATGCTTGCCGGATAGGGGATGTGTAGCCTCTCTCGGTGAATAGGTAGGAATCTTTCAGGCTATCGATATGCCCACAACCATCCAAGATGGATTTGAGCATAGACTTTCGTTCCACGATACAATCTCTATGGTAGTCGACTGAATAACTCGGATGCTTGGCGTAAATCAGTCGCGTATGAGGCAGCTGCCCACGCCGTGATTCAAGTTCATTTCTTGGTTCCTGTAACTGTTATCTTCATTGGCCCTCTACAAGGGACTGGTGACGTACGTTACCCATGCGTAGAATGGTATCTGGCCTTTTCGCGCTAATGGCCTCGATAACAAGATCATAAAGTTTTACCAGTTGACCTTCTTCAAGCCTGTCTTTGAGTCCGGCCCATACAAACGGCCGAAGATCAAGGACCGATACATCATCAGCCAAAGATAATGCCCCATTGGACCCAATGTGGACACCTTCTCGTAGCGCATTGAGAGTAGCGCAGTCTAGGATCACAGTATGGATGCCCTGGCGCCACGGGTGTTGTTGACGTGGCTCAATGAGCAAAATAAGCAGTCTTCCACAGGTAAAGGGTCCTGCAAGTCGTCGAGTGACGTCGATTTCAGCATCAGAGAGCTGATCACCACGGAGCTCACTGGCGTAGGCCACAACTTTCTCAAAGGCTCTGAGGAAAGCATCCGATTTCTGCGGGGCTAGCTTAACATAGGACAGTCTCTCTGTTATCTCCTCCATCAGAATGACTGCAGTTGCCTGGCATTCACTAGAGAGGTCCCACAGATGGTGTAGCTATGAATAATCCTGAAGATTGAGTGTGCTCTTAAAGGAACCAACGGCTAGGTATACATCAGAACATCAGTGTTCGTCAGCATTCAGGTCTATGACGATGATATGACTTTAATAGACTCAGGCGCTCCCCGCCCGGGTAACCCAATGCGGGTTCCGATCAACGTTTTCAGCTTGCGGTGGGTGGCAGCCAGGCTTCGTACTCTTTGCAGCTCAAGTTTATCTATTGACATGTTAGCAATATCTAATGGTCAGTAGAGCGCTTATGAGCAGCCTTGACTGGAGAGCTGTCTGATCGTGTGCGCTGCAGCTCTACGAATATACGCACCACAGGTCAGCGAAGAAATTACGCTAGTTACACAGGAGCACAATTGTAGTGCATGCTGTCATACCCTCTACCTTGACATGCACCAACATAGCTCCTGCGAACATCCATATTAACCAGAACCATATCAGCACCCCATTACTACGTCTTCTCACTCCACGAAGAGCCACCAACGGATGGAGAGAGTGAAAGTTTCGACAAAAATAATCCCGAAAAGCTCGTTCGGCTGAATTGACGCCGAAGACGACTGACCACCCCACGAGAGGCCAATGCAATCCTAGCATTGTGGGGCCTTGTCCAGCCTGTCTGGGCATATTGATGGTATTCAGCATACCCCAGATCATCCCTTTTGTTACTATGGATGGTCTTAGTCCGTCTTCGTTTTTCACCTAAAGCCAGTACTATAGGACCACCGCCGCCGGGCGAGATTGACGAAGAGGGGTACATGCGAGAAAGACACAATGACCCCGCAACTGCGTTACTTGGCTAGAAGCATGTTAAACAGCCATAAGGACATGAAGTTCAGCATAGCCTTTCTATTATGTACGGACTTAATACTCCACCAACCATGAACACCTTATGCTTGGATATTTGCGGTATGGCTGTGACTGAGGCAGCTACTGAGATTCCTCCAATCAGGCTCGACGATCCTACATACGGGCCTATATATGGTCAATCCAGTCTGCATGAAATGCTTTGGGTTCTGGTTCTAAACCCACTCAACAGGCAGCGACGATGAAGTTGGCATTTACCCTGCTTGTGCTCGCTCTAACACCCAGTGTGGCAGTCGGCGCGCCACTCCAGCAGCGCCCTCAAGCACTACTAAAGAAGTTCACTTCACTTGTCGTCTTCGGCGATAGCTATACCGACAATGGAGTCCGATCATACAAGCCGCCAGTTGCAGCTGAGGTATAGTCACCGAAACCATTTATTGAATCGGGGTGCTCACGATCTCAAACAGTCAACTAAGAGAAGCACCGGCGGTCGTGTATGGCCCAGTTACATACGTCAATATATCGGCGCGAATATCTACGATTACGCCTGGTCAGGTGCAGTTTGCGATGCTGTCATCGCAAACACGGTTCGCAATGGCGTGAAGCAGAATCAAATCCCTGCCTTCCTGGAAGATAACGGCTATGTGAGCAATACAACCGGACAGCCCGCCCTGGTCAATCCCCCAGACGAAACTGCCTACGCCATCTGGATCGGCACCAACGACATCGGCTACGGAGGCTTTCTCACCGAAGTACAGCCAGCGGGAATGCCTCTGACGTATATGACCGACTGTGTCTACGCACAACTTGATCGGCTGTACGCGATAGGCGCGCGGGCCTTTGTGCTTATGAACACGGCGCCTTTAGACTTGACCCCCTTGTATGCTCTTCCGCAGAATGGCGGCTCTTTAAGCGCGCAGTACTGGACCGATAAAGCGGCTTATGATTCCAATATCACTCGCTCCAGCGAGAAGATGCGCCAGTATGTGACAATGGTCAATGCCGTGTATGACCATCAAACACCGTATGATGTCGTCGTTGCAAATCGGTACCCGCATAGCAGATTTGCCGTTTATGATGTGCATGCCTTGGTGAGATTGCGATTCGCTGGTACCTCTAGGCTACGACACCATGTGGCTAACACATTCTCAGATGACTGATATTTGGGCGAACCCCTCCCACTATTTGAATGGCACTGCACCATACAACGTCTCGAGTTCGGTCTACCGCTGTGGAAGCTCCTGTACGTCTAACGCAGTTCGAGACAGCTACCTGTGGTATGATGATCTTCATCCATCTGAGCAGACTGACCGCATTATTGCGCGTGAGTTCATCGACATTGTCAAGGGCAAGAGTAAGTGGGCAAGATACTGGAGAAGTTAGACTTGCCATTAGAATTATTTGTCATTCCCTATGGCATTGGCTCGGTTCCTTTAATTTGGGGAGCTTACTATAGTTGAAAGCCCCTAATGCTCGTTAATATAAATTCTGTCGCATTCAAGACCCTGAGACCCAATTTTGTAGCACGCCTCGTAGTAGTATTCATCGTCTGTATCATGCATAGGGCAACGCTTTCTTCCCTCATCCCTCGGCTATTCAAGTCGAGTTCAGCCATACTCCAGCCTACAGACGACATCTTACTGACGTTGAATTAAGTCATAGGCATACCTGTTCGGTTCTAAGGGTATCTCTCCGCCATCGTCCTCGCAGGCAGGTTCGTATTGTTGATTATTCAAGATTGGACCGATCCAGGCGACGAGTAATAGATTGTGCTTTTTGTAGCACTCGTGATTGAAGGAAGCCCAAGTCCCTTGTCCAGTATTCTGTCATCTCAGTTTAGTTGGAAACCAATCCATTCGACAGCATAAAAAGCCAAAGAGCCTAGAATAACCTGACATCCTCTGCCCGACCCGGACTAACCCACCCTCCCGTATAAACACTTGTTCTGACAGCCACTTGGCCATTCATGCAAGGGGTTGACGCAGTCCGGCTAGGTGATCACGCGCTATATCCAGTTGTTAACGGAATTTTTTTTATTGGTCCAGGCTCTTTTAAAATGATTAAGTTCGAGGATTCGCGTCTCAAGTAGGGCACATCCCCGGCTTTTGAAGGAAAGTTTCGGTTTCTAAAGTATGGTTGGCTTATTGACTTAAATGCTAGGCCTGTGTCCACTTTTTTACCGACTCTGATCAGTACATAGATGACTTTCTCGTTTGAAAAGGGTCTCTGCTCTCTTGTAACAGCATGGATATTGATCCATGCCATCCTTAGCAGATCGACACTCTCATCAACGCTTCCATGGCTGCGATATGACTTGTACAAGGTCACTAGCGTTAGCGATAATGTTACAGTACCGCTCACAGAGACCGCTATCCTGCCTCTGGAAGACATGTTCAGAGCATCGTATAACGAGATCGAATACCTGAAAGTATACTTCAGTCACATACAAATTCCACCCATCCAACAGCGTTTCGAGGCGAATCTACAGCACCCGATCGAAGAGTTCCAGGCTCTCGTAACGAGAGAATACACCTTGTTATTCAAAGACGCATTCCTCATCGGATCGACGAGGCTGCTGGGCTTCAAGAATCGCAGCGCGCACGGGCCCGCGAAGGGGTTACCCGGCTCTTGAGGAAGCTGGACATGCTCAATGAGACTATCACCGCGTGGGCCTATCAGACTGCCATGGTTGACCTCCGGCAGGGCGACGCCCGCGAGAACATATTGACGCAAGGCGAGGCGATCTGGGCTCGGCGGTTCAGGAGCATTAAGGAGGCTATCGACGCCGTGCTGGGACAATTCTCATACCATGGCCATCCTCTCCAATACGTGGGAAGTCTGAGTCACGGCATTCGAGGACATCATAAGGGAACTACCGTCATCAATCTGGACGACTTCGATGTCGACCTCTTTGTGGCACATGCTGAGGAGTGGCGCAGGCACCTGCCCGTGATACGAGAACAATTCCCGGATAATTTCAGCAATGGAAAGATACACTCATTAGGAACCCATATGCATGAGTTACAGAACCTCAGTTATGCGGTAGGCCATGCATTAGCTGCGAATCTTACAGGCAGGGTCAAAAAGTCAAGGAGATTTATTGGGAATACGGAAATTGTGCTTCGCGAAATAGGCGCGTATTAGTCAGTTGTGGCTTGTAACTAGTTCATTACCAACGCCATACCGGAAATAGCAAACCTGCCCTAGCCACAAAAGGGAGTTCAAGCGCCACAAATGTTCATTCTCCGCCTATCCCAATTTTCCCCAATATTCCTATCCACTTCCCAAGAAGAAGGGGAAATTGGTACTGTCAGTAAACCCTGATCAAAGAATTCAGAGACAGAAACAACACATGCCTAGGAGTTGCAAGGTCCTCGGCTATGAAATGGAATTTACATGAAGTCAGACCTATGCAAATAGTGCACGGTCAACTGCCTAGGGCGATATTGACCTACGCACGAATGGATATCCATCAGCTACTTTCTGAAAAGAAGAATGAGTAACTTTGTTGGTGCAGGCGCAAGGCCTGCAGAAACCGCAAATTCGCATCTTGAGGAAGAGACGACCCTCTCGCCAGGGACAATCTCCAGCTCCGATGAGTACGCAGCAAACCCGCGATTCTTGCAGCTCCAGGAAGAACTGCGCGATGTACTCTTTACGGCAGTGGCCAGTCATGCTCCTACGAGGCATCAGTCACCGAGACCGTCAGATCCGATCGAGGACACCGCGTCCGGGCTGTTGAGGAATAGTCTGGATTTCGCACAGGTCTCGATCCCGAAGGTCAGACTGATCCACTACCTGAAAAACTGGATCATCGAGTGCGCTCCTCATCTGGACAAGTTCGATGAACAAAGCCATTTTGGTGTGCATATTCCCATCCTTGCTCAAAGCTCGCCGGCTTTGTTTTATGCCATCTTGGCCTTTTCAGCCCGGCAGACTGAGCGCAAGGCTTGTCTGGACAAGTCGTACGACAGTCTGGAGCTCTATCAACAGTCCATTCGGCTGCTGAGTCCGTATCTTCAAGCAAAAGATCCTAATGTGCTGGTAACAGTCTGTATCCTGGGGTGTCTGGAGTTGATGTCCGTTAGCCCTAGAGACTGGAGACGGCATGTCGAGGGCTGCGCGGCTCTCTTCGACGCGTATAACGTTAATGGTTTCTCCGGTGGTCACCTTCAGGCCGTCTTCTGGTGCTATGCGCGAATGGAACTGTGTGGAGCGATCATTTCAGAAGGAACCGAAGGCACTATCCTTCCACTCCACAAATGGGTCCCTCCGCAGGCCGCTGACTCAGAAGAAGAGCGAGACATCCTGATCAAGAATCTGTTTTGCCAGGACAGCTGTTCGAATCCAGACAGGCATGCGAACTGGGCAGTGTATCTCTGCGCGAAGACGTGCAATCTGGCATGCCGTCGATCGCGGTTCCTAGAATTGGGCGAGCTGGATCAGAATGACACGAGACCGTTTTCCGAACAATGGCGACGACTCTGGGAAGAGCTGCAATTCTGGAACGACCACCGGTGTCCTGCCATGCTCCCGATCAGGACCACGACTACTGGCGGCGATCAGATCTTCCCTGAGATCCTGTTTGCGCACTGGGCAGCAATCTCCGGCAACCAGCTCTATCACACGGCCTGCATCATGATGCTACAGATGAAACCGGCAAACATCCCGCTTGTTTCTCCAAGCCCGCACTCTTCCCCTGTTTGGCATGCTCGGAGGGTTTGTGGAATCTCATTGACAAACCCTCACAGTGGCAACCTCATCAACGCGATCCAGCCACTCTATATCGCAGGAAAGCTCTTGAGCCATCGAAGCGAGCATCTCGAGGTGGCCAGACTATTCAAGAAGATCGAAACCAGCACTGGCTGGGGTGCGCTGTGGAGATTAAGGGATCTTGAGCGAGCATGGGGATACGAGACTGGTGAAATTCTATCTGCTATATGAGACTACTCCATGAAATATGATGCCGCAAATGAGTGTTTTAGTACCGACATAGTTGTATTCGATGATCAGAATATTAATTTGCACTATCGTGGCCAAGGAATCGAATGTGAAGACTATATCTACAATTCCACCAATCCAGTGCAATATTTCGCGTGATTTATTGCCACTTTTGTGCCCCAAGTCATTCCATTCAATAGAGATGCTCCGCTGCGAGTCGTTTTATGCATGACTCAACTTCCCCAGATTCTAGATGGCTCTAAGATGAAAATAATACCTGAATCAATGGGACGGGAAGAACCGCGTCAGTAATCGGGTATCCAAATCGGCGCGTAAAACTACATCATGCCTCTAATCCCGCACGTTACTGACGACTGGTGTGGGGTCAATGAATTTTCCAAGTCACAAGATGGCTTGGAGCAAGAATGGGTGGAGCTGTCTGCTAAGCTTTTGTATGGAAGATAGGCTCTGGTATCCGTTTATGGATAGGGCTTACTATCGGTGGTCTCCGATGAGCCCAAATAGGAAATCATAGCCTACGGCCTCACCTCATGGCACCACGTTTGTGCGGGATCCCCACATTTCCCTCCCCCCGACTGGGCCAAAGCAAGAGATTTCTCTGGGGAATTCCTGGAGTGAGCCGATCTTCATGTGGCCAGGCCGTTTCCTGTTCCTTGTGTTTATTCTGCAAAAAACCTCGCAAAGTTAATTATCGATTGGAGAAGGAAAAATGGGTATAAAGTCATGTTCCCCTCAAGCCAGTTATTCATCCCGTCCTTGGAGCAACTCATTTGCATGCAATAATCCCCCTCTAAATTCTGGGTTATTGACCAGACCTCAATATGAGTCCTCGTTCATCTTCTGACCTGGAGGCCCCTGTCTCCCAGCAAGCGGGCTACGCGGAACATCGCCAAATGGAGAAAAAGTCCATGTGGCAGTCGTTGCGGGAGAACCCCAAGGTTCTGTTCATCGCCTTCTTTGCCTCGTAAGTGTCTCGAGCTGCAGTATCATGAAGTTCTCTTGATTAATGGATGGATAGGTTTGGTGGATTTGAGTATGGCTACCAACAAGGAGTGCTCGGACAATCCTTAGTAATGACTCGGTTTACCGAAAACTTCCCATCGGTCGTTCATTCCTCTGCGGCTACCGGATGGCTCACCTCCGTTCTTCAACTGGGCGGTATCGTGGGATCCCTATCTGCGGGCGTCTTTGGCGAGATCTTTTCGAGAAAGTACACCATGTTCGCCGCATGCTGCTGGGTCATCTTGGGAAGTTATCTGTACGTCGGTGCTTCGGCAGGAATGGCCTCGCTCCTGTACGCTGGGCGATTCTTTACCGGTCTGGGAGTCGGTCTTTTCAGCGGTGTCGGCCCCTTGTACAATGCCGAACTGGCCGCTCCGGAAATGCGCGGTCTCCTGGTATCCTTCTATCAATTTGCTACCATCCTGGGAATCATGATTTCCTTCTGGGTGGGCTACGGCAGCAATTACATTGGCGGCACTGGTGAGACACAATCCGACCTGGCATGGCGTCTGCCTTCCATCATTCAAGGAATCCCGGCTTTTGCACTGGCCTGCGGCATCTGGTTTATGCCCTTCTCTCCTCGGTGGCTCGTGAAAGTCGGACGAGACCAGGAGGCTCAGTCCACGCTCGCCTGGATGAGGAAATTGCCGGTCGAGCATGACCTTGTCCAGATGGAATATCTCGAGATCAAAGCAGAAGCATTGTTTGAGAAGAGAGCCTTCCCCAACACGGCGGAAAAGGGAATTCTGAAGAACCAGTGGGCGCAGTATGCCAACTGCTTCTCCACCATGGACAACTTCAAGCGTGTTTGCACCGCCTGGCTGGTGATGTTTTTCCAGCAGTGGAGTGGAATTGATGCCAGTATGTCTTTCAACTCTGTGTTCCTTGTTTCTGAGCTGACATTCTCGCAGTCATCTACTATGCGTCCAACGTCTTTGTAAGTCTGGGACTGACTGGCGGTACAATCGCTCTCCTGGCGACTGGAGTCACTGGAGTTGTGTTCATCGTGAGCACCGTCCCAGCTATGGTAAGTCATTTATCCCATGCCATCCGTTACTGGACGCCTACTAATGTTGCATAGCTGATCATTGACCGGGTTGGTCGCAAACCCATGTTGCTGGTCGGTTCGGTGGTCATGTTCCTGAGTATGGTGATTGTCGGTGTGATTGTTGCCAAGTTCCAACACGACTGGCCGTCCCATGTAGCGGCCGGATGGACCGCAGTTGGTAAGAGTTCCTCCCTTCGTCCTTGATTCTTGCAACACGGCTAACATGCTACAGCACTGATCTGGCTCTACATCGCTGGATTTGGCGCCACCTGGGGCCCAGTCTCATGGACGCTCGTCTCTGAAATCTTCCCTCTCTCGATCCGTGCCAAGGGAGCTTCCATCGGAGCTTCCAGCAATTGGCTCAACAACTTTGCCATTGCATTTTTCGTCCCCCCGATGCTGAAGTCATGGCAATGGGGCACATATATCTTCTTTGCCGTCTTCCTTCTCGTCGGCATCTTCTGGGTCCAGTTCTACCTTCCTGAGACCAAGAACGCATCCTTGGAGGAAATGGACCGGGTATTCAACAGTCATACTGGCGAGCGCGACGCCCAGCTCCTTCGTGAAGCCCAACGCGATGTGGGCTTGACGGCACTGCTGGCCAGGGCAGAGGGAGGCAACGGTATGTCGAAGGAGCCAATTCCGGAAGAGAAGTTTGTGGAGAGAGTCTAGATGATGCTCTTCATTATATGAGGGATGAGATTAATGCATTTGTTTGTAATTATTATTTTTTGCTTGCCACGTGGAATCTGTGCACGGTGATATATATTCGGATGTTGCTCTATCGGCAGAGTTTAATCACAACATCTCTCTATTAATTTCTAGATCTCCTTGTAAACATCCTATGCTCTCATCTGCTTCCCTATACCTAGACAGTTACTTGACTCTATTGATATCCTCGAATACTTGGCCTATCACCATACTGCGACTATAACCCATCGGCATCGACAAAAAGTTAGAGAGCTCCGACGCACGACCAGATGAACAATTGATTACAGTAGGTTTGAATCATTCAGAGTCATTCATTTGTGTATATTAATGCTGACTACTTTCTTTGTCTCCATGTAAGTCAAAAGAGAGTGAGCCATCAATCTGTATGCGTAGACAAATCTGTTGACATCATGAAAAATCTGAAAAGTAGAAGCGAAAAAGTGAACAAAAGTATTACGTAAAAGGAGTACATAATTCGGATCATGGGAGCAACCTGATTGGCCAATCCCCAGCTGCCCTTTGGCTTAGTAAAAATTCCCGCTTTCTCCCCAGTCCCACAATCCGCCCGAGATGGAGGGGAACCGAACGAGAACGGGACAACGGACAAGCCGCTTTTCATCGGTCAGCCGAGGAGGTCCAAGCCTGCTTGTTCCGGGGTGCAGAGGCTCAAAGCCCCCTTTTCGACCGGTCACTGCACATTCCCGGAAGCATCTGGGGAAGAGCCGACGACCACGATGCCGACGAAGAGAACGACCCCAGCAGGCAAACAACGTGTTCGCACTGGCTGCTGGACATGTCGCAGACGCAGAAGAAAATGTAAGCCGGCTGACATCTTATTAAGAGTGGTTAAATTCTGATTCTCTGCCGATTCAGGCGATGAGGCCAAGCCTGAGTGTGAAAATTGCACTGCAAAAGGCTTTGCCTGTAAATATCCCAGCAAAGTCACCTTTGTCTCGATTGTAAATGCATCCGATATACAATCCGATGGGACAGGAGCAACCTACAGCACCATCAGAGTAAGATGAGAATCGCCAAAGAACGGTGCATTGAGTCCATTGACTGACAGTTGATAGTTTGTGGATGAGACCCCCGCCACAACTCCATCACTGCATGAGAGTGGGACGGTAGAGCACGAGCAGACTCCAGCCGAACTTCGTGCAGAGCCGCTAGAACTACTTCCAGCCCCCAGTCACGCTACGGCGGATCTCCCTTCGAATGCTATTCCTACCCAGCAGGCTCGGCGCGAGGTTTCTTTTACCGCTCTGTCGGATTCCGGCAATGATCCTGAGACAGGATTACTTCGACATTACTGCTATGCACTAGCTCCTTGGATTGATGTCGGTGATCCAAGCCGTGCTTTCGGCCTTGAGTTCCTGATCCTTGGAAGGCGAGTCCGACCACTTCTTGCTGCGATCCTCGCGCTTGCTGCTGGTCAAAGGTCGCTAGTAGTCCCGAGAAACGCAGCCGACGACCTCGCCAGGAGCCTCAGATTTCGCGAAGAAGCCAAGAACGGCCTTCCTTTGCAAGATAATACGATCCAGCGAATAGGAAATGTATTTTTTATGCTCCATGACTTCTTTTCCTCCCGTCCATCCCAGTGGAAGACCTTGGTGACTGGTCATATCACTGCATCAGGAGGCCTGGGATGCCTGGCAGCCTCTGATGGAGGGCTCAATGAACCGTCTTTCTGGGTGACCCTTAGAATTGGTGAGCTTTATAAATCTTCCTAAGCTTATTGTCAGAAACTAACACTGGCCAGATCTTGCTGCATCTATTATAAGCTCTGAGCCTCCACAAATGCTGGTTCCCCCGCCTTTGTCAACTTCGGAGCCAACTCCGATCAAACAGGTATACCAGCATATTCTCCTCCTTCTCGCGCATACCTTGAGCTTCATCTTCGGAGGTCCAACGGCATATCTCGAGGGCCTGGGCCCAGTAGACACGGTTCCCCGCTTGAACCCCGTGTCGCAATGGAACTATCTGTGGACGGAATGTCGGAGATGGTATCAAAATCGTCCTCTGCAAGTGCAGCCCGTCTTGGATGTCCGAGCTGCGCACGCAGATGAAATTGACCCACAGAACGCTTCTTCCTTCCCAATCCTGGTCTACACCACACCCCTCGCTCTAGTCGCAAATGCTGTCTACCACGTCGCCTCTTTTCTCCTCCTGACTCGCAAACCACGCTTTGTGAAGACGCTGACCGGCCCGAAATATCTGTCATCGTCTATCTGGCATGCTCAATCCATTGCCGGTATTGCAACTAGCAACGACACGGTCGAGCAGTGGGACCCGATTCTCATCGCGGCGCTGCTTCTCATAGCGAAAGATATGACTCACCATTTACAGCAGTCAGCGGTGTTGAACCGGCTACAACGGATTACAGAGTTGACAGGGATCAACTTGGGCTACGAGATCGAGTCTCTTCAATCCCAGTGGCGCATGTCACGATACGAAGAACCAATTGCTTGATGGCAGATCACATCAGAACTTTTTATTTCCCACTAGCGACTGTCCAAACCATCGACTTCCACGGCCGTTGGAATGCTCTGCATTGCACCAGGCCTCTGTACACATAACGCCGCGGCACAATTTGCCCGTCGCACAGCCTGCTCAATGGCATTATCAAATTCTTCCAGCGGCGCCGATGTCGCGATGAAATCAGCAAATGCCGCGGCGAAATAGCCGACAAAGGTGTCGCCAGCGGCCGTCGTGTCTACCACTTTCGGTACGCGGACTCCATCGACGAGGCCCTTTCTGCCGGTGCAAGTCGAGAAGAACACACCCTTTGCCCCAAGGGTAATGAGGACGATCTTGACGTTGGCGAGAGCATGGAACCGCCTCGCCAGGTCTTCCGGCTTCAGTTCGTCTGTCGTCTGCGTGCCGATTGCTGAATCTGGTGAGATGGATGCCTGCATTTGCACCGCTTCGGTCTCGTTCATGACCAGAACAGAGGTGTTGGAGAGCGCATCAACCGGGACGCCATCTGCGAAGACCGGGGCCGGATTGAACAGGATATGTGTCGGGTTCCCTGGCTGGTTGAAATGCTTCATCAAGTCCAGAGTCGTGTGTCTGGGGATCTCGCCTTGTAGAACAACCAAAGCCGGGGCTTGAGGGTATGATTGGATCGTGGCGAGGATCTTCTGAGCGTCGTCCATTCCGGCATGGTTCGCCCCCGGCACCACCAGGATCCTGTTTTCGCCATGCGCTGAATCTTCAACGATGATTGTCGCCGATCCAGTGCGGCTGTCTGTTTTCTCTTCAATATACTTTGTATCTACACCGGAATCCTCTAGCGTCGGTCGGATCAGTGTTGCATAGTAGACGTCGTCGGCGCCCACAGCGCCAATCATGCTCACAGTGACTTTTGAGGCATCACTGGAAGTGAGCGATGCTCGACCGCATGCGACGGCCTGGTTTGCACCCTTTCCACCGGCAGTCACGGAGAGTGAATTTGCTGTCAAGGTCTCCCCTGGCCCGGGACACCGGGATGTTGATACCGCAAAGTCGATATTCAGCGAACCGACGACGCAGATGTGGGTCGTGTTGGAAGACATGCTGCGAGATTTGACTGTGGTGTTTAGAATACTAAGAAATCAAATCTTGAGGCAGGTGGATGAGTACCTGCAACTCGGATATTTATGTCGTGTCTTCACTTAGCCCGCTTCTACTAGGTGGAGCCGTCCAAATGCGGGAACCGTAGGCTATGCCCCTAGAATCGTCCCACAGCATGTAGGCAAATAATTGTTCAATTCTCTTTTGCTTTTAGAATTTTGATTCCCTTGCACGAATTTGATTGGTTCTAGTAAGTCAGGCCACGTAAAATCTCCGTGCTCGCCCAATTACACGAGTCTGGAGAAGTTAAGCTATTGGCATCAGAATTGGATGCCTTCAAAGTTGTCACAACACTCTCCCCTGTACAACTATTATATATCACCAATTGGACACAGAGTAGAAGCCAGGCATGAAGTGCATGGTATCGTTCAAATATTATGAATGAATTGCTAGCCAGGAAGATCTAGCTGCCATGAACATGAATAACATTGGAATGTTTAGTGATATGTTTTGTGATATGTTTGTAGATAAAGTCTCCTATATGATACGCGCGAAGCAGTAAAGAAGGGTGCTGCTGCAAACCAAGGCTTTTTATGTTTGATTAGCATAGTAGCATTACTTGGTTGCCAAGGAGATTGGCCTGGTGGCGAAGGACTGAGGTAGCCAAGTATGATTTCAAGGTATCGGCATTTAATTGGGCATGTTAGATCTTTTAAACACATGAAAGAGTCTATTCTAAAGATTTAGTAGGGCGTTACACAAAATCACAAGATTCCTAGACGGTTTAGATGCCCTGCTTTGCCCTGCCCAGGTAGGAGACTCCTCAAAAGCAAATAAGATTGAAACAGCCTATATATAAACTATCCTCCAGTATCTAGGCCTTGCCATGTAACAAGTATATTTCATATCTGATAAATATCAAAGCATGGAACAGAATTAGAGAAGTTATGCCAGAGTCAACACCAGCCCCAGCACCATCCATCTGACCATCGACTTGCCTTCACTGCTAGCGTTCAACTATTGAGCACATTGTTATCTACAAATGGTTCCAGGCTGGGAAATGACAGGCAGAACCTCTACCTTAGCCTTGTGAGTTGAATACGATACATCATCGCCCTCCCTGGACTCCTTCTTTGTTGGTTAATCGTGACTATGACTCTTCATGATTCTTTTGCCCCTCTATATGCCATGTTAGAGGAATAGACAATATACAGATACCACTTTAGATGACTGAAACAAAATTATGATTAGCAGGCAGCCGCAGAAATCGAGAGAAAATTTTCTGCAGTCCCGTTTTAGGCATCTATGTTTTGTGAGGCATGAGAGGCATTTTTGGGAGCCAATGGATGTGCAAACTTTAATGGAAGCCGCTCTTTCAAGCATCTAGCGGCCCTGAATGATAGCAGAAGGTGATAGAAACCGAAATAAGGCATATTGTCCTGATGTCAAACGTTCAGAAGGAAGAAGACGAAGAGAAAGTTGTAGGTACAGATACCGCTCCTGATGTCCATTTTGATGGACATTATCCTTCGCGCCCCATGTCGCGAACCAGAAGCGAGTAGTATGTATCACCTCTGTTGTTATAGATAGTAGGAGACAAATCATAGCAGGCTAGCAAGCCTGTGAGGGAATTAAATGATCGATCCAAGCTTTTCTTGGATGACCATGACAGACTGCCAACAGATTCGACGAACCTGAATGGCTGAATCCACGGGGCTGGACCGAATAAGGTCATCTAGAAGTCTCCAGTTCCGAAGCTAAGAGATAAATGTATACAGAACATCTTGTTCGGCGCATATAAGAATCTATTGCTCTCCCTCTGCTCGCCTGCTTGGTTGGTCATCTCTCCATGTGGAATACTGATACATCTATTTCGTCATACAACCAATTTTGATACTTCAGCCAAGTCATACATCGATGAATAACCTTCCTTCTACTATCTTGTGCCGCTGTATCACTGCAGTGGAATGCCATAACCACAGACCCAACGCTGTCTGCCCAGAGCTCCTAGAAGAACGTCGCCCGCCATAGGACAAAGGCTGTTAGGGCCAATGCTTCGAGGAGTATCAGTACGCTGTCAAAAGATGGAAAGTATTGCATTCTGTTTGTATATCATCATCCTCAAGAAAGCACTTCGGAATGCACACGCTGATATGTAACAGATTAGTACAGTTCCTGCAGATTTCATACATTCGCTATTTCATATTTGGCCTTTGATATACAACCAAAAGCGGAGGGAGGTAAAACAGAAAAGAGAAAAGCCTATCGACCATGCACAAAATGAATCGCTTCATGGATATTCTGAGCAAGCCCGGAGCCAAGGGCGACATCCAAGGCGTGGCTCCCACTCAGTTCACCAAGAAAGACGGCCTTGCGATTGACAAACCTACCGCCACTGGCTACGCACCGAAAAGCAAACCCAGAATGTTAGACCGGTGGCTTGATTTCACCGTTCGGATGTCTGGCTCAGAACCAGTGTTCTTCTTCATACTCGCCGGCCTCCTCGCCTGGGCATTGCTTGGGATCAAGTACGGGACCACCGACCTCTGGCAAGTCCTGATCTCCGATATTCAGGCAATCGTCAGCTATGTGTTCGACTCCTTCCTGGTCAGACAGCAGCTCAACGCATACGATGAGGAAATGACTGTGGCCGCCGAGTTGCAGTCGCGCATTCTCAGCCACCGCAGGATGCTGGCGAAATTGGACCTGGAAACAGACAAGGAAGACCCAGAGAAGCAAGCCCGTCTGCGGACGATCGTGGCTCAGTACCAGGACGCTCCTGAATTCAATGCAGAGCTACCCACTGAGAAGCGTTTTGGACGGATGATCACTTGGTTCTCTCATGTACTGGGCCACCTTGGCACCGTCGCTCTATACTGGGTTAGCGTCTTTGTCTGGATCGGCCTCGGACATCTGGAAGGATACAGCAACGAGTGGCAGCTGTACATGAACTCGGCTTCTTCAGCATTGATGGTGTTTGTCTTTGCATTCCTGGCTAACATCCGCGAGCGACACTCGGCCTACACTGTTAGTTGTCTGAATGCAATCTTCAAGGTTGATGCAACGCTCGAATTTCGCCTCCGGCTCCTCACGGGTGATAACATTGACAACGACGTGGTCATCATCCCAGCGCCCAAGGTTAGCGGAGTTCAACGTGCCATCTTCTACTATGCGGATCTCGTCGGGACTCTGGTCGGCATTACCATCCTGTTAATCATGATGATCATATGGGTGGCCATAGGACCTCTGCTGCACTTCAACGCCAACTGGTGGCTGATCATTGGCACTTACGCTGGTCTCGTTGGCATGAACGATGGCTTTGTCCTCCGAAACTTGCAAGCTCGCCTTCGGGATTTTGCCGACCTAGAGTTTGAAAAGGTCGAAACGGAAGACAACAAACTCTTTGAGAGTGTCGGTCAAGCCATGCCGGTCAAAGAAGTCACTGGAAAGGTAGGTCTAACGCACCGCATATCCGATGCGATGAATCGGGTCTGCGCACATGAGATCACTGTCGTGTCTGGCTTTCTTGCCATTGTGTGCCTCATTGCAGGAGCAAGCGCAATGAAATGGACACTGACAGGCCAGTTGCTGTGCAATGTCCCACCAAGCTTGATTGAGTCATTCTTCATGATCATCTTGATCACAGGTCATAACTCGGCTGATGATCGTAAGCGAGTGGATCTGCGGAATCTCTATGAGAGGCGTCTGCATCTTCTGGCTCTTGTCAATGGTGTACAAACACTTCGAGAGGAGAACGGCTCACAGAGGGACTAGTCGTTACAGCATTAGTTCGCCTGAGACCAGAAATAATGTCGTTCAGGAATTGTGGATTGGGACTAGTCGTTGATTTGCTTTCTTGTATCTCTTTATTGTTTCAATTTTCGGTATTGTTGAGCTTCCTGTGGTCTGGTAATTGGTGGTAGATGCAAAAGTCCATGTATTTCATCTTGATTTTACCTTGTGTTAAAATGTTGCTAACTTAGTTACTGGATACAAATATCACTAGAAAGTTTCCCTTTGAGCATATGTACAAGCGCAAGAGGATCATGGGTTATAGTTCGCCAATAAGACACTGCCCTGCCAGTCCCATATCACCTTCCTACAAGTCGAGTGCCAACTGTAATCGAGGACCTCGCGTAGCTATTACTCTTGCTTTTGTGACACACACATCTGTCAACTATGAGTAACCATTCTGCAAGGCCAAAGGATACTACCAAATTATCAAAAAGGGAAAGGGAAAAACGTCCCCAATAAACTGCCCAACTTAAACCATAGTCATGATTGCCTTTCTGTATGAAAGACAAGATCATGCCACTTGGAGGAAACATTATGGGGATCATACTTCCTCTTCAGGGCCTGCAATCGGGGAAGATTGTCCCTGAAGAGGTAGGTTGCTCCAATCTCATGACCTACATGGGTTGTCAGCATGTAATCAACATAGAATAATTCCCAAGCGACTCCCACCTGCGAAATTTGCATTGGCCTGCACCACAGGCTCCCTTTTGCCAGCATAACAATCTGATCTCTTGATCCTCGAGAGTAGGGCTCGCATATATGTATGCATCGCCGCGTCATGCTCAGGGTCATACCAGCAGAGAAGCAATGCGACATTGTAGTATCGCCCTCGGTCCGCACAGGCTGTGGCGTCGATGGGGACACTTATGGTCTTCCCGTAAGGTATGAGCTCAAACATTAGCACGCTGTTCTTTGATCGCGGGTATTTATCCATAATCGCGTCGAAATGCTCCCATAGATCACAGAGCAGATGCCGGTCAAGTGGCATGGATACTTTGGTCCCACTGAAGCATTTCCGACCCTCCGGGACTGGATCGACATCTGCAAGTCTATTGAGCTCTTTGTAGGACATCATAGACGTTTTGTTTATTGAAGGACCCAGAGATATCAACGGCGCGAAGAACACCTCAGCTTTCTCTTGACTGCCGTTATAGAATGGCAAAACCAAGATTCCTGTACGATCAGCCGCTGATGGCGCCGCAAGCCCAAAGAAAAAGCCACTGTCTTCATCTTGCCGCTCATCGAAGCGATTGGCGAATTCAAGAATTCCCGGTAATCGATCCACTGTGAAAATGAGCGTTCCGCCGTACACTGGCCCGGCAAGGTCATAAGCCCGGAAAACCAGCTCTGTCACAATGCCAAAGGCTTGTCCTGCTCCGCGTACTGCCCAGAATAGATCCTGGTGATCCTCGTCGGATGCCTCCACAATAGTACCGTCTGCTAAGACCATTCTGACACTGAGGAGATTGTCGCTGATCAGACCGTATCGCCCAGTTAACCACCCGAAGCCACCGCCCAGTGTCGTCCCTGCAACTCCAGTGTGGCTTGCAGTCGATCCGACAACTGCCAGGCCATAAGCAGCAGTGGACTCGTTAACATCATCCCAGATAGCGCCACCCTGGACACACACAGTTCTGGAGGCAGGGTCAGTTAAAACGCGACGCATTTTAGTCAGGCTGATGACCAGTCCACCGTGGGTAGCGGACGAGCCAGTCGTGGAATGTCCACCGGCCTCCGTGACGAAGTTGATATGGTGCTTTCGGGCAAATTGCACTGTTTCAGATACTTCTGATGTAGAAGTCACTTCGACTATAGCGCCCTGGCGAAAGTCAGTCCCTGTCGTATGTACAATAAGAACGTGGAGAAACACACTGCGTCTCGTTCGCAAGTATCGCTCCATCTTTTAATCTTTTCCGCATAGTCCTGAGATCCATAACAAATCACATTCGCTCGGGTTCCTTCCAGCCAGCGTCTCAGTTCTAGTACATGCGAATATGACATGAACGGCATGATGTCTCTTGTCCAGAAATGTAAGAATCGGATGCATACAATAAGTGAACTGCAAAATACATAATAGAACAAAGCTCTGCCACATGGCGATGCCTTGTTTTAAACCAGGAATAGGGAAAGGATTTCTAGTCGTGCTATTGGACATAATTGATCAACTTCGTCATGGTCATTTTGTTCGAAAAGTATTCCTCGGTCAGACCACAGAATGAGGCGGGGTCTCGCCCGCAAGTACCCTGGATATAGAAAGTAAGATCTTAATCCTTGAACACGATTAGCCATGTGTACAAGAAAGACCTGATACTAACAGGTCTGACTACTTCCAGTCTGTCTAGTATTGCTCAGACAAGGTCTGGAGACACCAGTGATATTCTTAGGGCTCTAATTTAGAGTTACAATTGCAAAGATGCCATATGGGGAGCTAGAGCCTTCAACTTGACCGATATTTTCCAGTACTTGTGAGTATTTCCCTTGAAATTCACACGGCCCAGTCCTGGCATATGTCACAGACCTCTACTAAAGCCATCTGGCACAGTGGGCAGCTATTCTGATCCCTTAAAAACCATCTTTCAAGGCAAAGATCATGGAAAACATGACGACACCGCAGAGTATGAACTGGATGATGTCTAAGGACCGGATCTAAACAGATGGGGCTGTCGCCCACGTTAGCAACACATGCCCGTACTTTTTCGATGCTCAACGTTATGGATCAGGATCTTACCATGTGATGCTGTTGTACTGGAAATACGGAACTTCGGCAGGTCGCGTCGATATCAGCCAGGAACCTAGGAGCTCTATAGGGGCTGCCTCTTGAAGCTCGTTTAGCTTGTCTGCTATGGTTTGGCGAATTGATTGTTCATAGATATCATCGGGGTCTTGATTCTCATTCTGCGTGGTGCAATACGATGTGTATAGTATCCTATTCATTTACTCAGTGTTCAGATTTGGATGTAAGGACAGACCTAAAGTCCAGGGACCTTTTTACCAGAGTGCCAGGATTAGATAAAAACTGCCACATGCGAAAATGGCCAAGTACAACTCTGTTGGATCAGTTGTGTGATTCTCCAGGTCATTGTCAGAAGTCGAGTAAGGCGTAGGTGTTTGCTTCTGTAACCTGCTGGGCAGTTCCATAGTGACCCATCATGTGTTCATCATATATCGGGTGAATAGACGGCAGCCTTTGATGTATTATCAGCAAGTCTTAGATACCCAGGCGATGAGCCAACTGAGTGGCATGATATCATTATTCTAAAGCTAGGGTAAAAATTTCCATAAGAAAGCTTAAGGTTTGTTACCCCCATGAGGTCCGGACCCAAAATATAAATAAAAAAAGACTTAAAACCAGTGGCGAAATGCCTCATATGATGCTTCAACTTAAAACTACCTCCTATTCAGTTTGTCTGAACTGAGGTAACTGTTCCTATTTTGCCACCCGGTGGCATGATATTAAACTTTGGAGCTGACAGGTTCAGTGTCCCACCTTAAACATTATATCCATCAGTCTAGAATAAACTTCTTGATATGTTTCATTCTGATGAAGCTTTAGATTATTCTTCACAACCATAGTCCAAAGGTAAAGGAATTTCTAAATAACTGATATAGTTAATTGCAGAGCATTCATTTGCAGCAGATATATCTAAAGTAATACAAGAATATGCGGCGTGTCTTGTGAGTCAAGATGGCCGATATGTGAGACGATAGATAGAAAGAGATTAAAATCAACCAGGTAAACAGAGACATTGTCAGACTTTGTTTCGGTAAGCAGGATTTGGGTGAATTGGAAGGATAGACCCGAATCATCTTTCAATATGCGAGTGCGGCAGCAGCATCTGTATGACACTCTTGGTTCGAAGTAGCGGACGTTCTCTGCAGTGCAACTCTTATCTGCTAGATTTCCAGTACCAATGGTATACCTCGTCAGCTTCAGGCACAGGGACGTCTGTTTCACTAAGACCATAGGAGTAGCATTCACATACTCCTAGAGCCCTAGGAGTCATCTGTCTTTATGGCAGTCAGCACAGCCATAATAAGCTACCGCGGCTGCCCACTGCGTATAGCTACATGAAGTGATGGTTTCCACAATGAGTAATGAAAGGGTAAGCTAGGTGGCTGCTGAACCTATACTTAAGGCACCATCCTAGTTTAGTACCTATTTACTGACGACGGAAAAAGAGGCCTTTTCTAATATAGCTAATGGTATTAGGGCTTCAATACTAAGTCCCTCGACCTTTATATATGGAGACTAAAGCATGCGAGAAACAGGAAACAGAGTACTAAGATGTGGAATACAGGATTCACAACAGGTCATTGGTGTGCATATAATGCCTACCAACTATGTGCAGCAGGGGTATGGGTCTCCACTCTAACACTTATAGTTGCCCATTCTTCTTCACCACGAACTACATGCGAGCCCAGTGCTTTGGCAATTACCATCAGGACAGCTCTGTTTGCTAGCTAATGTTGGCTATAAGTCATTTTAATGTAGATAAGATCAGAGCACTCCTAATACAGAATGGGAGTTGACCAGTAGCTGCCGGTCCATTTCTCTATTCAAAGGATCCAAAAATAGAGCATCGACTCGATAATAGATAAAATACAGACAGTGCTATAATGGCGTCTTTATACTCATATATCATACACCAACGATGGTCGTACCGTGGAATTCCTCGTGGGCTGATTCTTGAACTTCAGCCTTTGTGGCATCCTCGTCAGCAAGTTTCCGCGCTGCTCTCTCCGCGAGCACATCACTATGAAGTTGGTATGCTCGCTCCATGTCCCAGTAGAACGGGCTGGATGTGGAGAACAAAGCATCGATCGATTCAAGGGACCGATTGCACGTTTCCGGGTATAGCAGGTAGACGATTGGAATCCAGAGCAGGTTAAGCCCAGCAAGGAGGAAGTAGCTGCGGCTCTTCAAGCTACCAAACATGATGGGATTGACTAGTGTGGTCATGCCGACTCCAATAGCCCACCCGGTGATGCCGAACCCGTTGCCTTGCGCTCTGAGATCCGATGGGAAAATCTCCGTGGGCACAAGGAAGGCTACAGTTCCCCAGGTTGCAGCATAGCCCAGGTTGAAGAGGAAGAGCATTGCCACTGCAGCTGGTGCATACTGCGAAGCTTTGCTCGGGTTCTGAAGCGAGCCTTCATACACGCCACCGGCCTGCAGCAATATTGATTAATTCCTCTCTCAAATGTTGAAGGGAAATGGCTGAGACTTACCACAAGCTCGACAGTAAACAAGACCAGTGACCCTAGCATCAGACACTTCCTCCGACCAAATCTATCCACAATCTGCGTACTGATGAGTGTTCCGAGGATTCCGATTGTGTTCAGTCCTCCTGCGAGACCGTTTTGTGTAATCTCACTGTACCCGGCTTGGCTGAGAAGAACGGGGGAATACGCTGTAACAGCCTGTGATCATAGTAAGCTTTTACCCTGAGTCTTTGCGAGGGGTACAGACTTACTGTAATACCCGTCCACGAAGCCATGATCTGAAGCCAGACACAAAGCCAGGCCCGTCGACCCAGATTCGAGCCGGGTCTGCCACCCTTGCCGATCAGGATCTTGACAAACTCAATCGGAGAACTGGGCTTGCTGTCCTGAGAGGATGCAACAATCTCCATGTATTCGTGGTCGATATCCGCGGGGCTTGCTTTATGAGCGCGGACCCTGGTCAGCAGGTCCCGAGCTTCCTCGTTACGACCGACTGATGCGAGATAACGGGGGCTATCGGGTAGCATTTTGATGAACAAGACCAGTATCAGGGCCGGGACACATTGGAAGGCGAGCAAGAACCGCCACCGGATATCAGAGTAACCGTGATTGATAAAGGCGAGCCCAAAAGACATCCAGTATGCGATGGAAATTCCTAAGTCTAGAAGATGTCAGTCAATATTCCTACGGAAGGGCATCCCGCATAAGACACTAACAGTTTGCAACGAAGACGTATCCCAAGAAGCCTCCACGGTGCTCTGCCGAAGAAGTCTCGGCCACCAGAACGGGTGTGATACCGGTCAAAGCTAGTAGAGATGGGGTTAGCAAGTTACAAAACCTATCCTTCGGACGCATTAGGACATACCTCCAGTACCGACACCAGTGATGACTCTAGCAACCAGCATAAAGTCGGAGCTCTGGGCCGCAGCTTGGAGAGCACCTCCAACCAACGCGAATATAGAGCCGATCAGTAGACCGTTGATACGGCCAATACGATCCGCCAGCCAGCCGCCGGCAAAGCAGCCAAAGATACATCCAAGGTAGTAGATGCTGACAATGCCTCCCTGATGGGTAGTATCAGTCACCTTGCCATTTGGCTCACCAATGCCGACCTCGGTAACATAAGTGGGCGCACTGTTGACGCCTCCCATAACCCCTTGGTCATATCCCTCGAAGAAGATGCAAACAAGGGAGAAAGCTTGAATAGCCACATTGAGCTGCGACGACGAGAGCCGCTTCCAAAGGGTGGTGTACCCCATGATGCACCGACCTTTGCAAGAGAGATCAAACCGATGAATATATCAAACCCCTGAGTCCATTCACAGGCTGTGGGAGCTTGCAGTAGACACGAGACTAATGCGGAGGGAAAATCCGGGGGGAGGAGATCGATTTAAATATTAGTCGGAGCCTTAATCCTGCACTCCATCCCAAACTCCAACCAAACCGATCCATAAAACAAGATTGAGGCGTTTTGGAGCAATTCCGAGCGACATGGTATCAAAAATGTACCTCCGTCTGTCCGCAGGATGGCGAAAACTCGGGGAAAGCCACAATGCGGAGAGCGTCCCCAGTGGTTTTGGGCCGTTTAAGCGTTTAGCCATTTACCCTTTAAGCATTTAACAGCTTTTCCATTTACCAATTTACGCGTCAGCCAATGAAAACGCAGGGAGGCTTGACATTCAGACCAATGATGTCCGTGGCTTGCCTGTTAGGGCTGGTAGTATTAACAACATGAAGGCAAATAAGACGGAGACTGGCCCAGATCACAACGGCGAGCTGGCCAGGAGCCACAAGCCGACTTGCCTAATCTATTTAATCCGTCGCTCCGTCCGCTGCCGAGGAGACGTCAGGTTTAATCGCTATCGGTGCATCTTCTCAGCTACGAAGTACGAACGATGACTATCAACGGCGTTTCCAACGGTGCTTCCAGCCGCCCAGCCCTGGACTTAACCGTCCTGGGCCTGAACAGCGGCACATCAATGGTGAGTAGGGACGGTATTATCGCACGAATGGGAGACTCACAGACTTATAGGATGGAATTGACTGCGCTCTGTGCCACTTCCGGCAGGAGACTCCCGAGTCTCCCATGCATTTCGAGCTTCTCAAGGTACGTGGACAGTGTCCTCAATTACAACAGTCAGAGCGAAGGAGACACTGACACAGCGACTTTCTAGTATGGCGAGATTCCCCTCGAGCAGACCATCAAGAAGCGGGTCATGAACATGATCCTTCACAACAAGACATCCCCCTCGGAGCTATCGGAAGTAAACGTCATTCTGGGAGAGACATTCGCAGCTGCCGTCAAGCAGTTTTGCCAGGAGCATGAAGTCGACATCTCGACCATCGATGTGATTGGATCCCACGGTCAGACTATCTGGCTCCTCTCTATGCCAGAGCCGGGGGAAGTACGCAGCGCGCTCACCATGGCCGAGGGTACTTTCTTGGCTTCTCGCACTGGAATCACTACTGTCACCGACTTCCGAGTCAGCGATCAGGCCGCCGGTCGCCAGGGCGCGCCTCTGATCGCCTTCTTCGATGCCTTGCTCCTACACCACCCCACCAAGCTGCGCGCCTGTCAGAACATCGGCGGAATCGCCAACGTATGTTTCATCCCCCCTGACTCGCACGGAGGAATCGATGCCTGCTACGATTTCGATACCGGCCCAGGCAACGTTTTCATTGATGCCGTGGTCCGCCACTACACCAACGGCGAGCAGGAGTACGACAAGGACGGCGAGATGGGCGCCCGCGGCACCGTCGACCAGGAGCTCGTCGACGATTTTCTCCAGAACCATCCCTATTTCCGCCTCGATCCTCCCAAGACCACCGGCCGCGAAGTCTTCCGGGATACCATTGCATTCGAGCTCATCCGCAAGGCGGAAAGCAAGGGACTCAGCCCAGACGACGTGGTCGCCACTGTCACCCGCATCACAGCCCAGGCCATCGTGGACCACTACCGCCGCTATGCGCCCAAGGACCTTCAGATCGATGAGATCTTCATGTGCGGTGGCGGAGCCCACAACCCCAACATCGTCAAGTATATCCAGAAGCACTACCCGAATACACGCATCATGATGCTGGACGCTGCTGGTATCCCTGGCGGCGCCAAGGAGGCCATCACCTTCGCCTGGCAGGGTATGGAGGCGATTGTTGGCCGCTCTATCCCTGTTCCCACTCGTGTCGAGACCCGGCAGGAATATGTCCTGGGTAAGGTATCGCCCGGCAAGAACTATCGCAAAGTGATGCGACAGGGTATGCTGTTTGGCGAAGGGCGCGACCACCTCTCACCGGTGAGTGAGATGGTAAATTATGTCAAGGGGGAGGTGTTTGATAATAAGTGGTGATACGGGTCATGGGTATGATTATAAATGTATTATAGAATTCACAATGATTTATGAAAAGTTTACAGTTAGTAATAATGAGGAGTTTGGCTTGACCTTAGGACATGATTTGGATATAGGCATAGGAAAATAAGATTGAAACCTATTATACTCTCTTTACTATGCTAGAGAAGAATCATCATAGTAGTATTCGAGGTCCTCGGGGACCTTTTTTAAAACAGTTCCAGTTCCAGTGGCTATACATTTATTGAGGTTAAGAGAGCTGATGCGAATATATATAAAGTTATAGGTAAACACCTCAAGTCAATCAAGAACAAGGTAGCTTTCTATTACTTGAAAAGCAAGAAACCATATCATCTTGGTTTATAACCTAATATGGATTATCACACGACCTCTGCCTCTATTATACCTATAGTTAGGGCTCAAAGCGTAGCATGGGCTGCAGAAAGTCTCAGTGTGGGGTATGGAGAAAGGATGATGCCTCCATTAGCATGCCAAGTCTTCTGCACTGCAGACTTACACGTCTTTATCCGAGTTTTGACCGAGTCATGCCGAGTTATCTATCTATCCTAGCACTAACAAGAGGGAAAGTAGGGAACACCTCGGTAACTTGTATGTAATTGGTCAGCAGCCGCCACTGCAACGGCCGCCACGGATCATCGGTTCGACGCGTTTAACAGTTTAACAGCTTCATTTCCACGCTCTCTCTAGCGTCCTCCCTAGTGTCAGACCATCGTGGGAATGTCGCAACGTCCGCGGAAATTTCAACGTGCTTCTAAGGCTTGTTCGTGCTCCTATCAACATCCAGTGGTTTCTCCCTAACAATCCATAGGTGACTTCTGCCACAGACGTAGCATAAAATGCAATAAGATCAACGGCCCTCTGGCGCCCTGCCAGAACTGCGCCGACTTTGATATCCAGTGTACATATGATCGTCCCGCCAGGAAGCGAGGAGCTCCGAGAAATGCCAGTTTAGCCGAAGGCAAGTCTGCTCGGCCACTCAGCTTGGATACGGCAGGATCATCCTCGTCGCATTCAGCTCGTCTAGATACTATCAGACAGCCTGGTGCTGCTGATTCACCGTGGGACATTCTGAATGGCACCTGGACGACCGCTCCAACCTCCAATGACGAGGCGCTGGTGAATTCATGGAAGGCGTTTGCTATTGGCTGTCAGAGCACTATTCACGATCTCGCCCACGTCTATTTCGAGATTGTATATCCCATGTATTTATCTCCTTGTCCAAGAACGCCGGCACAACTGGCTAATACCTCGTTTCGATAGATTCCCCTTGTTTCACCGGTCATCATTCCTGATGCAGCTGGAAAAGAGAGAGTACCTGAAGCATCGGGGTCTATTCGCGTCGACAATGGCCATGTGTGCCTTGGCCTCTGCACGGACTCGTGATGGAGCCCTGTATTCAAAGCGCTGGTGTCCCTCGCAATTAGCATATCCTCCATCCGAGGTCTTTTGCGCCGCGGCAAAGGAATCTATTCCTCGAGACCTAGCCGCAGCAAAGGGTACGGAATACCTGAGGACTTGTGCCATTCTTAGCATTGCTGGCATCCAGAATGGACAAATCCAGGACATGCAACAGTACGCGGGGATCTACCATACACTGAGTGCAATGGAAGGGCTGCATGACGAGAAGCTATGGCCCAAGGACTTGAGCCCGGTGGAGGTTGAGGTCCGGAGAAGGATGGTACGCAAGCGTTTCTGCAGTCATCATTTGCGTAATTCTGCTCCAAGTCTAACAGCCGTGCTAGTTCTGGTCCATATATACGTTAGATGTCTATTCGTCCATCGTATGGGGCGGAGTCATCCGCTACCGAGAAGCCCAGTCTAATGTACAGTATCCGAGTGAGGAAGATGACGACTTTATCCCAGACATGTTGTCCGTTCAGGGGGATCTGAACGATTCTTACGGTGGAAAAGGACAGCCGAGTCAGTGGATGCGTGGTTGGAACTTTACCACTGACCTTTACCGAATACTGGAGCATGCCGTCGATTGCCAACGGTGGCGGTCGCCTTCAAACACTGATGAAAAGACCGGAGTATGGTCGTTATTCCGTCCATCTCCGATGGCCGCAGCCTCAGTCATGGACCACGTCCTTTCCATGTACACTTCCCTGCCTGCGCAGTTTCGAGAGACCCCGCCAGTCACCGGGGATCCGGCTCAGGATATCGTGGGCTTCCAGTCAGCCAACATTCAAGCGACTCTCCAACTCCTGCGTATGGTTCTGTTCGCAAACGAAGACCCAGGGGCAGATGGAAAATGTGATGTCGCAGGGCAAGTCCTGAGCGTCTTTTCCAAAGTGCCCGTCGAATATCTGAAAGCTATCAGTTCTCCTTTGGTATGTTCCTCCTCCTCATGATCCGACGCTGTGAGACTGATTATCGAAGCTGCATCATCTGGGCGGAATTGGCTATATCCTTGGATCGGTCATGGAAGGAAGTCTCTCTGAGAGATCTTATCGGCGAGTCCGCACGCTCCTGTAGGTCATCCTCTGCCATCCCCCAAAGACACGCTGAGACTCATGATAATAGATTGGAAATGGCCCAGCTTCTGCATCGGTTGGAGTCTGGATTGCGGCGTTCCACTGGTGCCAGTGAACGACTCAAAGCGCAGGTGGGTCGCATAGACGAGTACATGCGCATGCAAGCATCGTCGACTGTGTCTACACGAAGGTCATCCTTTAACCCCGACCATATGCCGTCGGAAGATAATCAAGACAGCATCGCATCCATACATGCACCTCTAACCGGGTTCGAAGACCCCCTCACTCAGTTCCAGCTGCCGCCAGAATTGCTGGATGACTGGCCGTGGTCGTTCGATACGAGTCTGCCCGAGGGAGTGTTTCCAATGCCGTTCATTAAGTGACGGCCGACAGACGAGGCCCTCTCTTTGCACGGATACGGATCTCATTCCTGAATTGGTCTCTATACAGATCAGATGCAGTAGGCTCTGATTACAACCAAAGATGAAAGTTATCACGCATTCTTGGAGACCGACACCAGTACATGGCTGGTTCACAAAGATGACTGCGCGTCTACCTCCCTCATTTCGTCAGGGTTAATGTGCTTCTCTTCAATTGAAATGGGCTATTTCTACTCCACGAATCTTCCAGAAAGATAGAAGGATAGACTATCTAAAGCCATTCGCCTCAGGTAAGACTGCTTCAATCAGCGACACCTGGCTCCTGCAGTCCCAAATCTTCTTCAACTTCAACCCTGCGGCCTGAAGAAGGGACTTAAACTCCGCTGGAGTCCGCTCAATCCCGTTAATACACGACATCATGGTGATATCTCGGCTATGGCTGAACCGCGTGTGGTAGCCGTAGTTGGCCGGCAACGGGCTCGGCGCTGACTCCAAGTCAGGGTCGCCGATGGTCGTATTCATGACCTGATCACAGATCAGCAGGCGAGAGTGTGCCGCCATACTCTGGCGGATGGCGGACAGGATGCGAACGCAATAGTCGTCCGACCAGTCATGACTTTGTAGTGTGCAATGTTAGCGACCGCCGAGCATGGGAAATGACAGCCTTACAGGACGTATCGCAAAAAGTAAATGTCGGCACCCTCGGTGGGGTTTGTATCGAAGAAGCTATGCTCGACAAACTGCACTCGTCTCTGATGCAATGCTTCAAGGTTCTCCCGGGGCCAGACCTTCTCCAGCCCCTGTTTGACAACCGGACCGCGGTCTTGCACAATAAACCGCAGCCTGGGGTAGACCTTGCTCAGTTGGAGGGGAAAGCCGCCGACGCCTCCCCCGACATCAACCACTAAGGCATCCCCCAAGGAGGCCCATGGGAAATCTGCGTGACGTTAGCGAGAAAGCCGATCCGATGATGTCAAGGCGAGAGCTACCGTAAACATGGGCTGTCCCGAATACTCGCCCACCGCCAACCATGGACAGACCCATAATCTCCAGCTCCGGTCTCGCGACCAGTCCGTCATCTTCCCTTGGTGGGAGCCCCAGAACCAAACTCGGAATCCCAGGATAATGGCCTCCAGACCCCAGCAACTTCTCTGGGGCCACGCGTTCCTCGATCCACTCCCATCGGGTCTTTTTGGTGCAGACCGCATTCTGCCAAGCCGTCTTTGCAACGTCATAAGAGGGACCGGTATCCGGGTCCAGGAGGGTGTGTGGCAGACGATCGGAGGACGTGAAGCCCTCACTATTCACCAGCTGAACATAGGCCCGCAAAGGCTCGTTCGACACCAGTGCTGCGGAAATGCCATTGTTTGCGAAGGTATTCGGCCCGGTTTGCTTGAAAATGCCAATCGAACACAGGTATCTCAAAATGCGAGCTGCAGATCACGTCAGTCGCTTGTTATCACAAGGAGAACCTTCCCCATAACCTTCACCCCAGAGCAGAACTTACACAGCTTCCGCGGTTCGATTCTGGCCTTCTGGCTGATCTGGTCAACGTGCACGCCGCCCTCATCACCGGCTGCAAGGAGATCGGGAATGCGCCGCTCAGCCGCGATATACAACGACCGAGATTCCTGAAACTGCGTTGCTACTTCCAGGATCCTTGCGCTTGGGTCAGACACCAACTCGGTCAGCTTGCCAACAGCGGCCAGGATGGTTTTCTGTGCATCGAACAGTTTTCGACTAGGAAGGGTCGGAGCATTCTGCTTGCGAGAGCCGTTTGATGCCTTCACCTCTGCAGACCATTCCGCAATAATGGTCTGGACCGTGTCAGAGATAATGTCTGCTGTCTGAAGAAGTTGCGCCGCGTCGCAGAGTGACTTTGGTTGCCGTTCCATCTTGATCATAGGTCTCATTCGTCTACCTGGCTGATCAGGGTCATTTGTTACAAAACAGCATTGTCGAGGTACTTATCCAGATGGTAGCTCAGACATTGTAACACAAGCATTCCTCTTACGCCGCACTCGGGGTGACATCTGGTGGATATGGAGCACACCCGACAAAACGACCCGAGGAAAACCACCGAGCGTAAAGCACCTAAAGTCTAGTCAAACCGGGGGCTGGGCATTAGCCGGCGCCCGAGTTGTAAATACGCTGATGTTCATTGCAAATTGAAGCCCCGTGTCTATAAGGAGAAAGAATGGCTACGTATAGTGGAATGCTTCCTGCTGTCTTTACCTAGGAACAAAGAGCCTCAGAAATGCGGAGATAATGCAGTGCCCTAGTTATATGTACTTATGTGTATTCGATTGCAAACCACTTTTTCTGGCCTCCTCTGACCTCAAAAGCCACCCGGTCATCCTGTGCCAGCTTCCGCAGAACCTCGTCGACAAATGGCTCCAATGCCATTGTCCGCATCTGCTCGTCCAGGTCATTTCCATGCATCGCCGTCACTAGCTGCTGGACAGTGACACTACCTTTTCCCCGTTCTCCGTTACGTTGGTCCTCTGTTTTCATCTGCTTTAATGTCTCTACAACCCTGTCCTCACGGCGGGCCTTCTGCGTTAGCTCCAGGTCCAGCTTGGCTGGCAGGTCGCGTATCACTGTGCCGTGAGCCGGATAGCCCACCGCACAGCGGAGAGATTGCATCATTCTTAGCGAGGACATCCAGGTGCTCAGCACCTCGACCGCACTGCTCCCATGGCCAAGGACGTTGTCCCCTGTGAACATGGCATTTTCCTCTTCGAGAATGAAGCACATATGATCGTGCGAGTGGCCTGGAGAGTGTACAGCTCGGACAGTAGCCCCTTCCACCTTGAAAACCTGCCCATCTGAAATCGGCTGCTGGCCTTTTCCAGGACTGTGTTTGTAGATAGAATCAGACAGGTAAGGGTATAATCGGAGAAGATCCGGAACTCCCCCTGTGTGATCACCATGCCAGTGAGTGAGCAGGACATGAGACAGCTCGATCGAGGAGTCTGCCAAGGTAGACGCGATTAGGCTGGCCCATTCAGGAATCCCCTGCCCCGTGTCGATGATCAAACGTTGGCGGCCGGTACCGACTATATAGGTATTGGTGCCTTGAAGCGTAAACTGAAGTCATTCGATCAGTGTGGAACTACATGTGTTGAAGCCGTGCGGCTCTTCGTACCTTGCCTTCATTCTGGCCCAGAACCCGCAGCACGCGGGGGCTGATTTGTTCGACATCCTCAAGAGCCGGCAGCCGGGCGTGCTGCTCATCTAAATAACCCTCCCAAGCACATATGTTGAGTGCTTGGTTGATTTGTCGATATCCTCCTCGTTTGGCATTGGCCATGATTTCGGTCCGCAGTATGGGGGGTTATTCAAAAAGAATGTACATATGGATAAATGAAAAGAGAAGCCCAAAGCAGGCAAGGTAAGGATTACTGTCACAGTGTCACCGGCATCGGTCTAATCGGGTGTGAGACAAACCGACCGACCTGGTCAGTGTGGGCTGGAAAGTATATCGACCGAGCTCTCTTTAGCCCGAGAGCAAGGCGGACTCTGACTTCCGAACACGGCATGTCCTGTTGGATTTGACGCATGGCTAGCATATAGACATGTCTGTACGCAAAAGCCTACATTGACTACATGATAGCCTCTTTACTCTACGGGAATTAGTTTCTAGGATTAGCGACATAGCTACAGCGATCCTGATAGCGTGAAACCGAGCCGGTTAGCAGCGACAATGAGGCCAGTAGACTTTACCCCCTCGTCCGAATCTCCCACAGCAGAGAAAGGAATGAAGGTTGTCTACTTTGGTAACGAGCTGCCTCAAGACGGCCTCCAAGGCATCTGTCGACGACTACACGCCTACACCAAAGACCGGCGTTACCCGCTCCTCGCCCGATTCATCGAGGAGAGCACCTGGGCAGTCCGCGATGAGGTTCGGCAGCTACATGCCGCGCAAAGAGCCTTGGTAACCCCGTTCGAGAGCGTCCTCCATCTTGCTGAGCAGCCGGAGCTGTGCAAAGGACCTCTCTGCGGGTCGATTGAGGGCGTTCTTCTTTGTGTTATTCAGTTGGGAACCTTTATTGGGTAAGTGCGACAGGATCTTGGCAGCAGCCAATACTAACGACATCAGCTACTACGAAACTTCACGGAATGAATACGCCTTTGAATCCGCACACACCTATCTCACAGGCCTGGGACTTGGCCTGTTGACGTCGACGGCTGTCTCTCTCTCCCCGACGCTGGCAGACCTCCCCCTAGCTGGGGCCGAGGTCGTGCGAGTGGCTTTCCGTCTTGGTGTGCTGGTTGCCGATGTCTCTCAGAATCTCGAACCTGCTGATGCGGCAGGCGATCGAGGCTCATGGGCTTACGTGATTCCCAACATCACACCTAGTGAAGCAGAAGAGGAGCTTACTGCTATCCACAAGCGAGAAGTGAGTTCTACTGGAGTACTACCATATTTACCAACTAATAGCCGTAGAATACTCCCGAAGCTAGCCGGATATTTATCAGCGCAATCAGTCGGACGTCAGTGACGATCAGTGGGCCACCGGCTCGACTCAAGCGCCTCTTTCGGCTGTCTGATTTCTTCCGTGACCGCACCTTCATAGCTCTTCCTGTGTATGGAGGCCTGTGCCACGCAAAACACATCTACAGCTCGCAGCATGCCCGGTCGGTGGTTCAGGGCCGGTCAATAGCGGCCTTGGACACGCGCTTTATTGGGAGATACCCGATCCTCTCGACTGGCAGCGGCGAGCCCTTCCCCACAGCCACGACGGCGACGGAGCTGTTCGAACATGTTATTACCGAAATCCTCACCCAAGCCATTGAGTGGGAGAATGTCATCCAGGGAGTAGTTGAACGGGCCAAGCTGCTCTCCGTGTCCGAGGTCGAGGTTCAGGTCTTCCGCATCTCACTTCCTGTTCACGATCTCCTGTCAGCCTTGCAGACCTCCATAAGGGAAGGAGTTGAGGTGACTATCAAGGACCTAGATCCATGGATCACAAAGGCAATAGATGACGAGCAATCCACACCGCGCGGCACCGCGCAATCCAAGATCGCAATCGTCGGCATGTCGTGCCGCATGCCCAGCGGAGCGACCGATACGGAGAGATTCTGGGAAATTCTGGAACAGGGGCTGGATGTCCATCGCAAGATCCCTCCAGACCGATTCGACGTGGATAGCCATTATGACCCCGCGGGGAAACGCGTCAACGCTAGCCACACACCATATGGTTGCTTCATTGACGAACCAGGTCTGTTCGATGCCCCCTTCTTTAACATGTCGCCCCGAGAAGCTCAGCAGACCGATCCCATGCAGCGTCTCGCCATTATCACCGCCTATGAAGCCCTCGAGCGGGCAGGATACGTGGCGAACCGCACCCCATCGTCCAGCAAACACCGCATTGGCACGTTCTACGGCCAGGCCAGTGATGATTACCGCGAGGTCAACTCGGCACAGGAGATCAGCACCTACTTCATCCCCGGTGGCTGCCGTGCATTCGGGCCCGGACGGATCAATTACTTTTTCAAACTCTGGGGGCCGAGCTTTAGCATCGACACGGCCTGCTCCTCCAGCTTGGCCACCATTCAGGTATGTCAGAAGTCTTGATCACCGTTCTCGGACTAACCTCGCCTAGGCAGCCTGTACCGCGCTCTGGAACGGTGACACGGACACGGTTGTTGCTGGAGGAATGAATGTTCTGACTAATTCGGACGCCTTCGCCGGCCTCAGCCACGGGCACTTCCTGACCAAGACTCCCAACGCATGCAAAACATGGGACTGTGAGGCGGATGGCTATTGCCGTGCCGATGGAGTGGCCTCTATCGTAATGAAGCGTCTGGAAGACGCGGAAGCAGACAATGACAACATCTTAGGGGTTATTCTTGGGGCCGCAACAAACCACTCTGCTGAAGCCGTCTCCATCACCCATCCCCATGCCGGAGCCCAGTCTTTTCTGAGCCGGCAGGTCCTCCGCAGTGCTGGCATCGATCCAATGGACGTCAGCTACGTTGAGATGCACGGAACTGGGACCCAGGCCGGGGACGCGGAGGAAATGAAGTCAGTCAGTGATGTGTTTGCCCCGGCTGCGAAGCGGCGCAGTTCCAAGCAGCCAGTGTTCATTGGTGCAGTCAAGGCCAACGTCGGCCACGGGGAAGCTGTAGCAGGTGTCACCGCGCTGGTGAAGGTTCTTCTCATGTTCCAGAAAGAGGCCATCCCCCCGCATGTCGGCATTAAAAATAGCATCAATCCCGGATTCCCTAAAGACCTGAAACAGCGCAATTTGCATATTCCCTACGAGAAACAGCCCTGGCCCCGCATCCCCGGCAGCAAGCGCATCGCGATGGTCAACAACTTCAGTGCTGCCGGCGGCAATTCGACCTTGGCAGTAGAGGAAGGGCCCCTTCGACCAAAACCGACTGGCGAGATCGACCCCCGTTCTTCTCACCTGGTCGCTGTCTCGGCAAAGAGCAAGGTCTCCCTGAAAGGGAACCTCGAACGGCTGCTGGGCTTTCTGGACGCTCATCCGGATGTGGTCTTGTCTGACCTGGCGTACACGACCACCGCACGCCGTCACCACCATAATCATCGAATCGCTGTGGCTACTTCGGATGTCATGCACCTGAAGAAGCAGCTGTCCGCAAGCCTCGAATCCGACTCTGTCAACACCCTTCAACCGATTTCTGCTACGGGCCCGCCCCCCATTGCCTTTGCCTTTACCGGCCAGGGATCCTCATACAAATCATGGAACCTCCAGCTCTTCCACGACTCGCCGTACTTTCGTGCGCAGATCCTCCATTTGGACATGCTGGCGCAGGGGCAAGGGTTCCCTTCTTTTGTCCCTGCGATTGACGGTTCCTACTCCCGGGATCACGCACACTCCGCCATCATCACACAGCTAGCACTGGTCTGCACTGAGATTGCTCTGGCAAAATACTGGGCCTCACTAGGTGTGAAGCCGGATGTGGTGGTGGGCCATAGTCTGGGTGAGTACGCGGCCTTGCACATCGCTGGAGTTCTCTCTGCCAGCGATGCGATCTTTCTTGTTGGGCAGCGTGCGTGCCTGCTTAGAGATAGATGCCACCCCAGTAGCCATCAGATGATGGCAGTTCGGGCGTCCCTGGCGCAGATTGAGCAGTTCGCGGGGACCCTGCCATACGAGGTTGCCTGTGTCAATGGACCTAGGGAAATGGTCCTCAGCGGCACCCGCGAGGAGATGGCGGCGGTGGCTAAACCCCTTGAAGCTGAAGGTTTCAAATGTATTGTTCTGGAGGTAGCCTTTGCCTTTCACTCGGCGCAGATGGATCCCATCCTCGAAGAATTTGAGGCGCTGGCGGCGTCGGGCGTCGTCTTCCAGGCACCTAACTTGCCGGTGATCTCGCCGTTGTTGAGTAAGGTGGTCTTTGATGAGCATACGATAGATTCGCTCTACATGCGGCGGGCGACGCGCGAGACTGTCAACTTTCTTTCTGCGATGGAGACGGCGCACAAGATCTCCACTATTGACGATGCCACCGTGTGGGTTGAAATCGGTCCACATCCTGTCTGTGTAAACTTCGTCAGATCCTCGCTCCCCTCGACCGGCGTGACAGTGCCGTCATTACGCCGCGGAGAGGATAACTGGGTGACGCTCACAAACAGTTTAGGGGCTCTCCACTGCGCCGGAGTGCCTGTGGACTGGAATGAGTTCCACCAGCCGTTCGAACGCGCTCTACGGCTGTTAGACCTACCGACCTATAGCTGGAATGAAAAGACATACTGGATCCAATATAAGGGGAATTGGGCCCTCACCAAGGGAAACACGTTCTATGATGACGAGGTCCCACAAACCAATGCCGTTGCGGGACTGGCATCGGAGCTGAGAACGTCCACCGTCCAGCAGATCATCCACGAGCAGTTCGATGGAACAGCTGGGTCGGTCGTCATGCAGTCAGACCTCATGCAGCCGGACTTCCTAGCGGCAGCGTATGGCCACAAAATGAATGGGCGAGGAGTTGTCACCTCGGTAAGTCTTGTCTCCCCTTTAGTCCTCCATGACTAACATCAGTAGTCGATCCACGCCGATATCGCGTTCACACTCGGTGGATATCTCTATAAAAAGCTAAATCCCAATCAGGAAGCGCATATGAATATCGCCAATCTGGAAGTTCTTAGGGGTCTTGTGGCGCAGGAGAACACCAAGTCACCACAGCTCATCCAAGTGTCTGCGAGCACCGAGAATATCCGGTCCGGACAGGCACATCTGAAGTGGCACAACGTGATCAACGGGTCTATTGAGGAGCCATTCGCCAGTGCGACTATCTACTACGAGGAAGCAAGCGAGTGGCTGGCATCCTGGCGCCCTGCGACACATCTCGTGCAGGGCCGGATCCATGCGCTGGAGCGGCTCGCAGAAGACGGCGTGGCCAACCGCTTCACCCGGCGCATGGCCTACGGACTGTTCGCCAGTAGCCTGGTCGACTATGCCGACAAGTACCGCGGCATGCAATCAGTTGTGCTGCATGAGCTCGAGGCATTTGCGGATGTCGTCCTCACCAATGAGAAAGGGGGTACCTGGACCGTTCCCCCCTATTTCATTGACAGTGTGGCCCATCTGGCTGGGTTCATAATGAATGTTTCCGACGCGAATGATACGAATGCCAATTTCTGTGTTACCCCCGGATGGAGCTCGATGCGGTTTGCGGCCCCTCTTGTCGCGGGGAACAAATACCGGTCTTATGTCAAGATGATCCCTACTGTCGAAGACAACAATATCTATTTGGGTGACGTCTACATCCTCCAGAACGAGACTATCGTCGGCATGGTCGGGGGAATCAAGTTCCGCCGGTATCCTCGTATCCTCCTCAACCGGTTTTTCTCAGCCCCGGATGCGGATGGCCGAAAGTCTACGCCTGCTGTGCCTGCACCTGCGCCTGCTTCTACTCCTGCTCCTCCTGCTAAATTGGAAGCCGTGCAGCCCAAAGTGGCACCGACCAGCACTCCAGCTTCTCCAGCACCAGCCAATCCGCCGACCACTAACGGAGTCGAGGCAGCCGCTGAGCCTGACGCCAACAGTACCGCCGCCAAAGCGATTGCTCTAGTGGCTACAGAGGCCGGGCTCGGGCTGGGTGACCTCAAGGACAGTGCCAGCTTCTCTAGCCTAGGGATCGACAGTCTGATGAGTCTGGTGATTTCTGAAAAGTTCCGGGAGGCGCTGGGGGTGACAGTGACGGGCAGCCTGTTCTTGGAGTATCCGACTGTAGGGGATTTGAAGAGCTGGCTACTGGAGTATTACAGCTGATTACAGTCCGGCTGCTCTCTTCCCTTTTGTCCATTCAGTTACTTTTATTTTAATTCTTATCTTATCCATAGATAGAGCTCATTCACGAACGATGAGGTATGGTATCCACTCCCCTTCGCCGGATATAGCTTCGATGCCAGCGGTTACGAAGAGGGCGACCCATGGTTGTATTTCCAGTGTGCGAAATTAGACACATATGGAGTCAATAGGATTGGCAAGGTCAACTGCGCCGATATGGCGAACACTATAAGAAAGGTCCCTCGTACGAAATACACTGAGCATCTGCGAAGAGCCATGTCTGGACAACCAGATGGATAGTATCACCCAGCTGGAAGCCCGCGCCAACGAAGTGGCTGCTGCCGCCAGAAAGCTAGCCGACTACTGCCGCAATGCCAGAGTGGATGGGTCGTGTCCACAAGTGGTCGTCCCGTCAGAGGCACCGTGGGCCATCCGCGAGGTCCGACGGTTGCTGCTGAGCAATATCGATCACTTGCAGACACTTCTCACAGAGCCGACAGACCTGGTGCAGCGACTAGCGGTGCAGTCTCAGCTTCTCGCGTGTCTTCAATGGTTAGGGGAGTTTCAGGTGCTGGCATGTTTGCCTCTTACTAGTAGCGTCCGAATCCCAGACCTCGCACGCCTCTCCGGTGTCCCCGAGACGCAGCTAGCCCGGATTATACGCTTCACAGCCACGGCGGGATTCCTTCAGGAGCCCCAGCCAGGGCACATTGCGCACAGCCCGCTGTCGAGCCTGTTTGTCAGTCGACCGTCCCTGCGAGACGCGATGATGTTCCTGGCGGATTCGGCCACCCCCGCGGCGCTGCAGATGGCCTCGGCAACCAGTCGCTTCGGCGATACGGTGACCAGCGACACCGACACCGCGTACAACATCGCCTTCGACCATCGAGACTCCTTTTTCTTTGCATGTGAGCAGCGGCCGAAATTGCACCGGCGCTGGTCGGCGTACCTGCAACAGACCGGGAGTGACGCCAGCGACCTCACCCGGCAGGTGCTCGCGCGAGTGGACTGGTTTAATCTGGATAATGTTTCCGTCGTTGAGGTAAATTTACCAGGAATATGATACGCTGTGGGTATCAAATGACCGGATTCTAGGTAGTTGGACCGAAATCGTCTAGTGCCGCCATGATGCTCGCCCAATTTCACCCGATGCTTCACTTTATTGTCCAGGAGGCGAGAATCCCCAACTGGAGTGCCCATCCTGTGCCGCGAGAGGATGCCCGCAGCGTGCAAATACGAGAGCTGGGCGGCCCACAGTGCGTCCGCGACGCGGCCATTTACATCCTGAACTTGGGCCCTCTACCACATGCTGTCCTCCCTACGTCCGTCCTGGCTGAGGTGCGCGCGCACTTTAGTGTTCTGGCAGCCAACAGTCGTGCGATGCTGATCCTCACTGCGGGGCTTCTGCTACCCAAACCGGGGACTGTGGATGCCAAGCTGGAGGCCAGCGTACGGCTGCATGATCTCTCGCTGCTGCAATTGGCTAACGACCGGTTGATGGACGAGGACGAGCTGGTCGAGCTGGTCCACAGCGTTAAAGACAGTGTAGGGCGACTGGTCGTGGTCAATCGACTCCACTTGCCTCATACAACCACCGTGGCTTTGGGGGTGAAGTATCAAGCTACCGGTCATGGTGATATTTCTCTTTTGGGCCAGCCGGCTTAGCATTTTGTGCTATCTAGCAGAAGAGGGATTAGTCTCTTGGAAGATCTTGGTTCGAACATCCTTTGTAGACTTCTAACCACAGCCTTTGCCCGGCATATCCCTCCCTTGTAGAGGTCCGTGTCCATTATCTGGCGTTACACAGACATACCACATTTGTCATTCTCCTTGGCCGGAAGCAGCGTGAGCCTGCCTAAGACCTCCGCCAACGGGATTGGCTGATTATACTCATGTATTGCTTACAATGCCTGTGGTCGAAATGTAATCGCCCAGCTTATGGAGCTGTCGAGGGCTGGCCATGATGGAGATGTCGACCTCTGTTTGATGGGCATCTGGTTTATAGTCCCCTCATCAGTCCCTTGCATGAGACCAACATTCTACTCCTTTATCTACTACTATCGCATGCTGCTGAGCTATTAACATTGACCTGATGTGGAAGTATTGGTAACTTATAACCAACCAACCTTCGGCAACCGTTCCACCACCAGTCCTTCAAACCTAAGGTAGTGAACTCAGGTCCTAATAGGCTGAACTGGTGTAAGTCCACTTAGTCTTAATAGTTGGCTTCTACGTGACTCCTTCCTAACTGGGCGAAGGTGTAGTGTCTGCGGTTAGAACCACCCTATCCTCTCCTAATGCAGCTCTGGTGACAAGCTCAGAGTAAGATTTATATCTTTGTACTCTGATTTAAGGTTATCTCCGCATTCGGCCTGTCTGGACTGCACGTAAAGCAATCAGGTCCAATGGAAGAATTAACCCGCAGACGATAGCTGGCGGAGAGCTGGGGGGGAGACTCTAGGGGTTTTCCCATTACGATGGCAAATAGGTGCGCGGTGTATGACGATTGGTCAGGGACATTATGCTTTCGTGTCTAGAAGGTGTCCGCACTGCTCAAAGATGCCTCGCTGGCCTAGAGGAATGTGTGAGCTTCAACGGGTACACAAGCTGCTCACTGGGAATGTTGTCCTACCATTGACAGCCATTAGGGATCCTGAGATTGGGCAGCCAGCCCCTTGATACTGTCATTCCTTTCCAGCAATTACTCTCAGATATCAATCGAGACACGTCAATGCCCTTGATTTGGAATATGTTATGAACTGACGCTGACATTCTAGACGCCGACTCGTCTTGTATGGCAGATGTCATTTCTGTAGCTTATAGAGATAGAGCAATAGTGGTGAATCACCACTAGATCATTGAGTTTTCATGACTCGTACTTGGATGAAGCAATTTTCTCTATCATGACTCGCGTCAATCTGGTCTCATCCTATGTAACATCGCCCTAGACGCGATAGATTGCGTCAGCCTCAGCTCTCCAATCGTCAGTCCCCGGGAGTATATCCGAGACACAATCGCAGGGATCACGGTCGAACATGGCACCCGACCATATGAATTTATTTGCAATGATCGGCTACTCTATCTTCTAAATCCTCTCTGATGCGGCCAGCCAGCTTCTCTCGAGCCGAATTGGATGCGGTCCCCAGCGTCTTCCCGTCGGGCAAGTGCTCTCCACAAACTGTGTGACAGCTGCCATGCCTGTGGACTGTCCAAGGTCAGATGCTCCAAGGAGAAACCGACCTGCTCCCGATGCCGCCGACGGGGGACTGCCTGTGAGTATGTTGTGACCAAACGTCCCGGCCGCAAACCAGACAGTCGATCTGGGGGAGAGCCAAAGTCCGTACACTTGTCTCACACCTTACCCTCGCCTGAGTCCTCGACTGAGATCTCTCATGGCAATTTTCCGGATCCGGACGCCTTTGATCCACTCTTCGCCTTGCCGGAGCCGTTCGACAGCACACCCGAACTGCATTCAGGTCCCTTGTCCACGGTTGACTCGAGCTTATCCTCTGCACTGACCACCTGGTGCCCCGATTTTGATGACTTTTTCTCCTTCCCTGTCTCCACCGAGGACCCATTTTCTGGAGACTGTGGTGCTGTCTATGACGGGGCGAGCAAACATCCGCCGAACCTCCGTCGCCGCAGCGAGAGCTCTCCCACTGTCCCAAACGACACGATCTATCTGTTTGGCAAGCCAGTGGATCCCTCTCCTTCAGACCAATCACTGCCTCCGACAACTACAATCGGCAGGAGAGCCTCTCCCACTTCGGGTAAAGAATCACAGGCAGACTTCCGTCGCTCATCCTGCCGGTGCTTACTCCGTGCCCTTGACCTACTCAAGCAATTCGAGGTCATTCGCAGAGAGACGGATATCGAAACCATTTTACCCTCGATCGACGGCGTAGTTGAAGTAAACAAGCAGACAACGGATGCTATTACCGGGATTTTACAATGTCCATGCTCGCAAAAAGACGGCTACCTCCTCGTCCTCCTGGCCTTGATTGTCTGCAAGATCTTGGACCGGTACGCCGCTGCCGCGATACCAGAAAAAAAGCAGAACCGCGATCCCAGCTGCAGGCTCGATGAAAGCCCGGTGGCGGGGCAGCGGGTGCTTGGCGAGCTGCACTGTATCCAACGGGTGGTGAACCAGCTTGGACCGAGACTCAAATCATATGGAGCACAGGGTGCTTCTCTGGGACATCTGTATCACGGGACGGACGCCCCCTTGTCGGTCGGTGTAGGGGATCAGTTGGAGCCGGAGTTGCATAAGCGGTTGAGTAAATTATCGTCTGAAATTATCAGTCACCTACGTGAAGCTCAATAGAACGTTATCTGAATACATCCTCCAAAGTAGACACGTGTTTGATTCCGTAGCTAGTTACCAAAAGTAAGGACGTAGATTACATATCAGGTACTAGGGAAGATGTCCGTCATGCCCTTCTTGACTCCCGGCCGCGCCATCATGCGATCCAACCAGTCTTTCACATGCGGATAATCGTCCACTTTGTATCCATCCTCCGGCTGGATGATCGCCGTGACAATGACCTGCCAGGGGATCCACGCCAGATCAGCAAATGAGCATTTGCCGCCGACGAGCCAAGGGCCGTCCCCGCCTGGTGCCACCTGTTGGCGCGAAAGATGGCCTTCCAGCACGCCTGTCACACGATTGATCTCCTTGACATAGCGCTCTATCGCGCTGGGGACCTTCTCCGGGTGGAACTTCTTGAACCAGGACGCCTGGCCGTAGTACGGGCCCTGGCCACTGGCCTGGAAGAACAGCCACTGGGTCGCCAGGGCGGCGAGGTTGGAGCCCGCGGGGAAGCTGATCCGGTGGTTGGGATCGTAGTGGCTCACGAGATACTCCACGATTGCACCGGATTCCCACAGCGTGAGGTCAGTATTGGGATCGTAGATGGCGGGGATGCGCCCGTTGGGGTTGATGGCGACATAATCGGGCTCCTTGACCTTGGATAGAGGCACCGTGATGATGTCGTGCGGGAGATCCAGTTCAGCGAGGATGATGGCTACTCGTGGGGGATTGGGGCCGCCCTTGCCATAGACCGTGATAGGTTTGATATCAGGCATATCTATCTGTCTTATTCTTGTAGGGAGAAAAGTGAAAAATGTGTCATGCACGCCAGGACACCCACAACGGGGTGGGGTGACATCAGTATATATAGTTCAACAGTCCGGATGCAACCCTGCTGCTGATTAACCAACCATTAATAATGTCATCTTACGGGCGTCACCATCAAAGAAGCTGACCAAGCAAGGGGGTAAGCAAGGGTTAGGCAACGCGTTTCTACGATTGGGAGAACGCTCGATTGCACACTGCGGCAGACTAGTTTACCTGCTGACAGCGATACATAAGTAGCTTACGGAGCCTTGGATGTGTTGACATGCGGAAATACATAGGACCTCTCTACTCTAATTAAACTGAGAAATGGTTCTCTCGACTAACTGACAGTGCGACGGTCAGCACAGAATGCCTTGTTCGGTCCCGTCGCCGGTAGGTAGGGATGAAGAAAAGGCAAGAAATGCCTCACCAGTCCCATGAAGATGCACATCGGAGCGCCCCTGGGGAACCTGGCTGGCGTATCTGCGTATGTGACACCCACGTTTCGCATGTCATATCGTCCATCTGGGTCATCCGCCGCTTCAATCATGGCCGCTGCCAGGTCCAGGTACGACAGCGGGCTCTTTTCTTCAGTGAAACTCAGCCTGTGCCCCCGCTGCACGTCTACTGAGAGCCCGCCGGGCTTGATAAAGATCGTTGAGACCCAGTCTTGCTGCCTGCGCAGAAACGCTTCGGCTTGACTCAAATCCTGGTAGACTTGCGAGGCAGATTTCAGAAGGATCCATCTGACCCAGGGAGCGGTATTCTGGGAGAGCTGGTCGTCAAGGGTCGCCGAGGAAAGAAGGACCAGTTTGGGCATAGAGGCCCCTTCGCCTTGTAGAATCCGCAGGGCCTGGATGACTGCAGTGGCGGTATCCAGGGCCATGCGACAATGTGGCACGTTGTCGTTGGTTGAGATCACTAGGAAGACGGCTTGGCAGTCGCGAACGCACGCCGTAATGAGTGGCAGGTCGTGGATGCTGCCCTCAAAGATGTCGACTTGCTTGTTGCTTGCGAGCTGGGGTAGCAGGTACAGGAGCTTGCGCTTGTTGCGGCAGTAGGCGTGGACCTTGCTACTGCTTCTCTTGAGGAGATTTTCAATCAAGGCAGTGCCGCAGTTTCCTGTCGCACCGAGAACCGCGTACGACATGTCTGATGACATGGATAATGGTATGAACCAGTATCTCTGATTCGATATATATCCCTGTCACAGGTTGACAAACCATAAGCCAGCTGAGACTGTATTCTTTCATATGAGTTACTTTTGAGCCAGTAGATTTTAAGTCAACCACCTCTCGGATAATCATCTGGTGTTTGGAGACTCTGATGTTAGACTTGCTACGTAGCAACGGATACGGCTTAGGGTTCTGAATTTTGGACACCCAGCTAAGACTATGCACTCGCCAACTTAATGCTACACAACTCTGCAATATGTTCATATAAGCAACCTAGTAAACATTGGAAATTCAAGAGAGGCCAGTCTCCCTCTTGCCAACTCCGGAGCAGCGGGGTTCAGTCGGGGCTCGGTCTCGGGCTCTGCCTGTACCGCATTCAGTCCAAAGAATATCGCCCGAGCAATTCGCCCGATCTGTGTTCGTCGCACTCGATCTTTCCGCAGAGTAACAGTTCGGGTGTAACTTTCTAGCCTAGGGGAAGAATGAAGGACATGTCAGTAAAGCCCTTTACGTATGAAGGAGAATTGCTCCTGTCCCCAGCGCCAATCTGACACGTAATTAAGTGGTCTCCTCCAAGCTATCCTGCAAACTCTAGAATAGCAGTCAAACTCGCCGCAGCCATGCTTGAGAAGGTATTCCACGAAAAGAGCTTCGCCGACCAGTACACCTATGGCGCAAAGATCAGTGAGCTCTATGCGGAGACACTGGTGGCCGAGTCTGGCATCGCCAAATCCCATCAGAGACCTTTGATTATTTTGGACAATGCCTGTGGGACGGGTTCTATCTCGAGTACCCTTCAGCGTACTCTTGATAACAGGAATAAAAGGAGCTTGAAGTTGACCTGTGGTGACCTGTCCGAGGGCATGGTCGAATACACCAAGCAACGGATGCAGGCCGAAGGATGGAACAATGCTGAAGCAAAGATTGTGAATGCGCAGGATACCGGTCTACCGAGTGATCACTACACGCATGTATACACGGCGTTTGGTGAGTACAGAAGCAAGGAGAGTCGAGTAGTTAATATTCTGACTCCAATGCTTCATGAATAGCTTTCAATATGTTCCCTGACTACAAAGCTGCTTTGAAAGGTAATCGCCCTTTCTATGTCATCAAGCTGAGTACCACTAACCAAGTATTGAAATAGAATGCTTCAGAGTACTTCAGCCAGGTGGTACATTATCGACCTCAACATGGAAGACTGGTACGTTCTTTCTTGCAGGTACATGTACACATACTAATACTCTTCCATAGCCAACTGGTGCACTGTTATGAAACCTGTCGTTGCAACTATGCCGGGACATCTGCCATATCCCACAATGGATGAAATCAACACGATGCTTAATAAAGGCTGGGACCGCGAGTCCGACGTACGTGCCGAGTTTGAGCAGGCAGGGTTCCAGGATGTCAACGTCAGCACCGTGGAAAAACAATGTTTACTTCCTGTGCAAGAGTTTGGTGAGGCGTGCAAGATTCTCCTGCCCTACATCCTCAGCAAGTTCTGGACGCAGGAGCAGCGGGACCGGTACGAAGCCGACGTGCCAAAGTACCTGATGCGGTATCTGGAAAAGCAATATGGGAAGGAGGGGCTGGCTCCGATGAAAGGCGTGGCGGTCATTGCTACCGGTCGTAAGCCTTGAAACTGCTTAAGGAATTGTCTGGTTATGTGGTACAGCAATTTATGCTGAGAATGTATGTAGGAATGTTTTTGACATGATGAATGTGAGGCTAGGCTCTGTTTGTCTTACAGCTGAACGTGCTCCATTCATGGCTTGAAACAAAATATGCTTATTAACGGTTACAATCATACTGGTAGGAACTGAATATATTGGAAACCCCTACTTGACGAACCCTGCCCGAAGCCAGTCGTCCCTCAGTGCTTACACCGATGGCACTGCGGCCCAGTTCTGCTCAAACCCCGCTCCCCAGATCCATTTTTCTTCCGTTGGGCGACCAGCACTCGAATCATATGCCATCTGGGCGATTCGGAGCCACATGGGGCCCTTGATCGGGAATGCCTCGGCCCATTTCCCCTGCTCAAACGGTCTTGAGATCTGCTCTCCGGCCTTCAAAGCCCGGATAAACTTGGCCAAGTGCCCATCGTCATGCACACGCGGGACTGCCTGGTAAAGGCTTTCCCAGTTCAACCCATGACGGGGCCTGTAACCGACGATGTCCTCGAGACGAAGCTCGACAGCACCGCTGGCCGCATACCACACCAGATCGACGCGGGCCTTCCACTCGATCAGGCGCGCTTTATGCTCTGGTCTAATCCATGGCTGCTGGAGCAACACAGTCAGTCCCAGCGAGGCAGTGACAGTATGCAGGTGGAAGAAGTCAATCTTGCGAGCCTTGCCCGGCCGCTGCGCCGACCCAGCTAGGTAGGCCGCACAGCTGATCATCTCGGCCGCTCGACGATCCAATTGATCGACGTCGACTCCAAATCTAGCTGCAATTGAGCTGATCTCCTCTCGGGCCCTGCCCAAGATGCCATCTCGAACTCGGGCCACACCGCCACCGTAGTCCCCGTAGGCTGCGGTCCGGAGGACCTCGTTGTCCCGCACAGCATGAAACAGGCTTATCAACGGTGTATTCAGGTCCATTGCGGCATACTGGATCTTGGCCTTCTTCTCGGTACCATGCAAGAATGGTTCAATATTCATGGAATCATGGCAGGCAGCCTGAGCGAGGCCTTCTGCAACAATACTGGGCTGATCGAATTCAATCCCCAGTGCCAGGTGGATCAGTGGATGGTATAGACCCTCGAACAGATTCGCCAACATGCTCTCGGCGATGGATGTGCCGCTGAAGCAGTACTCGATAATGACAGCCGGATACCCCTTGGTTTCTATCTCTTTGGCGAAGAAGGCCAGGAAGTTTGGATACTGATCTAAAGAGCCCATCCGCGCCCGAAATTGGTCTGGGGCGCTCATGCCTGCCACTGCATCACGATCTAGTGGAGGAATGGGCACCTGGATTTCCGCCCCGTCGTCGAATGCGCGCTGGAGATCTCTGGGCCCGCCGCCGAGGGCCAGAGTGTTCAGCACCGAGTGCGCGACATGGTTATGGCCGGCAACACTCCGCCAGAAAATGTGATGTTCATTGTGGTTCTTTTGGAGCAGTCGATTCGCGGCCTCCAGCGAACCGTCCGGGTTGGTGTCGGTGAGGCGGGCGACGCCCACGTCAGGACGAAGCCGGATTTGTGAAGCCGTTGCCATTAGAAGGGCAATATTGTAGCGGCCTATGGAAAGGTCTAGGGAAAGTCTACCTTTTAAAAAGGAGACATCTTGGGACTTCTTGCGGGTTACCCGATCTGCCCGACGTCACCCTGAATTGTCCCGAGAGGGACCATGGACCATGACATGGAGACACTTGTAGCTACAATACCATAACAGAGTATACAAATGACAAGAATGGACACGCAGCTTAGAGTCCTTCTAAGATACTTTAAATACAATGAAGACACGCCTTATACAACAATTACAGATGCCTGGGAAATGCATAGATAGGATGGATTGAGCCAACTGGCTAGAACCTGCTTGAATCCCTATAGAAAGTAACTATAAAGCTACTACTATGATATTTCAAATCTAACTCCCAAACAGTTAATAATTTAAGGTACAACCAGTATAGCTAAGCACTATCTCCCTGAGCCTAACTGAGCCATTATTGTAAGGATATGGTGAGCTTACAGCGTACTCAATCCACTAAACATCCTGGCCCTCCCTTAAATGCCCGAATCATCTATGGTGTTGTTATCAGGGATGTTCACACTGTCATAATACTTAGTCCATGTGGCGCATCGATCTTGAAATTCCCCCAGCACACCGGCCGCCTCCATGAGCGGCTTGATCTTCTTGGGCTGCTCGATGAACTGCAAGGAGAGCCCACTACTGACATGAAAGGCGACGTGGCAATGCAGCAGCCATGCCCCCGGGTTGTTGACCTGGAAGGCGATCCAGACATAGCTGCCAGTATCGAGGTTCACCACGTCGCGGCGGGCAGGATTATCCAGCTTCGGGACTATACCTGGATTAAACTCGCCTCTGCCCTGAGCCAGAATAGCAAAGTCATGCCCGTGCAAGTGCATCGGATGCATGATCGGAGTCAGATTGCGCGGAAAGTGGACCTTGTCCCAGGTATAGTTGTTGGTAATGACGAAGTGAACCCAGACGCCTGTGTCAAAGTCTAGCATGATGGGAACCGTCTCCGGTGGGAAGTCGGGATGCCCGTCCACTGCCAATTTCTTGAGACTGGGGTCCTTCCAATCAACAAACATTGGTATATCCCCCAGCACCCATTTGTGGAGGTCACCGTCGAAGTTCATCGGGTCGGGATAGCCCTCTTGGCCCACTCTCAGGTAATCCTTCATCTCCATGCTGTTCACTCGTCTGCCAACCGACTGCTGGACGACGGGAACGAGGTGATCTGGGCTGGGGTCGGCGCAGCCAAAGTCTCGATGCTGGTCGCTGAGAGGTCGTGTCCAAGGATCCTGACGGTCCTGTTCGTTGTAGCGCACAATTCCCAGTGTCTTGTGAGGCAGCAGATCGACCTCGCCGCAGTATTGGGCGTAAATCCAGAAGTTGGAACCGTGAGTGAAGTCCGCGTTTGCCTCGACAATGATTTCGTACCGCTGGCCCATTGCCACATTCACCACGTCGGTGACGTACGGTTCGATGGGGACGAAGTCAGCCGCGATGACGGTCAGGTTATGCCCATCAATCCAGAACATATATTCTAGCAGGGTGCCCGTATTGACTATGGTCAGCTTGTACTTGACGCCCTTCCTGAAGGTGACCTCAAAATACTCTCCTCCCGTTCCGGTGCAGCTCGTGTCGTTGTTGTGATTACAGTCGAACTTCCCCTTGCCATTCAGGATGGTGGACTCGGGAATTGCTCCTCTGTTTTTCGTCTCTCCTACCCATAGTAAGGAAAATACATCGTCGTGGTACCAGTCGTGCAGGAGCCAGGGCCCCAAGTCCTCATCCCAGTCCATGCTTGATGGTCCATGAATGACGATCGGGCCTGGTGACATCGTCAGTATAGCCAAATCGTCCTCGGATGACCAACTTACCAAAGAGTCCATTGCTGTCTGAAATTCATTACTATGCATACTTTAAATTGAACAGATGCCACTCACACTGCAGACTGAAATGCGAATGATACCAGGACGTTCCATATTGCGTCGCCCGAAACTCGTATACCTGCGTTTCTCCAGGCTATAAATGACAGGTCAGCTGCTCTTACCTATGCTTCGCTGGGCTATTCGTACCTTGCTCGGGCACTGTGTGACTCCAGGGACGCCGTCCTGGTGATTAGTCTCGAATTGGCGCAGTCCATGCCAGTGAATAGCGCTACCGTTGTGGTTGTCGGTGAAATTGTTGTGCACGCTAATGCCTGTACCTGTCAGTCTTATACATGTTGATGCAAGGGAAGACTTACGGATAGTGTCACCCCAATCTGCTTCGATCGTTGGGCCAGGAAATTGTCCTATAGTGGTCAATTAGTCCATTGATCCCTTAGCAGAATATGTGATAATACGAACCATTGGCTACCATCCCTAGTTTTTTGTATCCATCGGGAGCGATGACTTTTTGACTGACGGTGAGATTGTACTAATGGTCACATTGGTATATTATCGATACGATTTGGACAGGCACAATAATTGTAAGACCACTGACCTCGACCAGCTTTCCAGGCGGGACCCGTTTGGGATCAGTGTAGTCTGTCAGAATATCAAACCCGTCTTTCCAGCAGCCTCGACTGGTCGGAGTATTCCGGCAATCTTTTGGCAGAGGTGCTCTGGTTGCCACGGCTGGGAGAGCATAACATCCATAGACGAGCCACTTGATAACGGTAAGCATTATGTGACTGCAGGATCTGAAAACTGAATCAAGCCAGAGAATTTACTAGACAATGGAATTATCACTAGAGCACTTATGAACAGGACCTTTATTAGTTGAACCCGACGTATGGGCTATATCGGCAGAAAGAAATGTCAGCTGGACTGTCGGACCAATGGCTCGGAGGTTTAGACAACGAGCTAACAAAGCTATAGAACAGGAAAGATGCTACCATTATACCACATTTATGGACCAGAAACAAGCAGAGCAGTTAGTTAAGAGAGCAATCGTCCATTCCATCCACTGCCACTCCCTGCCGAACAAATTCCTCGATCCACCCAATCGTCATCCTGAGAGCAACGAGCGTGGGTTATTCCCTCCATACATGAATGAAAGGCGAGTGACTTACATGCTTTTCTTGGTATCTGCAAAATTCTCATGATCATGGAACAAAATCTCCTTGTACCAAGGGTCTTGTTTCATACGTTTGTAGTCCTCCAGGCTCTCAAAGACCACCTGGCTGAAACAATCAAAATCCACCACGTTGGTCATTTGGGGGTCATACAACTCGGCCATCAGCGCGCGTGTGGCCGTGGTGTTATGGACCTGCGCTGTTACTAACCAGGATTATACACTCGTAGAATGGCAAATACCATAGTCCATCGCTTGACTCCGTATTTGACCATCAAATCTTTTGTCATCGGGGCAGAAACCTCGGTCATATAGCGGCGGTAATCTTCTTCACTCATGCCAGGCTTGCGGTAGCCGCAGATGGTGAGGCAGAGATATTTGGTCGGCTTCTCCGCGGAGTCTCCCATTGTTGGATGTAGGTTAAGACAACGAGTTGAAGGAAGTACAGAAGATGCCTGAGTAGCAATCTGCAGATCACTATGAAGGCCCTGGTCACCTTAAATTGGAGAGCGGGATGATTGGCTGTGACCAGACCGAGCTGTTTGTAGTCACCAAACTGATTATCGGGGCAATTCTCGTCTTTGCACTCGGGCTCACCTCTATAACTACTATCGATTCACTATAGCTATTGGAACTTGTCTCTATTCTCTAGGCACCTTCACACTGCACTTCTCTATCAATATGCCGCAGAATGTTTCCGCTCAGATCATTACGCAGGCCACTGCTGTCATCACTGGCTCCTTTCTCTCAGGTCAGTCATCTTCTATGTCGAATCCATGCAGAGGGGCTAACACCGCTGCAGGCCTCATGATGGGACTTTCTGTCGTTGACATCCCTGTTGTGCTCAGCACTGCTACTCAATCCTCGCATTTACTGCAACATTTCATGCGCCTTTACGACATTGGACACAAAATGATGCCCAGCTTGGCTATCACAACCTGTCTTCTCTACGGTTATACTGCGAGCAGTACGCGAGCTGCGGGTCGGTCGGGACTACCTCTTATCATTGCTGCAGTGACAACGATCTCGATGGTGCCTTTTACGTGGCTTATCATGGCCCCGACCAACAATGCTCTCTTTCGAATGCATGCCGATCCCGCTGCAGCCGACCTCGGTGAGGTTCGGCGGCTGCTTGTCCGATGGGCACAGCTGCATGCAGTGCGTTCATTATTTCCGTTGGCAGGGGCAGTCCTGGGTTTCAGACAGGTTCTCAAACAAGTAGGCATCAGTCACGAAGGTTAAAGTGACAGTCATGAGAGCATAGTTGTTATAGGATATGAGATGGGATAATTAAAATAACTCAAAAGTAATAAAGGAAACGTCATTACGGAACCAAAGCATAAGTGCGGGTGGAATGGTATGTAGCATTCCGTTCAGCTGATTTATATATACGTCGGACCATTGTCCTACGCAACCCAAATCCCCCGAGTCCCGGTCTCTGATGACCACTGCCAGCGCCTTACATTCAGTTAGTGGATCAGTGAGAGCACAGCTGGGCTTAGATAAGATGGATGAGACTTTATTGTAACATCGGTAGCCCAGTGCGCAGATTATATATTGGTGTTTTGTATGCAGTCTGTATGCACCATACTAGAATATATATAATTACCCTATCTACAACAACCAAGGCAGCAATCAAACGTCAGCATGGCTGTACCCCAGAGCATTCCTCCCCCAACAGCATCCCCCATCGAGGCTAAAGACCAATTTTTCGCCCGCAGCAAGGCATTCTGGGACAACTATCTCCGAGGCCGCCCACAAGTCCCGCCGAGCTTCTTCCAACGCATCTATCGCTACCATCGAGATAACGGCGGGAGATTTGGCACAGTGCATGATGTCGGCGCAGGAATCGGCCCCTACGCAGAGGAGCTGCGGTCAAAGTTCCAGCACGTCATTGTATCCGACATCGTGCCGAAAAACGTACAGCTGGCCGAGGAGCACCTCGGAGGAGACGGCTTCAGCTATCGCGCGGCACCAGTCGAAGACGCAGACGACCTGCCGCCCGGAAGTGTAGATCTGGTCTTTGCGACTAATGTGATGCACTTTCCGGACCAGCAAGCGGCAATGCAGGCGATTGCGACGCAGCTCCGGCCGGGAGGCACCTTTGCGTGCGCGGGTTTTGGTCCCGCGCGCTTTGACGACCCCGATATCCAGGATGTCTGGGAGCGGATCAGCCAGCAGGGCGGTCGAATCCTCTTGGACATGGCGGACCATCCGCAAGATACCGTTAACGTCATGAGTCGCAGTTCGAACCAATACAATGTGGCTCCGCTGGAGCCGCGGTTGTTTCGACAAGGGGCGTTGCGTATCCGGCTGAACATGGCCCAGGGCGGTATTACGGGCCTTCTACCGCCTGAGCGACAGCATGAAGTGACGGATCCTGACTTCTTGGGCACTACTGATGTGGTCGTGTACGAAACGGATGATGATTGGCGCTTTGAAACCGACTTTGAGGGTTTCCTGCAGCATTTCCGTTCGTTTCCTCACGCAGGTATCAATCCAGAGGCGTTTACGGGACTGCTGCAGGAGCTAAAAGACCTCCTGAGCCAGGGGAGATGTCTGCATGGGTGTTGGCCGGCTACTTTGATTCTCGCAACGCGGCGTTAGGATTATACTATACTGCAGTGAAATGCAGTCAAGTGTATACCGCCATTTTGTAAGGATAGAGCCATGTAGGATGATTGTGATAAAAAATTATGTTTCATAGAACTCCTATATACTGCAACTGCAATTGCAACCGTGTATAAGTACCCCGAACCCAAACCAAATCCATCCAAATCCATCCAAATCCATCAAAAGCGTACTCTGCAAGGTTCTCCCGCCGGGCCTGAATGATAGGATGCGCAACAAAGTGAGAATTAGGGGACCTAGTCTATCATCTCTATCTCTATGTGGTGCTTTTGTCCAAATCACTCATGAAATATACAAAACAAAATATCGCTCGCAAACGCAGTATACCATCCAACAGCTCTAACCGGGCAATCAATCAATGTACTTGGGAAGCGTCTTCATGATGCCGTCCCGGGCAATGTCATTCATAGCGGTGGTGATCTCCTTGAGGAACCGCTCGTCGGTGCGCAAGTCGTCACCGAACAGGCTCTTGATGCTGAGCAGCTCGAACGGATCGTTGCCTCCGGCGCGAGCCTTGGCCTGGAGCTCCTCGCGCATCGGGTCGACGACCTCGAAGGGCTTGCCGCTGTCGTCGACACCCTTAACGTAGTGGAACCAAGCGGCGGCGACGAAGCACAGACGACGGAACGGGCCAGTAACCCAGATGGCCTCGGCAATCGAGGGCATGATGAATTGAGGAATCTTGCCGGAAGCGTTGAGACAGATACGGGGCAGCTGGTCCATGATGGTTGGGTTGGTAAAGCGTTCGATGAGGGTGTTGCAATACTCGTCAATGTTGACGCCCGGAATCTCAGGCAAGAGAGGCTTGACCTCCTCCTGCATCATCTGCCACACGAACTTGCGGAACAAGGGGTTTTCCATGACCTCGTGGACGTACTTGAAGCCAGCCAGCTGACCGGGATAGCCCAGGGCGGAGTGGCTGCCGTTGAGCAGGCGCAGCTTGTGCTTCTCGAACTGCTCGACGGCGTGGACATCCTTCACAACCTGGACACCGACCTTCTCAAATGGAGGACGGCCGTCGGAGAACTGATCCTCGATGACCCACTGCGTGAAGGGTTCCGTGACGACGGGCCATGAGTCCACAATGCCAAAGTTATCTGCGAGTGCCGTTTTGTCGTTGTCTGATGTCTGAGGGGTGATACGGTCGACCATGGCGTTGGGGAAGGCGCCTTCCTCGGCAATCCATTCCGCGACCTCGGGGTTGCGTAGGCGTGCGAATGATTCAAGCATGTGGCGGGTGATGGATCCGTTCTTCTGCATGTTGTCGCAGGACATGACGGTGAAGGGCTTGAGACCCTGCTGGTAGCGGCGGGTCAGGCCCGCGTAGAGGAAGCCGAAGGTAGTGCGCGGTGCCTTCTCGTTGGCCGGGTCGAGGTCGAACTGGATGTCCGGGTGCTCGCTCTGCAGCTCATGTGTGTTCTCATTGTAGTAGTAACCGCTCTCGGTGATGGTGAGGGAGACAATTTTCGTGTCCGGGTGAGCCATCTTGGCGATGACGGCCTCGCGGTTTTCAGGGGCAAAGAGGTAGGAGTTGATGCTGCCAATGACGTGGGCAGAGCTGCCCTTGGCCGAACGCTCAATGAGGGTGTAGAGGTGATCCTGCGAGGCCAACGCGTCGCGCATTGCGGAGTCGAAGGGCTGCAAGCCAACGCCGCAGATTGCGTAGTCAGTTACACCATGCTTCTGCATCAACTGGTCGATGTAGACAGCCAGGTGCGCACGGTGGAAACCGCCCACACCAATGTGGACGATTCCCTCCTTGACGGCGCGACCGCGCTGGTATGTGGGAATCTTCACCAGCGCGCCACCTGCCGCCGCAATTTGCGACAGGTTCTTGCTGTTGAGCTTGAGAGGTGCCATTGTGCTCAGATGAGGTGAAAAATGAACGACAAGGGCGAGAATCTGAAAGGGGAAGAGTTTGCAGCAGGGTCACCGCTGCTTTTGACTGCTGATCGCAGGGAAATATGACCAGGGAATGGCATTCTTACATCATGGGCTGGGCCTCAAATAGGGGCCAGTGGCGGGGGGATAACTTACTCATCCTCGCCATTGCTGCCCGTACAAGGTGAGCGGTGTACCAGAAGTACTTGATAAGGAAACTGGAGAAAACAAGAGTTTTTAAGTACCTTGCATGAGCAACACAGGAGTGGCGTCATGGTAAGAGTTTTCTGCCGCTTCCAGAATGACTTAGCTAAGCTTCTGCTATTAATTGCTATTGGATGTCGCCTTCGTATCGGCAGCACTAATAGCACTAATAGCAACTACCTTACCGTCTCGGGATTTGCCAAGCGGGTCTGCAAACTCTGACTAGTGCGGGTTACTACGGAGTATGGCACACCGACTAGATAGCTATTCCCCTCGGAACACACAGTACGTAGTCTACCCGGCAGAGTTCGAACCATCCCACTGGGTCTAGTGAGTCTGGATTTGATAATGAATCAGATTGAGACAAAGGTGACCACCACTCAGCCCCCATACACGTGTCCAGTTTCACAGAGATGAATGGTAGAACTACTGCTAGAGTGTTGACCGACTCATCTACTTTTGATAAGTCTCTAACAACAGGATACTTCGACCTGTTATGGTCCAAAAAAAGAAAAAGCCTTATTCCGCATGCATTAATTCCAGACCTCGCCTCCGGTCAACCCCATGCGCCGTACGCCACTGCCCCCAATCCCGAAGTTGAGATTGGTCCATGGTGGAGCATGGGGTAGCTATCCCTGCAACTAAGGGAGCTAGAAAAACCAATCATATCATGTGAGCACTCCACGGCCCCTTAATCTACGCGCGGCATCTTCCCGACAGTCCCGGATAAGGTACAGATTGCATCTAATATATTACTCCCGTATTCCAGACTATTTCCTTGGAGAAGAACAAGGGACCTCACATGACCCTTCTGTTTGTTTGACCCTGGTCTCAGCCATGCGCTATTCCTGGCAAAATCCACGGTAGTACTATTGAAGTGTACACATAGCCTGGTTCAGTGGATTCAGAGATGAAAAATTACTCCGTATTTTCTCGTTGATCAATGGTTCTTTAACGTGACTTACTGGTCTGATGGACTTCTCGACTTCAATTGAATATGCTAAATCTATGTAAAAAAGTTAAAGTGGGTAGCGATAAAGATGATGTGCTTATGGTGCTGGTGGTAATATAATCAACATCAGGATTGTGCACGAAGATTGAAGCTAGTAGCTGGATTATAGTTTCAGTTTCCAGACGTGAACTCGTGATCCTACCGGGATGAACTCCGGAAGGAAGTGGAAAACCGCAGGGGTAAATCGAGACTGCTCTGGCCCTACGGTGCCGGGTGGCTGGTATACGGATTGGGGGCTGGAAAGACTGGGCAAAAACCTCCCCGAGGCCTTCATGCCGGTGCGGAGGATGGAATGTCTAAGCAAGGGATTGAGGTCCCGTGATACTATCGACCTTGATCCAAGCTAACTGTGGTCTAAGTCAGGGGAAACAGATAGGAGATTGACATGGATGTGAAAATTAGAAATCGAAGCCAGAGCTTGGTGGAGCTGCGGCTCTGGATCTAGAACACTGCATGCGGGCTGCTATGCCGGATAATATCAGGTCATGCGCCAGAATCCTTATTTCTATAAAAGGAAAAAGAAGCGAATCAAGAGGTGAGATCAGCAAGGGGGACACGGAGTACTAGATATGTTGAAATCACTCGCGTCCTGCATAGCTAGTGTTGATATGCATTTTACGCACGTCTATCGGCTCCAAATATGAACCAGGCCCGATTTGTAATAAATAATATAGAGCAACGTAGTAGGACTTGTGCAAAGATCGCTCCATCTTATATAATTTCCTAGATCTTATCTACCATTGTATTCGGATAAAGCTTAGTGTTAGACCAACATTTTTTGTGTGAACCACAATTAGCCACGCATAAATACGCACAGTAACTGGTATCATGGCGCCCCTTCTGACCCGTCTACAAGATTGTGGGTGGACTTCTGCTGATGTCCCCGAGATCAAGGACAAGAAGGCATCAATTACGTTACGGGACTCTGTGGATCTCTCACTTTCTTATAGTCCAGAGAACCTCTGCAGTGCCTTTATCTCAGAATATCAGCGCTCTCTCGGTCTTCAACCTGGCATCATAACGCTACTCAATGCCAGTTGGCTGGTCACCGTACGCTGTTTCTGTCCGGTTCAGGACATCCACCTGGGTCTGCATTCGCCGGGAGTCTACTTCATCGCCAGATTACCGCATAGGGCACACCGTCAAGTCGCCATCGACCTGAACTGCGAGGCCCCGGTCAGAAATCTAGTTCGAGATGTCTCCCTCCTTCAGTCTGAGGCGACGTCGCACATGTCACTGGGCGACGATGTTTCCAACGAGGCTCCAGAGAAATTTCTGACGACCACGATTAGCTACGCAGAAGAATTATCTGCCTTGACAGGGAGATCTAGCAATGGAGATCTGAACAAAGAGGTAAATATTTCCCGTTCCATCAACCGTCGCCACACACTGTGTACTTCTGATCCGTTAACAGGACCTAGATCCGACAGCCCATCAATTCCAAACTCTTCCTGCGCATCTCTCAGGCAAATGGCGAACTTCACGCCAAGCTCACCTTCTCCGTCTCTGACGTTTCCAGAGACCTTGCACTTAGTATGCTGCATACATTCAATAGAGCCATCAGGGCTGTGCTTTCGTCTCCATTACAATCCTTAGGAGAGTTAGACCTGTGCTCAAAACATGACTGCCAGTTGCTGCAAAAATATACTGAGAGTGTATCAGAACCCTATGAAGTGCTGCTGCACGACTTAGCCTTGCAGCATGCACAACTAACTCCTCATGCTCCGGCTGTTCATTCCTGGGATGGTGACCTGACCTATGCACAGCTGGATGATGCAACCTCCCGACTTGGACAGTTTCTCGCCAGTATAGGTGGAGGCCTGGGTACATTTGTAATCAGCTGTTTTGAGAAGTCCACGTGGGCAATTGTGGCCCGCCTGGCTATATTGAAAGCTGGCGCCACATACATCTCTGTTGACGCAACAGATCCACCTATTTTCCTTGAGAATGTGATCCACTGTGTGAACGCAAAAATAATCCTCACTTATAAGGCTTAATAGTCTTGATACACTCCTTTCGCCCCGTTAGTCATTGCAGTTACACCAGAAATGGTACATGCTCTTCCTGTAAGCACAGGTACTATCTGCCCCCTGGTAAAGCCCAGTGATGCATGTCTTATCCTGTTCACTTCTAGGAGTACTGGAGAGCTAAAAGGGATTATCTAAGAGCATCGAGCGTACGCTACGGCAGTCCGGGATTACAACAAATTGCTCAGAATAGGCCGACACAGCCGCGTGCTGCAATTTGATGACTACGCGTTTGATATCAGCAATAATGACTATTTGACCACCTTTATTGCTGGTGGATGCTGCTGTGTTCACACCCCGAGCAAGTCTGTGTCTACTCTCGTGGAGGACATCAACACCCTTCAGGTTAACATGACCTTTCTGACCCCAACTATCGCCGCTCAGATTTCCCCTCTGGATGTGCCAACGTTGGAGTTGGTCTGCCTTGGTGGTGAGCCGATGTCAAACGATCTCCTGATGAGGTGGTCCCCTCATGTGAGACTGGTAAATCAGTATGGCATGGGGGAGGCTGCTACCTTCTGCGCTTACAACGACCAACTCCAAACAGGCCAGAACGCCATCGTCGGACGCAGCGGGAGCGGAGCCATTTGGATAACAAGTTCAGACTCTCCAGAGCTCCTTATGCCTGTCGGGGCTGTAGGCGAGATTATAATTGAAGGGCCCCACCTGGCCCGAGGGTACCTGGACAGTGTCTGCCAGAAGCCTGGCATTGGGTTCCTACCAAATGCACCAACCTGGCTCAAAGATCTTCATCCTTCTCGTGCGGTCACATCGAGGTTCTATCGCTCCGGGGACCTGGGAAGATATACACATGCAGGGACTGTGGAACATTTGGGCCGCAAGGACACCCTACTCAAAATTAATGGATATCAAGTCGAAGCCACTGAGGTCGAGTACATCCTCCGCAGGTCGCTGAGCCCCGGGGACGCGGTCATCGTGGACCTACTTGGCGAGATCGGTGGCCCCTGTGAGCCGTTTCTAGTGGCTTTCCTATCCTTGACTAACAATGAAGACTCTTTCGTCCCCGCTGCTTCTAACAACTCGGTCGATTTTCTTCCGGTCACTAGTCACCATTCGGCTCATCGATTGGTGCAAAGAATGAAAGCTGAGGTCATGGCTACGCTCCCAGTCCACAAAATCCCGGAATACTTTATTCTCGTCAATCAGATTCCCAGAACCAGGTCTAATAAAACTGACCGCCGCAAATTGCACCATCTCGCGCAGAAGTCGTACTTGTCGGGGGTCCTAAGTAAGGTCTGCAACAAATAAGGCATACATCCTCATTTCCGATTAAATCTGGATTCGGACAAGTCGGTGTATTTGTCGTCATGAGTTTAATGGATAATGACTAGTTCCGGTTCTAATTCTCAGCTGCATCGGCATACGCTGGGTGCAAGTGCTCAATGGTTGGGAATGTATAATGGCCGAGGGCTTGCTGCACGCACGGTATGGCTGTCTCTATCTCTGCTTTTGCTCCAGGAGCTGTATGTAGTCCAGATATTTCAAACTATACTTCTGCGCTCTGATACGGCGAGCTTTCCATATGAAGTATGACATTGACTATCTCTCAATACTGCATCTTGTGCTGTTGTCGATATCAAAATCGTGCCAAGAACTGAAATATGGCTAAATCTTAATTTATTACACTAGCGCGCTGCTAGGGCATTTAGTGCACGCCTCCACTCTGTAAATCGCAACTCAATCAGGACATCAAAATTCCAAAAAGGGGTCTTCTGTCTTTGATCGTCATTTCGTGCTGCAATCCATTTTTTGGACTTTATACAAATTCTCCGAGAATCATGCAACTTTGTGTGCCGTGGGGGCTCCTCGTCGGCATTTTGTCTCTCGCTTCTGCAGCTGTGACACAGAATGGAACGGAAGGAATCGATCTGTTTGAGGTCCATCTTCCTGTTGACTGGAAAGATGCAGTTGCCAATGGGGTAAAATTTGTCTTCGTCAAGGTGGGTGAGATCGATCAAAAGGATCGACGTGCCATTCCCCGTTTCTCTCCAAACTATACCCCTCTATTTGTTTATGATCTGTCCCCGGACTTATTATTGACCGACTCTCGCGATAGGCAACTGAGGGTATCAACTACCAAAACCTACGCTTCCCCACTCAAACAGCCGGTGCACTCGCTGCCGGGATTGTCCATGGCGCAGTGCACTTCGCATCTGCAGCGGAAAGCAGCGGAGCCGATCAAGCAGACTTCTTCATCGAACATGGAGGGAACTGGACCGCGGATGGACAGACGCTCCCCGGAGTGCTGGAGATGGAAGGCAACATTGCCGGCAAGCTTTGTCACGGGATGACGCCAATAGAAATAACGGACTGGATGCTTGATTTCTCCCTCAGATACAAGGCCCGGACGAGCCGACCGCCGATCCTCTTCCTCTCAGCGGACTGGTGGGCAAAGTGCGCAGGGAACAATGCGACGTTTGGCGCAGATCATGCATTATGGTTGGCGAATTGGGCTGAGGAGATGGGTGCACTGCCGACAGGCTGGAAGAGTGCTAGATTCTGGCAATATGCCGGTTGGAGTGAGAATGGAGGAGAGGCAAATGTGTTTTTTGGTAGTTCCAAGGACTTAGTAACGTTTGCAATGGGAGCTGATAAATGAATGAGATGTACTCACTGTCTCTGCTTTATACTCTGTATATATGGTTCAAAAGTATTGCATTAGTCGTAAAAATAATGCAGAAAACAAATGACGATGAGCCGGAAATGGGAACTAGCTCTAACCCTATCCTCGATAGACTCAAGATCCGGCAGATCAAATAGCACTACAGGCTCAAACAGGTAAACAGAATATATTCTAAATCTACTCCTATCCATATTGGGTTTTTCTTTCAGACAGAGCTATCTATTCTACTGAAAATATCAATTGGACATTTACTGGGGACGGATTAAGATACTTCCCCGGCCGATCCATTGATAGTGATAGCTGAGGCATATTCATCAACCAACTAGTTGTATTCGATTCCCATTTTCTCCCATAGTTGACCCACAACCATAACCGTGACACATTGTATCCAGTCAACGGGTTGACATAGAGCCCAAGGGAAGGCACCTATCAGGGATTCAAGCCCCAACACCTTAACCGGAGAAGGGACCTTGTGTGCGCCCCATTTCACTTTGCATTGGTAGGTCCCCTCGAGAGGAGAGCTCCATTTCTGGCCCTTTAGATCTTTTCTTCTATCATCGCCGAGTGCTATTATCAGGTCACCATTCAAGAGACGCAAGAACTCGGTCCTGTCAACTTGACTTGTCTAACCGCCTCCCCTCCCTGCCTGGCTCTTGTAACCATTCTTTCATTTCTTGTAGACCCACCGTGGACTTACCAATGCACCCGTGGACTGTTGCTCATAGCCCATGACGATGTGACTTGTGGCAGCTGTCCTGGCACTGGGTGCGCTTTACTACTGGCACGTCAACTGCGTTATGAATGTAGGTCCTGAAGAAGCACAGAAACTATCACCACATTGGTTGACTGCTGGAGAAATCAGACCCACCTACAAACAGAGCCTAGAATCTCCTATTGATGCGATCAAGTCTGCAGGAAGATCACTCCCGACGATATGTGATTGTAGGCGGAACGGGTGCGTCAACAGATAGACACCCTCAACACCGCCGATCAGCCTGACCCGCAAAAATAGGTCTAGTTGACGCTTGGACAATCTCACATCTACTGGCTCGAGGAAAGGAACCCAAGGACGTTCGCATCCTGGATGTAGTATCCCAATTTAGGATCTACCAGAAGCTCCTCAATCAAGGTGTCGCCTGGGCCAAAGCCAATATCACTGTTGAGCTCGCGGTAAGAAATGCGTTTGAAGAAGCATGGATAGCTCACATCGACAAGCTCCCCTTCACAGTCTACCATACGGTAGCCCTAATTAGGCTTCAAGGCAACTATGAAGAGCTTCCTGCATATGCAGCAAAGTCAATCTCGATGGCACACGGAACATCCGGCGCCACGGCGATCCATCAGCCAACGTGCTGAATTATGCCATGAGCTACTGTGCCCAAACAAGCAGTCCAGATAATCAACGACGAAACCGAACTGTCCCAAAGGACTACAAATTCTTCTGAACCTGCGCCGTAACCAGGGCCGAAGCGGAGCGACTCGGCTGCGCAGCCAATAACCTCAACGTTAACTTCCGCGGGCCATGCAACAAATGGCATCTGCAGCACAGGCAGGCAATCGAGAACTGCACTCGTAGATAATTACCTCAACAACGGCGGCAGTCCAACTTGGCCACACATCGAGCTACAGAGCTTCGTCCTCAACATTCCGCCCCATTGAAATTTCTAACACTATTGAGTTCGACATAGGTATCCCATAAGACACATGGACCAGTGTATGGCCAGCTTGATGACTGGGAGAGGTCAGTCTCTTGCGTATACATGGGACAGATGAGATTGTGACCGATTTTGGATCACAGAGTAGAATTGCTACTGGTGATTAACGTAACAGTGTCTACATTGAGATACCCTTCCGCTGTCTTGCCAGAGAATGATATGGTGAAAACTGGCTTGCACAGCATATCTATAGTTTGGAATTGGAATTCTCGGAGTAAGCAGAATAATTTTTTGAGTAGAATTCTTTTGGTGTGCTGGACTGCGGTAGGCTGCAATACAAGGCTTTTCGAAAATTTGAACTCGATTTTCTGAGTCACTTGATTATAGAAATCTCCCTTGTTGGCCGCAGGTAAGGGTTCCGTGGCAAGTCTTAAATGATGCGAGGATTCATCGTAGAGCGTTGTTGCAACACTAGGTAAGGAGACACCATGCAATGAAAGAGGGCATTTCGTGTATATATCATGTAGATAGATCCGAGAGTGTAGGGATCCTACGGATGAGAGAAATCAGGTTATACACACAATGCTCAACTGACCAATAAAAGGGTGTTCAGCTGATCTACATCGAAAAAGAGTACAATATCTATAGGATATGGCTACTATAAGTGCCGGGTTAAACCAGACTGACAATCTGAACTCTGGACAGGAGACCGGAATGCAACTCTCTCCTATTCTATTTCCTGGGAGGACCTTCTCAATTCTGAAATCCATTAGCCGCGTATTCCAAGCACAACACACCAACCATGAGCAGCATCATACGCAACAAGAACGCGGTTGTCTTTGGTGCTTCTGGAATCAAGCGTGGGCTATTGTACATGAAATTCCGAATGACTACCCTTCTCCAACCACCTTTGACTACGTCACTGCGCTTACCAACAGCCCCCTGTCTCGCGATGTGGCACAATGGCCCTCTTCTGATAAGTTCCAGGTAGTATCAGGTCTCGACCTGCTGCGAGGTGGCCAAGCGTCCTTGGAAGACGAGATCAAAAAGTATGTTCAGGGGCTGGAAGAAACCAGTCACTTGTACTTCTGCGCCTATGTCATGAACCCAGAGCTAGAACAAAAAGTCCCGAATTCAACACGGATCTCTTAAAAAGGGCCGTGACAGCTATCGAGAACCTGAGCCCGAGATTAGAGGTTGTCGTCTCCCCAGCGGGAACCAAAGTGAGACCGAACAACCAAAAAAACAGTGTCTGATAGCTGACAAGGAATTGACAACGGCAGGCTTATGGTATTCATCTTCTTGACAACTTTCCCTGGTCCCACAATCTTCCCCTTCGGGAATCACTTCCTCGCATACTCGAGCCATACGCCTCGCAGGTCTTTACTACAGTCAGCTTGATCTGCTGAAATCAGTGTTCCAAGGCAAACGCTGGACTTATTGCAATATCATCCCAGATGTGGTAGTAGGTTTTGTTGCAAACAACAATGTATGCCGTATATCACAGTGGCTAGCACTAAACCTTAATCTCTATCGCGAAATGCGTGGCGAAGGAGCTGACGCAGTTTTCCCGGGGACGATGGAAAGCTGGGTGTTAAAAGCAATGGCAGCAGCCAGGACATTATTGCTCGCCTTGCTATCCATGCGAGCCTGCATCCCGAAGTCAGCGGGGGAGAAAGTTTTAGCACCGCTGATAACTGTCTCCCATCGAGCTGGTCAGTGAGGTGGCCTATTATTTGCGAATATTTCGGCTTGCGAGGAGTTGCTCCTACTATTGGATCTGGTACGGATCCACACGGCTTCTTTAGTGAGAATCGGAGAAGTGGTCGAAGATGGAGAAGAAATATGGCCTACAAACCGGACGTTCTGGAGAAAATACTCGGAGTGTTGTTGGACTCCCGTTCATCATCATGCCCATGTTGGATTCCGATCGACAATTGAATTTGGACAAGATGTATCATGCTTGGGAAATGGCAAAGGAAGAAGTATCTAATAGGGACGCATGTTACACTGCATTCAATCGCTTCCGAGAGGCGCGCATTATTCCTGAATGCTGCAATGTGAGTTAAGTAGCATACAGCAGACTATTTCTATAAAATTGACATTTGGTTTGTTTATAATGATTGTTCGCATCTCACTACTCCTGTCCTTCCCGTGTTCCCATGCAACGCACTTATGTCGAATAGCATATAGACAGGATATTGAATACTTTATACTAAGGATATCAAACCATTGAATCCTTATGTACTGGGGATACCAAATACCTAGAAGACATATTACCTTCCTGTATAGTATCATTATGGATTCTTTTATCCTTACTATAGTAGAAATCCGTTGCACACGAGAGTCTGAGCAGAATAGCCCGTATTTGGTATAGTAGCTTAACTCAGACCTCGCCCATTTCACTTTCTCCTTCATTTTGTTCCAGCACGACTGCTTGCGTATACATGCACTAGTAGTACTTTCAGGCAACTTCCCCGTGTGGGCTGTCTACATCAGTCGCAAAACCCACTACCGTACTTGCAGTTGACTATTTGTACTATTACAATCTCCCCATCATTGCATCACCGCTCCCGCCATCCTACAGTCGATGCGCATCTGCAAAATCGGTGGATCTGGGATTTCCCCACCTGCAGATGGGTGGATCATGCTTAACCCATACGGGTAACCCGTTTCTAAGGCGCATCTGCTTAGGGCACACTATTGGTCTGTTTCCTTCAGCTGGTTCGTGTCGGCGGTGGATACCACAATCTCCATGATGAAATATTGGACATATCCTGCAATTACCTATCTGTCAAGTATTCAACGACTTTGACCGTTAATAGTTTAAGCCATATAGCATACAGCTCAATGGCATTGACTTTGTTCTTATGCCTCCCACGTCATGTTTTGAGGCGGCTTGGTGATTATCACTGATCCATATGCAGGTGAGTGCAGTGATTCAGATGATCCATTTGCCACAGCCTATCTGTCTGGGTTGCCTCCTGCTCGGGGCGAACCGCTGTTCCAACATAAATGATGCGACTGGTGCTATAAAAGTATATTTTGACGTCAGACTGATCACTACGTGGGTTCAATATCTTGATTAACATTGACAGTATGAACGATACACATCAGGGTGTGGACTCATAGCAGGACTGAGACTTACAGGCGGAGAGTGTTCGTGGGCGCATATAGCTATGCACTAACAGAGCTTGCCATAATTCTAGGACCTAGGCTCCGTGCGCTATATTTGTATGGAGCAATCAAACTAGTAAGTACCTTATAAACACTTAAGTTATACATTTTGTTGCATGGGATCTGGTTTTCAATTTCAGGTCCAATGGTACCAAATGTTTTATTATTCCACGAGACGGAATGCCTGCGTGCTGTGATCTGCAGGTCTAAAAGTTCGGAGGATTGAAGCTGAAATTTTTATGGCTAAAGATAATGAAGATCTATTTCCTGTACGTTGCTTCCATGTTCCGCTCTGGCGGGGTACCGTCGATGCATTCTCCACATACGACAGTCAGTTTGCGCAATCCCCCCCATTGATGCATACTCAAACCTGCAGTGATAGATAGGTGGGGAGATAGGTGGGGCTTCATGGATCTACCACATCCAGTAGGGACTTACAAGTTCATCGAATGGTTCATCTGATCTTTGCAGATCAGATTTACTTGTTTCTTCCTGCTGCTATTCTGCACGGGTGACGTCGCAGGCCCTCAATTGCGTGGATTCTTGTGGGAATTGAATTGTCAAGAACTTAATTGCTAACAGTGAGTGACTGGATGTTAAAAACGGTCTCATTCCTCGCCTCGAGGATTGAAAAAAACTGAGAAAAACAATCTAGGGCCAATTGAATACCTTGCACTCTGGTGAATTAACACTTATCTTGAGATTGCAATTTAACTTGGTGCTTTCTTTGTCATCATGCCTGCTGCTAAAAAGGAAAGTCAGGGAGCTACTTCCCAGCCACCAACGGCCGCCAAAACGGACCCCAAACAGCAAAAAAACTTGAAGGAAATAGAGGGCCAAATTAAGGAATCGGAGGAAGGTGAGAGATGCTGGTTGGCGTTTGAGCAGCATAAGTTTCCCAAACTAACCAATGTGCCAAGCAAACAAAACCGACCGCCAAGCCATGTTCAATATCTATTTGTTTGATAGTGTGACCAAGACAAGCCAGATGGAAAAGTTCGTCACCATCGGCAGCATCAAAAATGTCGAGGACACAACCTTGGCCGATATTCGGAAGAGTTTGATTAGCGAGAATGCCCTGTCCTGGAGACAGTAAGTTGACCACCTACAAGGGGTGACTTAAACACATAATAACCTGTAGATAGAAAGTCCAGCAAGTTCTGCAACGATGAGGGAGCTGAAGTAGACGACAAACTTCGCTTCGATGTGTACCTGGACTTCCTCAACAGCAGCGAGGAGAAGCCCAAAGATGAAGAGGGTTCGACTGATGATAGTGGAGGTAAGCGAGCAAAGGGGAACAATGGTCGTCCCGTGAGTATGCCACCAGGATTTTTTGACCAAGTACTATGCTAATGCCGAGCTGTCAGATCACTCGGGAATCGAACACCGGCAAATCATACAAAGTCTACTTGAAGCTGCGCAAAATCCCCACCGAGTTGGATGAGACCACCAAAGATTTCCTCAAGGAGAAGCTAGACCTCTCGCTCAATGTAAGTCCTCTGCCATCACTCACAGATGCTTGTTTATATTGACTGCCGTATTAGAAACCGGGGTTGATATCAGCCGATGTCAACAAGCTTACGAGCTCTTACAATCACAGCAATTTCCAAGCTCTTGCTGGCAAAGACACCACGTAAGATACTAACCCCCGCGAATAGTATTTTACTGAGACTGAGGCAAACTATAACCAGCCATCCGGCAGACATGGGGGAGAGAGAGTGGTACATCGTCCTTCAGAACAATTCAATTCTTCATGGCAACTATGTGAGGGAGCTAGTCAATGGCCAGAGGAAGGTCGAACGTGCCATGTACCCTGGTACGTGAATTTATAACCTTAAAGGCTTGACTGACTCGTGACTGATATCTGACTGGCGAAATAGCTTTTGCATTGAAGCCGCGAAAGTTCCATGATTTCGAAATTGTCTTCAATAGTGGTGGCAAGGACGGTGCTGCCCCTTCAGCTAGTGACAATGAACCTGTGGTATGTGTCCCCTTCGTTGGGTCGCCCTTTGCTAATTTTGAACCATCACCAGGTGCATCACCTAAGGATTCCTAGATTTCTTGTACAAGATGACTCTTACATCAATGTGTCTGAAAATAAGACATCAGTGGCAGACGCAATTGCGGACAGTTCACTCTCTGAACATTCAGCTGAGGTCTCCGTGTAAGTTTCCCATGGATGCATTAATCCCACACATTTTATCTTGCTAATTAGTGCAGAGGGGGAGGAGCATTTGGCGTCACTGCTGGTGTAAAGGTCGGATACAAATCGCAAGCCGAGGTAAAAACAGCATCAAACACAACTTCAGACTCTAAGCGCATGACAATCACATATAATGTGAGTTACCAGGCTTTCACATTCCATACGGTTGCTGAGAAGCCCCACATCATAGTTTCCCCGAGTTGTCCTCGAGCTTGATGGAGAAAGCCTTGATATCTCAGACGAATGCAAGAAGGACCTCGAGAACATCACTACGCCCGAGGCAGTGCATTTCTTCAGAAGAAAATATGGTACTTTCCCTAATACCTCTGTGCTGCCCCCGCAGGAAGTGCTAAATATTCACAGGGACTTTCTTTGCCTCCCGGGTTGAATTAGGTGGCCGCCTCCATTCGTCCGAGAGCAGCGATTCCTTTGCTGAAGGGAAAGTCGAAGAAAGAGCCCGGGCACTGAAGATTTCTGCAGCCGCCTCCTTCTCATCTACGTACGCTCAAGGCTCTGCCAGCGGTAGCTATGAAGATTCAAGCAACCATAGCTCAAATCGCCAGAACAGCAGCTTGAGCACTAATCTGGCGTGGGAAGCCAAGGGAGGTGACACTTTATTGTGCAACAAGTGGGTTGCTCTGAAAAAGGCTTTCCTATGCGTTAAGTCCGAACTGACGTTTGTTACATAGCCCTCCTGCCTGGTGCCCTACGGTGGCGTCTTACTACAATTGGAGGATCTCCAAGGTACGTTTCTCATCGCTGCCAATATCACTAAGCCATAGCCTAGCAGTGCTAATAATCCATGCAGCAAGATGACCTCCTTTCCATGGAAGACATGATATCACTCATTCCAGGATACGAATACGTCAAACAGAAGTTCAATAGATTGGCACCACTCAAGGAGAGCGAAGTGACGACAACTCCGGCCCCTCTCCCTAAGGAGTGGGACGGCTGGGTCACATTTTGGTTGAAGCACCCCAATGAGCGCCTATATCCAACCGTCTGCGACAATCCCTCATCCTATGGTTTTGGTCAGTACAGTGGTCTCATTTCTGGATGGACAATAACTAATATTTATATATGTCCAGAGTCCACGATTATAACACCAGCCATGGCTCAATTGCTCGCAAACGCCGCCTCGAATTTTGCCTCATCGCATTCCGTTCAAATGAAAGCATCAGTCGAGGATGATTCGCAGATCTACCAAGCGGGTACCAAGTTTTATGAGGTCTATGATGGGGAAACCGTCCGGTACAGGGTATGTCTCTTGAATCTGCACTAGTCCGTGTCAACATTCTAATGCCTATATAGTTCAAACCCGGCTTCCAATATGTTGTCTGGAACAAGAAGACCAACATGTACCTGGGAGCAAAGCCTCCCGTTCCTGGTGTGACCCAAAAGTCTGAACTATGCACAACGAACTGGGCGAATAGCTGCACCTTCAAGTTTACGCATGCCTTCCCAACGGACAAGATCTACATTTCGAATCGCGATCTTGTCCGCGTGGAGATCTTTGACTCTGAGGGGAAACCCATAGGCCCTCTGAAGGATATGCCACCTCTTGGGTCGTATGGAACAAGTGGTGATATCTTCCAGTTCCGTTACTTGGGCGAACCTTGAGCAGTTTTGAACTCTGCAAGATAAGTAGGGTTTTTTACTTACATTAGAGAACTTTGAGTAGATAGTCATCGCTTCGCTTGTTCCAGAGCAAGATTTTAATTGAACCATTATTTCTGCTTGAAATGCCTTATATTAACACCTCCCTCACTTTCAAACAGTTCGCAGCTGACGTTGTGTAGTAGGAGCAGTAGTGCGGTGCAGAAATCAGCCACTGATGAGTTGTAGAGCAACGTCATTGGGTTATATTTGAGATCCAGTGGGCCGTATGCTGAAACAGGCCAATTGTTTAGTGATAAGGTACATCATTTCCCTGAGCTGGGCGATCCATACGTCGCAGTCCATTAAAGCATATTTATAAGCTTTAAAGATTGTTTATATGGTGAAAGACATGATTCTGCACTATCATGATTGAATTTAGCTAGGAGCCACTCACAACTTTTTGATACGAGTCCATACGCCTGGGTTGCTGGGCCTCTTCAGAATTCATATAGAGGTTAATATTCTATTAGATATATGGTCATTATGGCCATATAGGCCATTATCAATCTGTTTCTGGTTTGAATGATGATGGTTGATCTGCTTCTTTAAACCACAGTGATTATCGACAATTGGCTGCATTTCTATAAAGCGGTCCTCTATGGCTCTTTGGAGAGGGATAGAAAAGACTTGAGGAGTCGTGCTTATAAAATTCGCCTTTTATCCTGCAATCCTAACCCGACTGCTGCTGCCTAACCTATGCTAGAGCACTCTCAATCCCTCCCACTTTCCGAGCCCCTGGACATATCGAGACCGCACCTTTTCCAGCCTCGCGCGCATACGAATATCCGCTTCGTCTTCCCCGGCCACGCTATTCAGTTCTCCCTCATCCAAACCCGCAAAGGTCTTGACAGAGACGGTGGGCATGGGGCGTTTCGGTCCCAACACATGTCTCTCGACGATTGCAATGCTGTTATGGATTCCGCCTCTTCCCTTGTTCTCCTTGTTCCAGTCAAGGGGGACCCGGCGAATTTAAGTCCATATTGTACGCGGTCACTCAGAACCTTGTCTGCCGCCGCTATTCTCAGCTGCAGCCTTGCCGCAGTCGGCATGCATTAGTAGGTACACAAATAGCACCTAAACTTGGATCCCAGTACCCATGAGAACCGTCTATTTGTTGCTAAGGTAGTAGCGTCCGGCGGCCCGCGCCACAACGATCAATGATTGTGGACTTCACCCCTGAACCAGTTTCACTTGATCCCATGTATCCACATAGCCACGAATACAATCAATAAAGTCACTAAATTTGTTCTCAAGTTCCACTCTTGGGTCGACTCGCGTCTGGCTGGGTTCGGCCTTGTAGGAACAAGAGCATCGGTTAGCGAGAACCCAATGACACACAGGCCTGAATTTGTGAATGACCCAAAAGCTCAATAAAATCTAGTAGATGTGTCAAGCGACCAATGGTAGAATGTAACGGTAAACATATGAAGCAAGCAAATAAAACACCAGTCTATCTTCCCTTCAGACACTGATTTTGCGCTAATTAACTGAGGACGCATTGTTCAAGCAGATGTCGTTGACGGTTTCTTGGGCTTATAAATGTGGACACGGCCAACGCTCATGCCTTATTAATGCAGTTAAAGCTGCAGCACCCATGAGTTTCATAAATCCCACTGTACGGAGTCTGTGTCAGCGGGCATGGAGACATAGAATGGACTTGGATACCTACGCAAAGGTTGGTGATATGAACTATGATGGCGTTCATGCACGGCTGCAGGTTATGCTTAACTAAACTATCAACACCACGCGTAAATATGCTGTTATCAGAGAGTGCTATCTGTGTCGTAGGAGCACACCAAAACCACCATGTACCTTAGGTGTAATATCTCAGGTATTTACTACAGGTAAGTATATTTAAGATAGTAATATTTAAAGGAAACATCTTACAATTAAAGCCTTTTAAAGTTTTAACTAAAAATTAGAGACATAAGGATATATGAAATTTCTGTCTCAAAAGCCTCCTTCTTAGGTAAAATTATAAAGAGAGATTATTCTATTATAGCACTTATAATTTTTCTTTCTAATCATAAAGAAAGAATAAAAGATAGATACTTACTTATATATAAATAATAATGAACCAGAAAAAATAAATGTATACATACCTAGACTAAACGATCTATATGTGTACTTTTTATATGGCATCACCATATAAAAGGTACATGATGGTTTCGGTGAGCATAAGGCACAGATACATTGTTAAGGGAGGCTGAGAAATGTGTCAGCTGAAGGGACCATGGGTCTTTCAGATGGCTCTCAGGAAGCTCTGCTCTCTAGAAGATGATTGGTTCCCACCACAAATACAGGCTTGAGTAGTATATCTTAGCCTAAGGCAGCATTCAAAGAGAAGAGCATAGAGCTATCCCTCAGGGCCGAGATGATGAATTGCCAGACAGGTCCTAATCGGCATATTGACAGGATCTGTTCACTATCTCATTATTACTCTAGGGATCCCTAATTCTTCAAAGATAGGCTCGAAGTCTGGCTAGAACCTGTTTCGGACACTTCGGATATAGATAGAGTTTCACACATCGATCTGACCCATCCGATGCTCTAGCCCTGGCATATTCGCCAATGTGCGTATTCACACCCAAATATTATCTGACACGTCAAATCCGATGACATGGACGACCCTCTCAATGATGTACCTTGACCACAAAGTGAAGAATACAGCTGCCTTGGAGCTGCATCACCCGATGAGACTTGATTGACGTTATGATCGTGCAAATCGCGGGGTATCAACCTCAGCGATTGGTTGTTCTCCGCGCTTCATTCTATGCAAAACCAGGTGTGTGAATGTGTGGAGCCCGAGTTGGCTTTTGATGAAATGCTGACATCAGCTGTGGCGAGGGGGTACAAGAAGATATAAGAAGCAACTGCATTGGCTAGTAAACAAACACAAACAAGAACGCAAACGCAAACGCACAGTTGATTATACTATCAGGAATTCTCTTCAAAGCACCATGGCCGAAGATCGCATCAACGCCCTCCGTGGCTACAAGGCGTAGGTTGATGCTGTTCCGATCCTCGAACTATTGAATAGCCTAACAAGTTGGTAGGACCCTGAACAACCCCAATGTCTCAGATGAAGCCAAGCGGCACGCTCAGGATGTCATTGACAACGAACTGGGCGGCGAGCAGGTCCATGATGACTTCTACCAGCAACGAGGTGACGACCAGAAGGACCCTAACAGAGTCCAAGCTGGATTGAAGGCGTATGTTCCCACCGGTGCACGCCGAAGTTTGTCAGACTAACTTCAATCTAGTGCCACCCATAACCCTGGTGTGTCACGGGAGGGCAAACGCAGCGCTGCTGAGAAATACAAGCAGCAGTTTGGCCAGGCTCCGGATGAGTAAACTACTCGGCGGGTTTTACTGCGACCTAAGTGTATATTAGCGTCTTTAATAATGATATTCGGGCTATCTAAGATGAAGCTTTCTACCCGCGAAGCTGAAGATGAGGTATTTGTCGCTCTAAGCCTAATCTGGCGGCGTAGGCGAGAGAGTAGCTTTTACAATAATGAAATCTATTATTGGGACAGGGGTTTATCCCGGGTGATTGATACGAGAAGTGGATGGATGATGGGTCGTCTTGGAGGTATTGTTTTGTATGGGATCTTCCGAAAATACTAACATTCTACACGCCACATATAGTAGCGAGAAGCAAAACCCAGGTGAAGTACCTTATGCGTGATTCTTGAGGTTTGTGAGGATCTCATGGGTGTATTAGACGAATAACATATTCATTACGGCCGTGGCGCGAGTCAATAATAACGGCGCCATTTTCGTCCAACTGCGAATTGTAGGCATTTGTAGGCATAATTAACCTTGTCAGATTGTCTACTCCATGGGAAATCGGACGGCAGCCCAATGCGCCTCTGGGAAAGCCATGATTAGAGCGCTGAGCACTGCTAATGAAGCAGGAATCATATTTCATCTTCAAACCAATGTCATCCTGAAGTGAGTCGGAAACCAAGATCGTGTCCTGCACTCAAACATACAACCTGCTCTCAGCCGCTCACACAGCGCACCCCAGAGCTGATATAATCCCACATCCAGCTCCAAGCTCCGAAAACTGCTGTGATACCAGTGAAAAGGATCAAAGTCCCATACTGAGTGCTAAAGCCAGTTTCAGCGTTGTTGGTTTGCGAACCACTCAGCGATCCCTGCTTGATCAGTGCCGTGCTCAGCGGACCACTGATGACATTGCCAATTCCCCGCCCTCCCGCCAGCAAACCAAAGACCAAACCTGTCTCCAAGGAGGTGGAAGAGTCGCGCTTGATTTGTTTGATGACACCCGACCAAGTGGAACTGAAACCACCCGCGAAGAATCCATAGAAGATGGAGAATAGAGTGAGCAAAGCAATAGCCATCTGAGGCGATTCGGACTCTGGAGATGATGCCATGCCCCACAAAAGGAACACGGATAGTGCTGAGCCTATCGAGGAGAAAAGCAGAATATTTGATACTGCGAAACGATCACAAAGCATTCCCATGCAGATACCACCGACAATAGAAGTCGCGTTGAAGAGCGAGACTAGCATTGTGCCCATCGTTCTTGACAGTCCAACTGTCGTGGTCGAATAAGAAGGCAGATATGTGGACGGTAAGAAATATCCAAAGCTTTGGATGATATTGCCTGCCTGGAGCGTCCAGAAGGCGGCCAGGCGGAGGAACCTGAGGTCCAAACGCCGGGCTGACGCACTAGGCGAGACAGGGATTCGAGGCTTCATGAACGGCAAAGATACTAGGGTAGTAAGCAACTGTGATTCGATGTTAGAACTGGATGCAGTACGACAGCTACAGACGCCATGGTGTCGCAATAAATGCGCAGTCGGGAACAAAGGAGGCAATGAACCGGGGCAACACACCGTAGTGACAGTCCAAGCTCTGAAGGTCGTACTAGAGCCGAATTTGTGTAAACAAGCATTCGCCGCAAAGGGCAATGCAACGCCAGTTACACTCTTAGCTGCCCACATGATCCCGAGGGCAAGTCCTTTTTTCTGGATGAACCATTGGTCCATGAACAAAGATGACGGACTAAACATGAGCGCATTGCCGATGGCGCATATAATACCCTGGGTTGCAATGAGATGCCATACTTGCCGCGAGAAGGACGATAGAAGCGAGCCGATCACGGTGATACATAGCCCTGTCGGAATGCACCAAGCTTGGAGGCGTGGATACCGCGTCAAAAGGGTAAATGTCACAGGTGATAAGAGGTACAGGAGACCCTAGCCAATTGCGTTAGTCCATGTTGAATCCAATGACATGTGTGTGGCACTTTTCCATTACAGTTGATGTAGTTCCCACGGTAGCAAGGTCGCCTTTATTGCCCTGTAAGACATCATGCGTGCTGTAGTATTCTTGGAAAATACCGAAAACAGTCGAGAATCCTGGTGTTTCAAATTAGTCGTTGACAAACTCTGGTCACTCGCACTTGGTTCAAACCCCAGACTGGTAGCTGAATGAGACAGCATGATGCGAGTAGTTTCCAGGCGGCTTTGCCTCCATCTGCGGGGGGCAGCGATGGTTGCTCTATCTCTGACGAAGTCACGTCATGGGAAGAACGACGGGCTCGTATCTCGCTCAAAGAGACTATCTCGTGGTTGGTAGAGTTCATGGTTGCCAGGCATCCGTATATCTGATTAAAATATAGCGAATGCAAAGAATGTCTGAATCCGAAATCCGAAGCAATGATGTGAGATGATGTCACGTGGGCAGTTGCCCCTCTCGGGGTTGATCCTTAACTCACAGCACCCTTGTTGGGGCTGAAGATGTGTCTAGATGTACACCAAGAAAAGCACAACTTCATCATGCGTCACTGGCCCGGCGAAGCCAGCACCCACAATGAGCACACGCATGTATGTTGGGGGGCTGCGCGGAGGAACCAGATTCCAATATGTCCAGTCCTCTGGACCAGACTCATATTTATCACCTGTTGCAAAAAACGCAGTGATTTCTGGGGAATTAGTGATACTGCCCATGGTAGTGTGAGTCTAGTATCAATATTGAATGAGATTTAGATTTGGACTAAGATGACTATAATTACTATATATTTTATCTAAACATGCCGGGAAGGCCTTAGGCTGGTAGTGTGTGTGTATGTGGCAGCAGCAGTAGTGTGGTGGGAGGTAATCATGGTAACAAATTTATTTTAGCCGGTATGTACACATGATAGTCCGCCATAAGAAACAGTTTGACATACTACCCCGCTTCCTGCAGGATTACATAGTCAATGGGGCCGACTCTCTAGCAAAAAGGGACCCAAATAATTCAGTCTCTGTGCTTATGGGATACTACTTCTGAATCAACCTGCATTATTGTCTCTCACCTGATCGACAGGCCTTCTACCACCAGTAGATCCTTAACACAATCCGGCGAGTCAGTCAAATTGGAGTATCAGGGCAGTTAATACGCCCTTCCTGTCAGCTATTGATAGTTCCTATATGCAATATGTTCAGCAACTCCTTGCATCCACCATGTCTCCAATAGCGGACTTGAAAGCATATATTTTCCGACTATTTGCCAGCTCTACAGCCACCTATAACCCAGTCAATACTCCAGCAGCTGTTACAGATGAACATCCCAGGCCGCATTTCCGTACGGACAACAACAGTTCGGACACACTCACCCTCCCAGATGGACGAAAACTCGGTTATGCGCAATATGGTTCGCTGACCGGAAGGCCCATTTTTTACCTACATGGCCTTCCAGGCTCCCGCCTAGAGGCTGCGGGATTTGATGAGCTGGGCCTAGAATTAGGCGCCCGTGTCATTGCTGTGGACAGACCTGGTATAGGATGGAGCTCACCACACCTGGGTCGAACACTCCTTGATCATCCAAAAGACTTAGAACACCTCGCGATGCACCTTGAGTTGGCTCATTATAGTGTTTTGGTACGGAACGGGTATTACTCCTGAGAAGGCCTCGAGACTGTTTGCTAACACCGTTTGCTGGGGCTGCTGGATAGGGAATATCAGGAGGCGGACCATATGCACTTGCTTGCGCCGCGGCATTACCTCAAGAAAAGCTCAAGTGTGTTTCGATCGTCTGCGGCCTAGGGCCGCCTGACATTGGTATGAGTGGAGCAGATTGGGTGCACAGGCTTGGATTCCCACTGGGATTTCGCTATGCGCCCCTCAGTGTTGTCCGGTGGTTTTGGAAGCTAGAGGGGTCAGGACGCTTAGATCTCAGTGACGAGAGGCGTCTTGAGCTTCTGCGTCAGAAGCCAATCGCTCATGAGAAGGACATTGACTTTATGAAGACTGACTGGCCCCGGCTATCTGTGCGATCAACTCGAGAATCCTTCGCACAGGGGTTTCATGGTGTGTGGCAGGATGGTAGGTTGGTCTGCATGGACTATGGTTTTCGAATAGAGGATATTCGTCCAGAACTACCTGTGCACCTATGGTATGGGAAGCTTGATACTTTTGTTCCACCCAATCATGGTGTGCAGATAGCCGCCCGGCTGGGCGGTAGAGCATATCTCAGGCTGGAGGATGAGACACACGCAAGCATTGTGGTGAACGTGATGAAGGAGATATTGGAACATTTAGTTAGGAGCACTTGAGCCAGCCAGCTTTTCCATACTGGTTTGCCGGCATATCCAAAGCAAACCTGCGTCACTAGATAAGGAGATAAGGAACCACATACGAGTCCTGAAGCCTGGTGCCATACAAATGGGCGTCTACAAGGGAACTAATTTATAAGAAGGATGAAACATGGTCCAGAGGGCCGTGGAGTGTATCTGTCAGGGCTCCTGAGCCACCACCTGTTCCAGATAGTCCGGCACCCCAAGAGCCGTAATAAAGATTCAATTACTCCCCGCTGATAGGAATGCCAAAAAAAAGCTGCATCTCAAATGACCAGTCTCTCTGTCGAAGCCTTATCCGAAGACACCCGGACGACAATCTCCGTCCGAACAGTCACTCCATTAGAGCCATCCTGCAGGTCACTGCTGCGGTGTCTATGGTGTGCTCTACTGCTGGCCCGTTTCCACACCTCATCCGTATGTTGGACTGCCTCCTCCGCTGCAGAGACGGACATGACCACCGCTCCCTTCTTTTGCGTATGCGGTTGCGAATCTAGTTCCAGGCCGGGATGGCTATTCTTGGACCGACTGTTGGACCAGTATCCACCACTTTGTCCTTTGTCTGTTGACACCATTGACACGAAAAGACGGATCATGGGTGCGAATGATGCGAGGAGGATGCTGTAGTTCTCTATCCTTTGGAATGTTAGACCACGCTGCAAAGAAGAATTCGGAAGTATACTTACTTGACCCATAGAATAAAGGGGACAGTGTTATCTGATAATTGTTAGCATTGCGTCCAGCAATATGTGAGTCACAACTCACGTGTGATATCGTTGCGCTCTCCAAGGGTTTTCAGCAACTACTCCATTCAGTCAGCAAGAGAATAATTCCTGTCGACGGCTGCGTACATATGTTTTCACGATAGAGGCAATTCCCGATAGCAGCAAGGGCCCGCTGAGGCTAACAGTCTGCCAGATCCGACGAAAGAGCGCCTGTCGTGGCATTCGCCGTATCCGACCGAATAGCGGTTTGTGCTGTGCTGGAGTCGAGTCGGTTGCCCTTATTGTATAACGCCACAGTTGCACCGCCGAGAGTGCCGTCAAGAAGAAATCGATGGTCGTGTTGAAGCCTGGCGGTCCGTCAGTAGGTGTACAGAAGTACCGGAGACTGTAGCTGCAGGTCATACCACCCTGAACGAATCCTATCGTCGTTTGTACCGCCGGTGATTGACAGACCACGGACCCATCAACTGGTGGGTTATCCCACATGTAGTGGAAGTAGCTGACTCGATTGACCTATTAATATGAGGGAGTTGGGTGAGCTATTGTCAGGAACCGGAACTAGGGAGAGGGAGTTCACATACCGCATGGTAAGGATTGGGGCCGCACTGCACGATAATTTGAACCACAGTCACCGAGTTCACCACGACCTGTATTGCCATGCATACGATGATGGACAGGCGGATCTGCTTATCAACGCTGCTAAAGCACGTGTAGAGGAAACACATCATGCCGGAGCGGCTCAGCATGGAGGCAGTGACAGCTGGAGGGGAACCGTGAGTCAATATATCGAATAACAAGGAAGCCACTCACCCAGAGGCTGGGAAATGAACTCGTTTTTCAACGCGAGGTTTCTTTCCGCATCCGACAGGAACCACATGTGCCTCCCGAGACCATTTTCAAAGCTTGTCAATGTGTCAGGAAGCATCGAAGTGAGAGTTCTGGCTCAGAGCACCAACCTGCGCTGAATAAAGACCATGTGCGCAATATCAAACCCGTACGCAGCGCCGTACAGGATGTCCTCCAAACCCCATACTCTTTCGGGGGAACTAACACGAGGCAACATCCATCGAATCCATGTCTTGGTCGTATACCGAAAGGCCAATGCTAGTCCGGCGACTCCTGTCAAAGCCTGAGTACGATTCTATCAGTTATCTCTCCCGTGCGCAGGGAAGGATAGTAGCACCAACCCATGCTGCATGGATGTACGGACCAGCTGTTGAGGAATTGGTGTAAGTATCAGTATTGTATCTATACCTCGCTCTGTGCTTTCGCAACCAAGAGTCCGCGGGTAGACACTCACCATAGTTGGTATCGATCCCTAATGCAGTAGACATTTTATGGGCACGGCTGAACAGCGCTTTGAGCAAAGCTATTCGGAGAGCAACTGAGGGAACGCATGTTTTCAAGAATAGATAAATATTTCCGTGGGATGCTAAATTTCAGTGAACTCCGGACTAGGAGATTCGAGCAAATTTCGAACAGGGAAGAGGGCTACTAGAGATCTAGCATATAGTGAACCCATATGCTCGGCTTCAACCATTACTGCACAATAGGGACAGTCGAAAGGGTGGTTTTGACGCATTGTCTGTTGGAATTCTAGGCCAACACTCGTACTCGTCGCCAAGTTACTCCTGACTAGCATTGGTGATTACCCCCTGGTTCACACCACGATCATATGCACAGCTATCAAGACAATGCGTCAGGGAAATAATATCGTAACTCTAAAGCAGGGATCATTGAAGCAGCAATAACCAAAACCGGATAATGTAGGCGGACCATGGAGGAGGAAATCGTTCCGGAGAGTAGCCCGTCGAGCCTATTCGGGCTGGTCCGATAAAATCGACTGATATCCAGAAGTTAGTCAATGCCGGGATGGTAAATATCAAAGGAGCAGGCCTCGAGCCAGATACTTGGAAGCCTCCTTGGCAGTGAGCACTTGTAGGATAAATAGCCACGCGTCATCCTCATTGGTACATGGCATCCACTGTGTGCATGGGTCAACGAATCTGTGCCGGTAGTGGGATTAAACTACAGGGGTGATATGCCACTCAGTATCACGGTCTTCTTAGTGGACTTTACAGTGATTCAGACTTATCCGTTCTAGGAATATGAAGGACAAGGACAATATCAGGCCACAAGCAAACCCCGATAGTGGGCCGGC